ATAGTATGAGGTTCGATTAATTTAATGGAAGCCAAAATAATTTTCATTAACTAAAACAAATAGACATTACAGTACCTAACCATATTTACTTCCTTAACTTAGCGAACCAAACAGATGAAGATTTCAATCTAGAGAAGTTAAATATGTAATCACTAATTATACTTATCTACTCCGCGGCGGTTTCGTGTTTTTTTGTCTTCAGAAAGCTAGCAAACGTTACGACAAACTTCGTTTGATAGTGACGTAACGTTTTAGGCATAATTTTCGCTTCTTTGGTGCTTGTTCCACAGCAGCTCAGAGGCATTTTTTTTGTTAAAATTAAATGAGCATTTTACGTCAATCGTGACTGATGGAAAGTGACGATGGAGTATACCTAAATTACGCCTATTCACTCTCGCCATGAAATAAAAGGCCCAAGTTATACCGTTCAGTAGGGCTAGCAGAATAGGGCGCGACTAGCGCGAGAGCGACATAGCAGTATCTCGCGCTTTATGTCGCTCTCGCTTAGTCGCGACTTATCGTGCTAGCCAGGGAACAAGTCTGCTAGCAGGCAACTCCGCTCCAAACCCGTTCGCCGTATAAATGAGGAAGCGAAGATAGCACGAAGATAAAACCTTTCAAGAATTGCTGTACGAACTACCAAAAAGAATAATCTTAAATACTTCTGCAAGAGAGAATAAGACAATCATATAGGTACAGTCAAGAGCACACCAATCTTGACACCGCTTGGGACTTTAGAGCTGTTACACAAGGCGACTTTTAGCAGCGACGCACACCCGATGTAAACGCAATGCAGTCGCTACACTTGTAATTTATAGGCGATTGCATCGATGCAGTCGCGCGTTTGCATCGATGCAATCGCCTATAAATCGCAAGTGTAGCGATGCAATCGCACGTTTCACGAACGCACGTTTCCCTTAGATGTCACCTTTAGATGGCTCTCGTGGTTTCAAATTTAAGGTGTCAAGTTTGACGTGCTCTTGATCTTGTGCTTACTTTGTCGACTAATAAAGGAGCGGTTTTTCGCCGTCGAGCCGCATGTGCTCGTCGCAGTGTGACTCGGCAGGTTCCAGCGCGTCGGCTCGGTACACCGCGTTCTCAATCCATACCGCGATGCGATCCGATATGGCCACCATAAAGCGCGCTAGTCGGCCGGGATTCATTCGAGTAGGCTTCGGCTCCCCTGGCAATGCCACCGAAAATAAAATAAGCTGGTCACACTTAAAGCCCACTTTAAAGCCCACCTCTCCGTTTAAGGGCAATAAAAATCATAGGCATTGGTTGTTAAAAGCCGAATTTATGTTTGTCTAACGTGTCTTTAAAATGACGCGTTAAAAATGGTATCAGTTTCATACACACAACATAAGCCGTCACGTCAGATTGCGACACAATAATATAAATCTAACCATATTAAATGTATTATTCCGATACCGTTCTGACGCCTCCACGACACATCAGACAAATGTAACATAGGTGTCTCGTCTTTTATTTACTATTGCTCCCTTCACGATCCGTCGTTTCAGATTGATTGAATCAATAGTACATATATGTTAATGCCGTTAACGATTAACTTGAACGCCAAAGTAAGGACGCGTCGATACGATTATCGCGACGATCGATTCAAAAGAGGAATCAGCTGTATTTGGAAGCCTTTAAAGTACTCGTGTTTACTGCTACTGTAGAATAAAGCAAAATAGGTACAGTGTGTACAAACCAAGTATTTCAGCGACACGTTCCAGTACAACATCGGCTATGCTTCTCAGCCTGTTTGAGACTAACATTTCAGTCTGTCCTTTAGCTATGTAGTCGCACATGCGGTAAGCCACCTACAACAAATCATTACCTGTTTGTTGCAATTCATATCGAAGAATTGAAATGAAGTGGCGAAACAGGAGACTACATTAACACTAAACATTTTTGTGACATCGTAAACTAAGTTTTTAAATACAGTATTGAGAAAAGCCCTATAAAGTAAGTAGGTATGTTACCTGCTACGTGTCACAATATTTACGAAAAAAATTAAGTGATACGTAGGTATGTATATTGTATTGAAGACAGAAAATTACATTACCTGTTAGTTTTCTTTCAAAAATCGTTTGTTAACCTAAGGCTTAAATAATCGCCTCATTAATCTGATGACGATAAAGACTCTTCGTCAATCTCATGGCTACAACGAGCTGCATTTTCGAGGTTGCATTTCTTCTTCTTCGTAATTTGGGAATAAGGAAACTCAAATTAGGAAAAATAAGTTGGCTAACGCTTAAAACCATAACCACAGAGCACCATCTTAAAACTAAATTTTGGAGGTCAGCAAACGATAGCTCTTATTACCTTGAGCCGAACGGTCCTCTCCTTGATGACGTTAAACTAAGTATTTATTGGAAAGGAAACAATTATTTTCGGATCTAAATAGCGGTCAGTCAGCCGTGTTCGTGGGGTCTGTAAAGAGCCCGAACGAAACTTTGGTTTGTTTGGAAAACATATACCTACACGCAACTTGGATCCGAAAATTACAAATTAACAAATTATTTGTAAAGTTAATTTGTATAGTGTCAAATCCATAGCAATGGCGAAAGCCCAAGATCTCGATAACTATTAGTATTAGTATATATAGTAATAACTAAGAAAGTAGTTTTGTTTTCGGTCGTCTTTGGCCTTTTACTGAACCCTTGCTGTCGAGGATCAACCTAAGCAGCCCTAAGGAATTCCCTCCCTGAATATGGCTCAAAAAGTAGCGTTTCTTTTTACGACAGTCGAGTTTAATTTGCGTATACATTTAGCACATAGATCTAAAAAAAACTTCGCGTCATTTGACAAAATAACCATTTCAAATTGCCCTTGTTCACTAACCTATCTATAGCAAAGGTTTTACTTCTCGAAAGTCACTTATAGGTAATTGTATCGCCCTGTTCAATTATGTAATGTCCTCTGTCATCTACTTTCTACTTTCCTATCTACCTTCCATTTTTTTAAGTAAATAATAGACAACATCACATACGTTGCTCTGATCCCAAAGTAACTAAAGCACTTGTGTTATGGAGATCAGCAACAACGACGACGGTACCACAAACACCCGGACCCGGGACAATATAGAAAAGTTAGTGTCTACATTGACCCGGCTGGAGATCGACCCGGGATTTCAGAGATGGCGACACCATGTACCTAAACAGGTGTGCCACTCAACCACGGAAGTCGTCAAATTCAGTACATAAACTTTTCAGCAACTATACCTAAACGTTTTGCTTTTCATTAGTTGTACCCAACCCATCATTTACCCTCACGTTTTCGACTTATAAAACAGTAAAAATGACCTGAGCACTAAAGTTGACCAGCCATTTCTGTCTCTGTTTAAGATCACGCGAGCGCTCGGCTTGCTCACGGCGGTTGATTCCGCCTCCTGCGCCGCCGGACACCAGGCCTCCGGGCCCAGTCCATCTTTTGTGCTGCTCGCCAAGTGCTTGGAAGTACTGCTCTGTTTGTCTATTACAATATAAACGCATCGTTAGTAGACAGACTTTGGCTAAACATATCTTTGGCCTATTCTAATTCAACTAGGTACCTAATGCTACTAACTTTTCTTTTAATGTAAAAACCACATCAATTGCGTAGAGCCAAACAATTTCCTGTGCGAGAGCAGCGGAATTCACTCTGAGGCACTTCCCGAACACCCAGTCAGGAACAAAGTTAGAAAAGTGCATTCCCATATTGGTCCTACCGGGAATCGAGCCCGTGACCTCCTCATCTAGCACCCACATTGCAAACCGTTGGGCCATCGAAGTTGTCAAATATGGTACTATATAATAGTTAAAAAGTTAACGAAATTTAAGAACACCCCTTAACGAATTGCCTTGTCGCTCTATTGCAATTGTAGAAAAGATAATAAAAAAAGTATAAGTAGGTACAGTAATAATAATATTCATAGTTCCACACTAGGGAAACCCTGTATCGCGGGTGCCATGGACACACACATCGACAACCACAAATTGCACCCAAACTAACAAGATAAATAAATGTAGGCCGTATAAATATTTCTTCCGGTCCGAGAATCGAAACCGGGACCTCTGCGCGGCTGTCCAGCATGGTAACCGTTCGGCCACACAGGCTGTTACAGTAGTAGGTACGTATCTAATATTAACAAGAACTCTAGAGTAAAAATAATACTTTTAATCATGGTAAGGTATAGATAGTGATATTTATACGTGCGAATGACTACAAATTTGTTATATATTTACTACCAATATAAACAGATCTTACCAAACCCTAGTTTCGTTATGGCCCCTGAAGTTGCCGTGCGTCAGATTATACAAATACATCTAATACAGCTACTCAATACAACACTTACTCTGGGCTAAGGAAGTAATCTTCTTCCAAGGCACTTTTGATTTTGTCCCTACGTTCTTTCGGTAAGATGGCACATTTCTCGTCCCACAAAGAACGCAAACGACGCGAGTTGGGGCGGGCCAACAACTCGACGCGCTCGCGAGGGCACCTTTTTTTAGGCTTGCATTCTGATCCCAATAGAAAAATCCACTGTTATTGTCTTTAACCCGTTAGCCGTCAAGCGTCTTACAGACACACACGATATTGATTTTTTTTATATTGACCGTCACGATGTTTTACTACCGTGATATTCAATTTTTTTCGGTGAAATTAGTCCATTAGTTAGTTTGTTATAATTGTTAATAACAAAGATCGAAACGCTTGGAAAAAATCATTCAATGCGGCTGGATTCGAACCAGAACCCTCAGGCAACCCGTGGCAGGGCATCAAGCACGGATTGAACGGAACGAACCACCAGACCTCAAGACTTATTATATGTGTTTGTTGCAGATCTTTGTTTTTTTTTTTACTTTTTGCCTTAATGAGATTGTGAGAAATTTATTTCTTCACTTGGCTTAATTGACAGAGCATCTGGCACAGATTGGCGGAGGTTCAAATCTAGTTTCGCAATTGCTTTTTTTTGTATATTTGACGATGATGACGTTGATGACGATATTTAATTATTTGTAAAATGGTGGAGAAAAACACAGATGCACGTCAGAGTCACCATGTGATTCTAGGACGTTACAGTTAGGGACACACTCTTCTTATCGAATCGATGGCAAAAACTAGATTATTGTGGTCCCGGAGTTATTGCCGCTAGCCGCGTCACTAGTAGTGGCCGCCATACTCAAGTGTGGGAAATGTTTGCCACCGTAATGAAAGGATTTGCCAATCGGCATTACATACTCATCGATTGCTGTCCAGGGTGCGCCGGACGTACAGAGGATATGAACAGTACGCCATTAAAATCCACAATAGGAGGCTCCTTTTGTGGACTCCAGGGACACAAAATAAAACTCTAACTTCATTCTACTCATAAAATCTGACATCCTACGACTTAATTGTTCTAGTTTTACTGAAGAAATCATGATGTGATTAGTTCCTATTGTGATGACCTTTACAAGCAGTCCACTTGCTCTGGATTCGAAAGTGCGAACGATTATTTGATTATCTTATTCCAAGACCGCAAAGAGTCGGCAGTGCATGTTGCATGAGCCTTAACCTGCTACGCCTTTGAAGAAATCACAAAATGCGGTGGGAGTCGAACGCTTATAAATTACTTATTACGCCTACTGCATTCAACCTGTTAAGACTAAAAATATGTACAATACCAATTGTGAAAAAGACTTACCTATATCCTTTCCCGTTGGACCCTTGTTGGATAATTTTGAAGGATTCTCCGAAATTGCTTCATTCTCATTAAGATCTTTAGATTGTTTTTTAGGCATGTCCGCAAACTAAAATTAAGAATTTTTTATAGAAAACCAAAATACCGAAAATACGAAAAAGGTAAGTTTATTTCGACACTTGTTATTATTTAGATCCAAATGAAAAAGTCATATTATTAGTTGTCAAATCAACAAAAATAAATCAGATGCAACCAGCATTGCAAATATTTAAAAAAAACGCAAATTCAATAGGAAAAGACAGAACACAAACTGCGCACTTTTCTTAGGGCCGTATTCCATAACTCTACTCAATACTCAAGTCAGGACTCGAGTATTGGAGTGAGCCCTGAAAATCATACTCAAGTCCTTGCCATTAGGGTCGTATTTCCAGTGCTTGAAATCATACTCAAGTCTGCTCAAATCAAGTCAGGATTTTGAGTATGGTTTAAAGCACTCGAAATCATACTCAAGGCCCTGCCATTAGTGTCGTATATCCAGTGCTTGAAATCATACTCATATCCTAACTTGAGCATTGACTAGAGTTCTGGAATACGACTCAATCCATCCTCTATGGCACTTGTACGTTTATTAAATTAAAAATAAAATAAAGACATTTCGCACTGTCAATACAATAGTGTATTAACTCAAAAAGTGTATTTTTTCAGAATCGATGTAAAACGAATTACTCACTTCGGACGAAAAATTATTAAAATTGATGTACATGTTGCAGATTATTACAGACATCTAAACAATTTCTTGGTTGTCAAATATATTTAAAAATAAAATTTAAGCAGTCACTTCATATTCTTGAGTATGGACTGTTTTGTCCAGAATTAGGTCACAAAAATGTTGTCTCATTTTGAGTTAAGTACCTAGATATTTTTTAATTGTTTCTTACAATATTCTAACGATAATTTTATTCACCTGTAGAGAATAAAATTTTGCCTTCAGCAATAGTATAATCTGAATTTCACATATTTTGAGTTACGACACTATTGTAATAGCAGTGCGCTTTATTTCGCCACAAAACAGGAATGCTGAATTTCAGTCTTCACTTGTAACTAGCTGGTCGCTTGCTGCACCAAGTTAATATTCGGAGTGTACACCCAGTAATAACCTCCCTTAAGTAATAAATTAAAGTTTAAAAGCTATTCCATGTAAAGTTTTTTTATTTATTTAACCTAAAATTTCAAATTTTATTGACTATAACGTTATCCGTAAAGAAATTTGATTATAATGAAAAACAAGTAAGCTAAGAAGTTAACTGTAACTGCTTTGAATAGGCATGTCGCTTACCACCAGGCGCACAACTTAATCGTCCTGTCATTTTAGTATCATAAAAAATATAGGTACCTACTCATTATCAAACTTGCAGTTACGTTTACCTTTACATTACTTGCACGCATACGCCACGCATACCTGCAAGTCATCATATTTTCAAAGAAAAGTACAAGTGCATACGCTATATTAATATAACTATCCCAGTTGCCAATTGTAATAAAACTATTTAACGTAAATAACGATTTATTGTCATCTTAAAGGTGGCTGTAGACAGAGCCAACTCGCCCAATCCGGGGTTCCATCTTTTATTTGTCCAAACGATGTCACTGTAGCGTCCGCCCTCTCGAAGGGGACATGCCAAGTGGAGTCATTCTTTTGAGCACAAGGCGTCACTGAAAGTGGTGGCTGGAACAAACGACATCAAAATTAAATATTTTTTTTATCGTTAAGACGAGAGGATACATAGCGCACTACTATTACAATAGTGTTGTAACTAAAAAAATGAGAAATTTAAGATTATACCATTTCTGGACGTAAAATTTGTTTCTCTACATGTCAATAAAATTGTCCATTAGAATATTGTAAGGGACCAATAAAATATACCTATTTAACCCAGAATGAGACAAACGTTTTATGAGCTACAATTATTTTTCACTTATTTTTAAATATACTTGTATTTGGCAAGTAGGAAATTGTTCAAAAGTCTAATAAATTTTAATCTATACAATTATGTAATTTATAAATTATTATAATAATCTTTCACGGGAACTGAGTAATTCGTTTTTCTGCTATACTGAATAAATTCACATTTTGAGTTAATACACTATTGTATTAGCAGTGCGATATTATATATTACCCCAATTACGCAGCGCGCCTACGTGCAGTAAAAGCAAGTGTGATATTTGCGTAGTGTCAACTCGTAAATACCAAGTCGCGGCCAAACAATTGCACGCAAACAATAATTAAGTAATAAAAAAATAGCAAATAGGTAAACCATCAACAATTATAGAAAACACATTTTCGATAGCCCAAACATGGCTTGTACAATCGTCAGTCGCTATACATTCCATTTCATTGATATGCTCCGTTTCATAATACGCACACTCGGACACATCATATACCAAATTCATTTACGACCTACACATGTGCAAAAGTAACTAGTAAACAGTCCAAGTGACATGTGGACTAAAATTGCTCACTAGGGACTGCCCAGCTGACACCAAAGCAAACCTTTGAACAGTATGCTTATAGGTTCTAAATGTCTGTACTACCATTTTCAAGTTTCAATTTAAAATAAAAAGAAACTTACCTGTACTATGGGTGGTCTAAACCCACCAGTAAAAACTTTCCATTGATGTTGCCATTGCCACCTCTGAAACAGGTGTATAAGTTGTTCATTCTGCAATTTGAATCTATGCCCGCGCAACAGATCTCTTGACACGAAATCGGTGTGAGGCCCACTTAGTAACGCAGCTGATATAAAGAAAGGGTCATCTTGAGATCTGAAATTTATTTTAAAAATTTGAGACTTCTTTAAAACCAAAGTCCGCAGGGAATGGCGCAATGGGATCAAAGCTTTCACGAGCACCAACAGATCATACAGTATTAAAAAAAAAGTCATATTAAAAAAAAATATTTAAAAAAAGTAGTCTCAATGCGGATTGTCGCAGACAACGCATTATCAGCGAACTTCTTAAAATATTCAGACTAATATCCTATTATACATAATTATACAAAACATTAATATTGAAATGCCATTAACAAATTTCCACATTTATTGTAACATGGAATTGACCAATCAGATCTATTTGACGTCATAAAAAGAAAGATAAACTTCCAGGAGTGTTTATGAAAATACCTATCTTTTTTTTTGTAAATCTAAAAAAAGGCTAATTTTAACTAATTATAAAAATATAAGCATTACTTACAAATTGTCAGTGAAAAAGTTACAAGTTCTGCTAAGCACAAATTTCATTCTAGGCCAGCTTAGCATATGCTTTCTACCCAGTAACAATATCTTCATATTTCTAGCTTGAAAATGTTCTACAACATAAGTCAACAAGCCAATTCTGTCATTACTATACTTTCCAACAGCATAAGAAACATTCAAAGCATCTAATACAATATCATAGGGTGCAGTTTGTTCAACAAAGCTTATAAATCTCTTCAATTCATCAGGTGACGTCTTCAGAAACAAATCAGATCCAACAATGAGTTTATCTTTGATGATACTCTGCAATAACTGGAATTCATCTTCTGATAACTTCAAGCAGTCCAATTTAGCATTGCAATTAAAACACTGTCCACTGAAAAAAAAAGTTTTTTGTTTTACCTCTAGTATGAATAAAAAATATATAACACTAATATACAAAAAGCACACTTTACTACACTCACTAGGTGCCAAAAACTTTATACTCATTAATGTATGGCTATTGTCAGTTTAAATTTTTATTCAATAGGTATACTTAGTGAAATAAAATATTTTTTTATATGCACGAGCATTGCTGTTATGCTACTTAAATGATTTTTACTAAGTAAAATTTTTCAATCATCTAATGCTTTATGTACTTTGTAACTTACTTATTTTTGTTAATTTTAGTCATCTTTGCATTCCATCCTACTGTTTCATAAGCACCCATAAGCTTTTCAGCAGCCTTTTCAGGTATAACAATAAAGTTTCTAGATACATGAGAACACAACTCGTCTAAATACTTTGTAATTGTTTTTTTATGTTTATGTTCTCTTAGAATGAAATTTATCCATTCTTCATAAGCTACATCTAATAAAGGTCTCTGCAAGGAGATACTTTTATCAATTAATTTATAGGCCATCATTTTCTTATTTGCTTTGAAAAGAGTCGCAATAACTGTGCTAAATGCTGAATGTGTAGGTGTACAAGACGCATGAATGTCATCAAGAACTTTCATTGCTTTATGCCATTCATTAATAGCACATAGAGCATGTAATAATCTCTCACAAGTAGTAGAATCTGGTACTTGGTATGTGTAATTTATATGTTTAAAAGTATCAATTATAAACTTCCTTCCTTTATCAGATAATTTGTTAATTTTGTTTAATTCAACATATAGGTTCAATATAGCATTTGTAGCTCCAAGATTCAGTTCTCCTCTAAAACTTAACAAATATTCTGCAAAAGATTGAGCAATATTAAGTTTCTTGTCATTTATTAGGATCTTTAATAGAACCGCATCAATGTTTTTCGGGTTAATTGTTCCAGGTATGGCTAAAACTTTACTCTTTATACACGGCCAATCATTAATTTCGTCGTTTTCATTTATCACTGATTTCAAGTACTGTATTTGGTCGTTAGCGTGTTTATAACCATAAGCGACGGTTTGGCAGGCGCGTTTTGGAACTGTTCGCATATCTGTAATAAATTAATGTATTTAAATGTAAAGAATGTAAATGTGGAATGATTATGTATAATTACACGCATAAAAATTGATTAAAGTTTAGCTTTATTGTCTATAACACTTACAAAAACTGGTGGAAGATAATAAAAACTGAGATACGGTGCGAATCATATTTGCATATTTAACTATAAAATTAATTGTCCCAAAAAAACCATTGCAGTAAATACTTTACAATTTTTAATATTTATTTTTTTCATAATTTTTTTATACTAACTCGAAAACCTAGTGCAATTTTTATAACATAACCTAAAATTTTGTTTAGATTTTTAAAATTTTTTTTTAAGGCTTTGACAAAGCCATCAGCTTAAACAGGAAGTTTGTTTCTGTAAATATGGCCGCCACAAAGAGGATAGGCAATTTGAGGCGGCGTGTTTCCAGCGTGTCGCGTTACTTTACACCGGGACAGTTGCTTCAGCTGTACCAAGCACAAGTCCGGTCGTGCATGGAGTACTGCTGTCACCTTTGGAATGGCTCTGCTACATACCAACTGGCCACTTTGGATTCAATTGACAACCGTGGCAAGGGGCTTATAGGTGACTCGAAATTAATAGAGGCGAAGCTGCAGAGCCTTGAACACCGCCGTAAAGTTGCCTGCTTATTGGTATTTTACAAGATATATCACAGAGAGTGTGCGATGGAATTACACGATTTAATTCCGACTTCTCCTTTCCATCACCAGGAGACTAGGCGTAGGCTTGGATTCCACTCGTATGCTGTGGATATTCCAAAGATTCTCACGAAGCGTTATGGTTCCACATTTATATGGCGATTTGGCGAACGGCTATGGAGTGGAATTCACTGCCTGCAGACTTGTTCCCTGAAAGTTATAACTTGGGCCTTTTCAAGGCGAGAGTGAATAGGCATTATTTATGAGTATAATAGAATAATATATTATATATGCTCCATTATCGACTTTATCGTCACTTTGCATCAGGTGAGATGGAAGTCAAATGCGCACTTATAATAGGTACATACATAAAAAAGGCGTATGCAAAAAAAACAAGAATTTATGAATGATGGACGTGTAAGTGAAAATGGTATTATGACTGTAATCCTGTTTATGAATCATAATATACCTTACTTTTCTATCCTCTAAGTTATTACCTAGAAGATATTTAGAAGTATATTTACTTATAACAATTTCGTTTCTGAAATAATATAAATGTTGAAACCCGTCTCTTTATACCAGGGCGTTCAATGTATTCTCGGTATCGGGGTGATTAACTAATGATAAGAGTAAATTAATTACCTCATTAGTTACACTCTTTAAGGGTATAAATATAAAATTTAATGTAATTGTCATCATTAGTATTCAAGTTATCATTACGAGAAGACAACTACAATGACAGACGCCACAATGTTGACGAAAATCGAGCACCGCGCAGTGATTAAATTCCTTACAAAACAAGGAAAGACTCAAAAAGTTATTCATGAAGAAATGGTGGCTGTTTATCAAGATTCTGCTCCTTCATTATTTACTATTCAGAAGTGGTCTAGTGAATTTAAACGGGGTAGAGAAAGTATTGAAGACGACACCCGTGCTGAAGGGCCGGTAAGTGCCACTTCTGAAGAAAACGTCAAAATTGTCGAGAAACTTGTATTGGAAGATGCACGTATCAGAGTGAAAACATTAGCAGAAAAGACTAAGCTATCCGTGGTTACCATTCACACTATCCTTCATGAACATCTGAATCTTTCAAAAGTCAGTGCAAGATGGATGCCGCGAATGCTCACGCCGCTTCAGAAACAAGTTCGAGTTGAGTGCAGTAAGGGGTTTTTGGAGCTCTGTAGCGAAAATCCGAGTGGAATTTTTGAGCGCATTGTCACCAGTGATGAAACGTGGGTTCATCACTATGATCGTGAGAGTAAGCAAGAGTCCATGCAGTGGCATAAAAAAGGAACAGACCCACCGAAGAAGTTTAAAGTCTGTCCATCCGCCGGAAAACTCATGGCCACAGTGTTTTGGGATTTTAAGGGAATTTTACTGATCGAATACACAAAAATGGGTCAAAGTATTACTCCCGCAGCTTACGCAAACAGCCTACGCAATTTAAAGGACGCTATAAAAGAAAAAAGACCTGGAAAATTGACCGCTGGTGTCTTGCTTCTTCACGACAACGCGCCGGTTCACACAGGGAACGTTGCCAAGGCTACTGTGAGGGATTGTGGATTTGAAGAAATCACTCATCCACCCTACAGCCCTGACCTGGCCCCCAGTGATTACTTTTTATTCCCAAACCTAAAGAAAGATCTTCGAGGTAAACATTTTTCCGACGATGAAGAGTTGAAGGAGGCAATTAATGAAATTTTTCAGGCAAAGAGGAAAAATATTTTTTCGAGAGCATCGAAAAGTTATTTGCCCGATCAAATAAGTGTATTGAGGTTATGGGAGACTATATTCAAAAATAAATTTTATTTAGAATTTTTTGCCTATTATTTCATACCTATACCGAGAATACATTGAACGCCCCTCGTATCATAGAAAATTCATTTAAATGTAGAAAATTTCATGAAATGCTGACTCTGTGCTCTCGTTCTCCGTCCGACATTCGTCCGAATAAGTGATATTCGACCAAATTAAAAACGCGAATGAAGCTTCATACTTGACATTGTCTTTTAATTTGGTTGAGTATTACTTATATAATATTATGGTCACTTATTATTTCATAATAAGATAGTATAAGTTTTTAATCATGCATTTAACTTTTTATCACTGGCACACTACGGGTCGTATCCTAGAACTCTACTCAATGCTCAAGTCAGGATTGCACTGGAAACACAAGCACTGAAAATACGACTCTAATGGCAGGGACTTGAATATGATTTCGAGTGCTTTAAACCATACTCAAATCCTGACTTGAGCATTGAGTAAGGTTCTAGAATACGACCCTTCGTCTCCCTCTCTGTTCAATTCTCCTCTGCCTCAAAGGTTGTCTGGAAGAGATCACTCTCAGCGATAAGACCGCCTTTGCCCACATTAATTCTAAGTTCTCTATGTACTAATTTGTTTTGTGTGTGAGCAATAAAGTGTACCAATTATCTATCTATCTATCTACTTATTTGACTCTAAATTGTTTCGGGCGGATGTCGGACGGAGAACGAGAGTAGCCCTCCTCGATCGTGTGTCGATGCCCGAAGACAGACATTTCGTCTCTGAATACCATTTTATTTGTAAGTCAATGATACCATTCTTAAAATGTTCATTTTTCCTACTCATACAAAGTGAAAGACAAATAAACAGTGCAAAATTTTACAGACGTTCTTCGTAGCCGAAGCCAAAAAAATTTTGAAAAATCAGTATCAAAAAAAAACTCAAAAAATGTACGTACGACGCGATCAGTGTTGCCAACTTAGCGACTTTGTCGCTAGATTAAGCGACGTTTTGACAACAAAAGCGACATTTTATTTTTATTTAGCGACAAGAAAAAATTTAATTTAGCGACTTTTTAATTTTATAATAGAATAATAATATAGGGATGGTCTTTTACTGTGCTATGACCATAAAGTTCTTGCCAATGAAATGAACCTTATGATGAGCAGTATAAGAGTATAATTTTCATGTGTAGTTGTAGGAAATATAATTTTAGCGCACAGACATATGTTTGTGTTTTAGCGACAACTTTAGCCTTCTGTCTAGTGATATTTGCTTTAGTCTAGTTGGCAACACTGGATGCGATTCAGTCAGAGCAGATTCGCTCTGCTTGTGAGTATAGTGTTCTGTGCGCTCTGCGCTCTGGACCTTTTGGAGGGAAAAGTGTCGTTTTTATTTTGACTTTCAATTATTTTGTGAAATCTAGTTTAAAGTGGAATAGGATAGTGCTATTGTGCCTTAATCGAAGATTAAAACGCGAAATTATATGAATCTCGAACTAGAATATCCGTATCGGCCCGTTTTAAGGAATCCCGAGCCAATCCAAACACGCCGCCTCAAATTGCCTATCCTCTTTGTGGCGGCCATATTTACAGAAACAAACTTCATGTTTAGGCTGATGGCTTTGCCAAAGCCTTAATAAATTTAAAAAAAAATCAGTCAGAGCAGAAAGCAGAACAGAAGTATTCTTTGGTCAGAGCGAGTGCAATATTTACTGTGTTTGCTACATACGTAGTTTTCTAATAAATTGGTTAAATAATTTTTTATTAAAGAATTTAAAATAAAAGTGCGCATATTCAGAGACTTGAAATGGAAGGGAAAGCCACAAAAATGCCCAAAGTGGCCAAGGTATTTAACACTATTTGTATAACCGAAACATCTACTCTTTAGTGTTATTACTTATTTGTAATATTTTGTGGAATGTTTACTTTCACAGGTAAAGAATAAAGCTCCAGCAGAAATACAAATAACTGCTGAGCAACTGTTGCGAGAAGCGAAAGAGCGTGATCTTGAAATTTTGCCGCCGCCGCCAAAACAGAAGATCTCCGACCCTGAGGAGTTGAGAGACTATCAACACCGGAAGAGAAAGGCTTTTGAAGACAATATTCGTAAGAATAGACTGGTACGTGAAAAATGACCACAATACACACGGTTAAACATTGAGCAAAGATATCTTCTATTGCTCGTTGATCATCCTTTGCCACAAGAAATCATTGACCTCCTAGGGTAGTAACATTTTTATCTGATAACACGTGTATGAGGTATGATGTGAAACCACAAAAAATGCTACAATCTAGAGCAAATCAGGCTTAATGTACTTTTAACCCTGCAATGTATAAAATTGATTTTTATTACATATTAATAACAAAAACTTTATTTCATCCTATATTCATGGTACTAGGGTAAAGTTTGAACCCTGTTGTAAGTAAAATATACCTGTGTCAGTGGCAAAATAGGCGCCTTGACATCGAGTTGCGGACACCAGCCCGTTACACCAAGTACCAAGTAACTGTGTCAGTGGCCCTACTCTCAAAGCACCAAATCCGTAGTTCGGCCATTTGTCCACTATGGATGACCTACAGAACTAGGTATTCTTGAAATCTGGCAACAAAAAGATGCATTGTCAAATATTTTTAGTTTTAGCACTGATCGAAACTCAAAATTGTAGGTCATCCATAGTAGAAACACCGCCAAAGCTTTGGATTCTTTGTTTTTCGAGCATAGGGCCCCCCAGAGCATTATACACTTTCACATCTAGGAATTTAGCAACTTTTATTTTTAAATTGAATACTAATTAAAAAAACTGAACCATGATTTGGTGCTGTTTGAAGAATCACCAGAAAAGCTAGAAAATATAACGTAAAAGGTAAATTTGTAACTCTGCTGAAAAGGCTTAGTAAAAAAACTAATTAATATATTAGATGAAACTTAAACTATTACAAATAATTTGTTCAAGTGCATGTGTGTATGTATCTGACTGAGTGTGCATTGTGTTACGTAAAATAGTTAAACAAAGCTTCTGTTTCTTCATAACTAATTGTTTGAAGATAGTTAATAAATGAATAACACTATGTTTGGAATTATATGAGGAACTAAGGATATCCATATATTTAATTGTTTGTTTAGTTTATTCAATACACAAGTGACCTGTTTTTCATACTGTCTGCTAGCAAAGGTACTATTAATGCAGTGAGATTCTGTAAAATTTCTCCAATTTTTGCAAGAACTTGCAAATCTTGAAATTTCTTTAATCTTGAAATCTCATAACTGCATGAAGAATTGGAAGGTGTTCTCATGGACAGTACATCTGCTGCTGCTGCTGTACAGCTGTTGCCAAATTGTCAAGTTGCGAACAAAGTGCTCTTGAAAATTTCATTGAAAACTACATAATAACCAACATTTCTAAAGCAGTTGTGTGATTGATTTGTACATAAAAGGCTAAAAATAAACCACAAGTGTTATTTCCGTGAAATACGAAGTGAAACATAGTTAAAAGTGTAAAATATCTCCAGTGGAAAATAACCTTGATTTATAGTGATCTTAACCTACCCTCAATAATCAATCATATTTTTTTTGCTGTATCTAACTCGAGTCAGAATGACATTAGTGGTGTTGCCAACTTAAAAACCATGAAGCCTACCGATAGCCCAAGTTTGGTGGCAGAAAAAACTACCAAATATTTTTCAACAAACGTTTCATCCAGTATGTTTGTCGTCAAAGACCAAAGTGACGCGCAGGTTAATCTGAAACACCTGTGTCAAAGAGTACCGTTATCCCAGTCTCCTAGTCAAGTCTCTGTGAACAAAGAAACAAACCAAAAGCGAATACGTTCGCTCGATGAGAAGGAATCTCACCCAAAAATGCCGAAACGGGCTGAGAATGAAGACAAAAACAAACAGACTCACATATAAAAATTTTGAAACCGTCCACATTTGTTACCCAATCAAGGGTTGAAACCTTGAATAGCTTCTTTGGACTAGAAGTTAATGCTGAGTCTGACACTGAGGTCCTCACACCAAAAGAAAAAAGACCATCCAAACCACCACCTATAGTTTTGTATATAAAGAAAATTATACTTTCAAAACTGTCTCCAAAAATCAGTTGGTAATTCACGCAAAAAATACATAAACGTACAAAACTATGATAGTACATATAAGAGATCAAGGTATAATAGGACATACATTCGCACATAAAAAATGAAAGATGTCCGAGAATTGTAATAAAACATCTCCATTTTAGCATGCCTAAAGAGGCAATTATCGAAGCCATAGAGGCAAAAGGTAACAAAGTGAAAGGAGAAATTCTTATAGCACGCAAACCAGTAACCACGAACCTCTTAATACATTTTTCGCTAACATACTACCACATGATAACAACAGGCTTGTGAAGGACATAAAGTACATCTATCACCAAAAAGTAGTTGTTGAGGACCCAAACCGATTAGCTGCAGAGATGGACATGTTTGTCTGCCCAAGTTGCATGTGTCCGGGGCGTCTGTCTCGTGAGCAGCTAGCGCGTCTTCGTAGCGGCCTAGTTGAGGGCCTGTATGCGAGGAGACGCGCGGAGCACGTGAGTTGCCCTTTAAGTTGGAAGCTATGTCCGGACATTGTCGCAGGACACCGCGACTGGCATCTCCGGCACTAGCCCGGAGAGCTAGTAGAGGATAAGCTAGATATCCTCCGGTCCCTCCAGCCGCTTAGTTTGTTGGGAACTAGAGAGACGTCGTTTTTCGGCGTCGGGAAGTGTGCGTGCCTTACAGCTCCGCCACCTATGAGGAGATTTGGTAGTGGACTCAGAGTCGACGGCTTAGCGGTGGCAACTGCTAGTTGTGCAATGCGCAACGGGAAGTGAGCGTGCCTACAGCTCCGGTATCTATCTGAAAAATAGGGAGGGTATTGTACGTGCATACGGGGCGGCTCTCCCGAGGCACTAGCCTCTCGAAGAACCGGATGAAGTCAAGTGACAAAGGTCTGTGAGAACCCTGTACACTGGCTGATCTGGGGTCAGACCCTGAACTTGTAAGATTCCTGTGCGCGCACAGGTTATAGTTTCCTTCTCGTAAGGGTAGGTAGGGAGGGTCACTATAATTAAAACTAACGTAGAAAGATATGGTGCTTGTCCCGGTGTGAAGTAACGCCTCACCCTACGTTACGAAAACTCGGAGTCAGCTCAAAGGAACTCCGTTTTGTGGAGAATAGACACGCATGCGTTTGGTAGCGTTAAATTTGACAAGATTGGCATCGCCCCAATCGGAGACTGCCTTGAATGCCAAATCCAAACGGCTAACCATAGACTCTCGACAAGACTGGATTTCCTCTCCACTGACCCTTGCATTGGTTAAGTACCTGTCTACAACTGTGTTGTTACCAGCATACGCAAAGGTACTTGGAATTAACATATCACTGATATGCAGTAGAAAGAGAGTTGCAGACAGTACGGAGCCCTGAGGAATCTATCGCCATATGTTCGGACGAGTAGCCTTCTAAGACCTCTCGAATCGAACGTTCGCTCAAGAAATCCGAGATCCAATTGCAAAGTGCCCATGAAAAGGTTTGCGTGCCAGACCCTGTCAAAGGCTTTAGAAATATCCAAAGACACTGCAAGTGCTTCACCTTGCTTTTCTATGCCAACTGCCTCCGTGGCCGAACGGTTACCATGCCGGACTGCCACGCAGAGGTCCCAGGTTCGATTCCCGGGCCGGGAGAAATATTTGTATGGCCTACAATTATTTCTCTCGTGAGTTTGAGTGTAATTTGTGGTTGTCTATATGTGTTTCCATGGCACCCGCGACACAGGGTTTCCCTAGTGCGGGGCTATGTTGAGTGTGTGCGTTATTTATTATTTATTTATTCTACAGCCTCGCTCCATATGTGACAGGCATACACAAAAAGATCCCCAGTTGATCGCCCTCTTCGGAATCCGTACTGGCGATCTCTGAGGAGGTCGTTGTCTTCAAGGTACGACAAGAGACGGTTGTTGAGTACACGTTCCATAGTCTTGCAGAGTATGGAAGTGACTGAGATAGGTCTATAGTTCACAGAGTCAGCTTTGCTTCCCTTTTTCGGCACAGGTTGCACGTTTGCAAACTTCCACGACCTGGGAACTTCACCAGTCTCAAGTGAGAGGCGGTATAGGCGTAGGCGTGTGAGAACAGGAGACAACACAGTTACGTAGGAATAGTGCTGGAATTCCATCTGGCCCGCTAGCTTTAATCACATCCTCTTTTTGGCGTATGCGAATTGGCGCCATAGTGCAGCCAGCCTGAGGTAAGATTAGATCCTGACGCGAACTCTTTACAAAGAGTGAGGCAAAAAGATTTGCCTTGTCTTCTGTAATGTAGTCCAGTCGTAGTGCCGTCCGGCCTCAGCTGAAGTGACATACATAGGCGACAAAAGTTAGTTAGTTAGTTTATATTTAACGGTTAGGTTTTGTTTAAAAAATTAATTTGTCAACTTCTGGCGTCGCCATTTTCACTACGCATACACAATATGGAAGCGTGCGCATGCGTACGATCGGAGCGTATTGTACGTGCATACGAACTGATAAAAACTTGATTACTATAGAAAATACGTTATTTTATTTTTTCCTTTGAAAAAGTATTTGTATAACGGTTTTTGTACAAAAAAAAACATATACAAATTCGTTTTAGGGTCGCGCTCGCGCCGCCGACACTTTTTTGTCAGCGCGCCGCCGCCGGTTGAACTATTATCGGCGCTCACGTCTACCTCCACGACATAATATTAAAACATTCATATTCGAACATTACTTCAGTAGCCTAGGAAATCGTCATATAAATGGTGGAGATTGGAACAGCAAACACATCAGTTGGGGATCAAGGTTGACAAATACATGCGGACGTGAGTTACACAAATGTGTTGGCAACCTCAAGTTAACAACCTTATCCTCAGGAGAACCAACATACTGGCCGGCGGACAGTAATAAGCTACCCGACTTACTGGATTTTTTCATAATAAAGAGATTGCCACACTGCCATAGAGCGTTGCTTGGACACAACATCTGATCATACGCCAATAATAGGGACATTCTGCACAACCCCTATATATAAAGAAAAACCCTTTATTCTATATAATCATAAAACGGATTGGCACTCTTTTAGAAACACCTTAGAATCAGAAATAAATCTAAAAATTAAATTGAAAGCAGAGGACGACATAGATGAAGCTACATTCTACCACCACACTCTCCAACAAACTCCAGGAAGTGGCATGGAAATCACTGCAGAAACGTGACAGCCCCAACAGCGTCCTGAAGGCGTTGTTGTATTGCACGCACAGAGCATTCCGAGAGCACTGAGTGTAGCTCTTCCACAGAGCGCTAGCGTACATTGGTGTGCAGTAAGCTTTAAACAATGTTATCTTAACTGCAGCCGTGGATCTGGTGAACCTGCGGGCAAGCATGTTTGCTCTCACCGAGAGTGCTCTCCGTTCGCGCTGTATATCCAGGTCATCCTTGAGGTCGTCGGTAACATAGTGTCCCAAGTATTTAAAGTGGCTAACCCTTTTTAACGGAGAACCATTAAGTAGTACAGGAAGTGCACACGTAGGACTCTTCCTACCGACTTTTTAACATTATATAACAAGCCTTGGGATGTTGCATATGACTCACATACTCCAATTAGTTTTCTCAATGCAATATTGGAAGAGAACAACATAATTCCAGATCACCAGTTTGGGTTCAGGGAACAGCACGGCACTGTAGAGCAGGTTCATAGAGTCGTACACAAAATTAGGCAGTCTTTTGAGAAAAGGGAGTACTGTTCGGCTGTGTTTCTAGATATGCAGCGGGCCTTTGATCGGGTATGGCATGATGGTCTTCTATACTAACTAAAAGTTGCTCTTCCAAACTCATTTTATACGATTTTAAAATCGTATCTTCTAGAACGCAAATTTCAAGTAAAGTATGAAGAAGAACTTTCCCAATTACATCAGATGCTGGCATCTGTTCCTCAGGGTTCGGTGCTGGGGCCAGTGCTGTACTCTATATTCACAGCAGACTTACCTCAGAGTGAGAGCGTGGAAACGGCGACAAACGCTGATGACGCTGCTTGTCTGGCTAGCGACATATGTCCCTTTGCAGCATCACAGAAGCTTCAAGTGCATCTGAATAAAATAGATCAGTGGTTACAGAAATGGCGAATAAAATCCAGCACCTCCAAATCTGTACACATAACTTTCACATTACGCAAAGTACACACTACACATCCGTGACCATGGGCGGTGAACGTCTTCCAAGTAAAGACTGTGTCAAATATCTGGGCATGCATTTTAGTAAGCGGTTAACCTGGGCACACCATATAAAAACTAAAAGAAGTGCTGCTCACATTCAGTACAAAAAACTGTTCTGGCTGGTAGGTCGACAATCTTCACTTTCACTACACAATAAGTTGATGGTGCACAAGTGCATCATCAAACCCGTGTGGCCTTATGGAATAGAGCTCTGGGGCTCAGCCAGCAATTCAAATCTCGAGATATTGCAGAGATTTCAGAACATAGTACTGAGAACTATATCTTGTGCACCATGGTTTACAAGGAATACTGAGGTCCGTGAATATTTGAATATACCAACCATCAAAAAAGAAGTAAAGAACTACAGCAAAAAATATAAAGCCCGACTCCTTATCCACAAGAACTAATTGGCGAGAAACCTGTTGCATTCACAAAACCCAACGCGGTTGAAACGATGGCTCATCTTAAACTTAGATCAACGATTGTGACCACCACTAAAAACCATGATGCGTGATGCTCCCAGGAGCAACTCCCTTCATCGCCATTAAGAAAACCCATCTGATTATGGTTTTGCAAGCCGATGGCAGATAGAACAGAAAAAAAAATGGAGAGTACATCAGTAATAGTTTACAAACGGTCAGTAAGGAAACTGAACTTTTTAAAATTTATTACCTTAAGCGTAGCTCTTTGAGCTCTTTTCACTTCAATAGTGTACGCCTTTACGGCGCCATCCCCTATGGGTATGCGATAAATTACTACAGACTGAGCCAATGCAATGTAGACTCCTCAAAGAAGATCTGACAGAAGTACATGTCTTAGGGTCGTGTTCCAGAACTCAATACTCAAGTCAGGACTTGAGTATTGCAGTGAGCACTGAAAATCATGCTCAAGTCCTTGCCATTAGGGTCGTATTTCCAGTGCTTGAAATCATACTCAAGTCTGCTCAAGTCAGGATCTGAGTATGATTTCAAACACTGGAAATACGGCCGTAATGGCAGGGACTTGAGTATGATTTCGAGTGCGTTAAACCATACTCAAATCCTGACTTGACCATTGAGTAGAGTTCTAGAATACGACCCTTAGAGTTTTCAAAATCCATATAAGTTTTCTGATTCCATTTGAAACCAGCATTTGTTTGTTGTAACCATCTTTGGTTTATGATGATGCCGAGGTACTTTTCGGACGATAATTTGTAATTCTGTGTGCATGTACAAGTACTATTTCCACTAGGACAGCAACGTCTAAAGTTCTGGCTGGTCTTTTTACTAAAGGCTTCAACTAATATATTTAGAGAAACAAATATAGTTTGTCTTGTCGTTTAGGGTCAACAAGTTAACCTTTAACCAAAGACAGACAATAAATAGCAAATAATTTCTCCATTATAATTCGAAGGTCACTACTGGTAGCAGCATTAAAGATAAGAGCGGTATCATGAGTGTAAGAGAGAGTGAGGTTCAATACGCATGTGGCCTTCTATTCATAAATATGTACAATAATAACCGTATAATAATAATAATACAATATCCTTCTATACATACATTTTTACATGTTGTTTTCTGCCACTCAAGTAATTCTTAGTATGAATTAATATACACCCCCAATAGTTATTCTCTAAAGCTTTAGTACTGTGAGCTGAGACGTAGCTTATGTTGCGTAGCGAGAGGTACTTTATAAATATAAACTGGGATTAACTTCATAACTTGATATTTATTGTATATTTTTACATCTTTATTTCTTGGGGCTACAATTAGATCTCTCAAGATGTTCTTCTTTTCTAACCTATTATTTCAAAACACATTCTAAATACAAAACTATATTCACTCAGCCAGTAGTTCTAGAGTAGAGCCTAGACTACAGTACATACCAATATGGATGATATTTTTTTCTGATGATATTTTTTCTCTCATAGAGTTAGAGCCTAGACTAAAGTACATACCAATATGGATGATATTTTTTTCCACGTGCATAATAGGCGCCTTGAAGTTGAGTTGTAAATCCAAACGAATGGATGATATTTTAATAACATACCTATTTTTCAGCTCACAATTCAACATATTTGTTTCAATTTAAAGACCTTCATAAAATTCAATTGATTTTTTTCATATTCCTCAGGTTATAGGCAATTGGTTAAAATATGCTCAATGGGAAGAGTCACAAAAACAAGTGCAAAGGGCACGCTCCATCTACGAGAGAGCCTTGGATGTTGATCATAGAAATGTTACCCTTTGGTATGTATACATAAGTGTCTTATTTAAAGAAGCATGGAATAAGTTCCTGCTTCTTTAAATAAGAACAGTTCAAAGTTCAAATCTTAATGTTCTCTTGACTGTACATAGATATTTGTAACGGTGAATCTGATCATTTAAATTTATTTTTTAGAAAATGTAATAAACTGTATACTTTCTACTCCCTTCGGTACAATCGGTCTACTTTCCCGATCGGTCCACTTGTCCAATTGGTCCACTTTCCCGATTCGTGTATTTTCCATTTCGTCTACTTTCCCGATCGGTCCACTTGTTTTTCCCGATTCGTCTACTTTCCAGATCGGTCTATTTTCGCGATCGGTCCACTTGTCCAAATAGTCCATCTTTTAAGCGTGTAAATTAATAAAATTTTAGGGAAAAGAATCGTTTCACAAATTTTCAAAGGCAGTTTGTAATTGCGTAATTGCAGATAGTTAAGGAGTACATTTTTTATAATAGCCATCATTTGCTTTACGTTAACCATGATTTGAAAAACAAAATCAAATAGACAGTTTTTAAACCGACTTCAACAAAAAAAGGAAGTTCTCAATTCGACTGTATTTTATTTTTGTATGAATGTTACGCGATAACTCCGATTATTTGTGGTTTTGATGATTTTTTTTTGTTGGAAAGAGTCAGTAGTGGTCTCATTTAAATTTGAAGAAAATATTCCACCTCTAAGGGTGTAAACTAGGGGGTGAATCCGGTTTCGCGCACGTTCTGGTAGCCGATGTCAATAAAACTTGGCAAATTAAGTAAGTAATTCCCTAAATTTTTGAGGTTGTTTTTTTTTAGTACCTCACTGAGATTATCCGAGTAGACGCATCCTTAAAGTAGACCTATCGCGAAAGTAGACCAAATGGGAAAGTAGACGAAATGGGAAAGTATACCAAACAGGAAAGTAGACGAAATTTAAAATAGACGAATTGGGAAAAAAAAGTGGACCGATTGGGAAAGTAAACCAATTATACCGAAGGGTTTCTACTCTATCCAATTTATAATGGTACAACATACATACATAGTTTTTCAGTTCTAAACAAAGATTAAATAAATTAATATTAAATGAATTATTATTTCTCTGCATTTTATTGTTTGTATTTGTAATGTTTTCAACAAAAACCCTGGTGAAGGTTTTGTTGTCTTGTAGGCTAAAATACACTGAAATGGAAATGAGAAACAGGCAAGTGAACCATGCTAGGAATTTATGGGACAGAGCAGTCACAATCCTACCAAGGGTGTCCCAATTTTGGTACAAGTTCACTTACATGGAGGAAATGTTGGAAAATGTACCTGGAGCTCGACAAGTAAGTTTTGTAAAGTGGATTTTAACTATCTAATAATGAATTGGAAATTACATGAAACATACAATTAAACTATTTTTAAAACTTTCAGGTATTTGAAAGATGGATGGAATGGCAACCAGATGAACAAGCTTGGCAAACTTACATCAACTTTGAATTACGCTACAAAGAATTAGACAGGGCAAGACAAATTTATGAACGATTTGTCATGGTCCACCCTGATGTAAAAAATTGGATAAAGTATGCAAGGTTTGAAGAAAACCATGGATTCATAAATGGTGCCAGGAAAGTTTTCGAGAGGGCAGTTGAATTTTTTGGAGATGAAGAACTTGACGAAAGATTGTTCATAGCCTTTGCAAAATTTGAAGAAAACCAAAAAGAACATGATAGGGCTAGAGTTATATACAAGTACGCCTTGGATCACATTCCTAAAGACAGAAACAAAGAACTCTACAAAGCTTACACTATTCATGAGAAAAAGTATGGAGATCGGTCAGGTATTGAAGATGTTATTGTCAATAAAAGAAAGTACATGTATGAACAAGAAGTTATAGAAAATCCCACAAACTATGATGCATGGTTTGACTACATAAGACTGGTTGAAAATGAAGGGAATGCAGATGACATAAGGGACACATATGAAAGGGCTATAGCTAATGTTCCTCCTTCTAAGGATAAACAATTTTGGCGACGTTATATTTATCTGTGGATAAACTATGCACTATATGAAGAGCTTGAGGCTGAAGACCCTGAGCGCACAAGACAGGTATACAGAACTTGTTTGGAATTGATTCCACACAAAATATTTACGTTTTCCAAAATATGGTTGATGTATGCCCAATTTGAAATTAGATGTAAAAACTTGCAACAAGCTCGAAAAACTTTAGGCATAGCTTTAGGCATGTGTCCTCGTGACAAACTTTACAGAGGATACATTGACTTAGAAATCCAACTTAGAGAATTTGATAGATGCAGAATTCTGTACCAAAAATTCCTTGAATATGGTGCAGAAAATTGTATAACATGGATTAAGTTTGCTGAGCTAGAAACACTGCTAGGTGATTCAGACAGAGCTAGAGCAATATATGAAATAGCTGTGGGTCAACCTAGATTGGACATGCCTGAGTTAGTTTGGAAAAGTTATATTGACTTTGAAGTTTCACAGGGAGAGACAGAAAAAGCAAGGCAATTATATGAACGGCTTTTAGAAAGAACTGTACATGTGAAAGTTTGGCTTTCTTATGCCAAATTTGAACTCAATGCTGAAAATCCTGACAATATTAATGTTGAATTAGCTAGAAGGGTTTATGAGAGAGCTAACGACTGTCTCAGAAGTGCTGGAGAAAAGGAATCAAGAGTACTCTTGTTAGAGGCTTGGAAAGATTTTGAAACTGAGATAGGAGATGAAATCAAACTTGAAAAGGTGTTGAGTAAAATGCCAAGAAGAGTTAAAAAGAGACAGAAAATTGTTAGTGAAGGTGGAATTGAAGAAGGATGGGAGGAAGTGTTTGACTACATATTTCCCGAGGATGAGATGGTTAGGCCTAATCTCAAACTGCTTGCTGCTGCCAAACAGTGGCGAAAACAAAAAGAGACAAATGATGACAGTCAGTCAGATACACAAAGTGAAATGGAATGTCAAATAGCAAATCAAAAAGATAATGAACCTGAGGAACAGAGTTCCCAAGATGAAGATTCTCAAGAGGAAAGTGAGCACCAAGATACCCATACACCTCAGACTCAGGAACAAGGTACACCTCCACAAGAAGAAAATCAAGGTAACAAATCCGTAAAAAAGAAAAGTGAGCACCAAGATACCCATACACCTCAGACTCAGGAACAAGGTACACCTCCACAAGAAGAAAATCAAGGAAACGAATCTGATAGTTCAGACAGTAATTAAAAACACTTGTTATGCCTAATTGCGAAGAAAATAAAACTTGTTTTCTGTACAATAAGCAATAATTTATTGAGTGTATTATGTCTGTTGCAGTAAAAAAAATAGTTCAGTCTACTTCTTCTGGTCTCACTGGGTGTGACAGTGGTATCACTGATTTCTTGTTTACGTCTCTAGAGCATGCTTTTCTCATATCTGTAAAAAAGTTTACCTTTATTATATGTTTTTTCACTCACAATGATAAGCTGGCAGTAAATGAAAGAAACCCAAAGCAAAGTTTTGAGATAATACTTTATCATCAACTTCTACAACTATTAACAAAACCAACCTCAAAAGTACGTGGAATTACGTCTATTTGCTAAGTTTTATTGAAATATCTCTTAGTTTGCCACTATACAGGACTTGACACTGGAGATAATAAAAATAGGTTCTCACTACGTGTCACTACACAAAGTATATTGAGAGAAAAATGCCTTGAATTGGAGAAATAGCAAAATCAACCATTATAATTAATTAATTGCTCCTAAATTAAAGTTAGGGGCTATTTATAAAAATGAATCTTCATGCGTAAACAGCCACCCGTCGAGGTGGATGTTTTTATTCAAAATGAAATGGGACCACTATGGAAGTACCCCCTTTCGAACAAAAAAAGAATCATGAAAATCGGTTCACAAATACCGGAATTATCGCGTAACATACATACAAAAAAAAATAAAAAAAAGAACATATAGTCGAATTGAGAACCTCCTCCTTTTTTGAAGTCGGTTAAAAAAATATATTTAAACAAATTGGTGCAAAAGCAAAGTTTGTATTGCACAGAGAATAAATTATTTTTTGTCTCAATTATGCCCATTTTTTCAAGGCCCACAATTCAAGGCGTTTTTCTCTCAATATACTTTGTGTAGTATCGTAGTGAGAACCTATTTTTATTATCTCCAGTGTCAAGTCCTGTATAGTGGCGAACTAGGGGATATTTCAATAAAACTTAGCAAATAGACGTAATTCCACGTACTTTTGAGGTCGGTTTTTTTAGTACTCTGTACTGAGATTACTAAATTGGTTTTTGTTAAATCAGAAATCTTGAAATATTTACAATTCATGATTTTTAAAAAATATTTTTATAAAAATGTCACTGGAAAGGCGAAATGGTGCTTTAGTACTTTCGCCTTTCCAGTGATAATAATATTATATATAATAATATATATTTTTGCACTATTCTTATCGCACTTCTATGTTGTTAAAATCTAATTACTAGTATACGAATAACGAACGAATAGTATTTCGCTTTCAGGCCGAATACCGAATATTCGGCACGGAGCGAGGCCGAATAGCCGAATATTCGGCCTGATTAATGATCCTACGAAAATTGGCTCGCAAGCCGCATTATAGCAAAGATAGCTACACATACAATATATATAACTTAAATTAAACCAGTAATGATGCATAATATTTATATTTATAGGTATGCGGCCGAAAAGTGATTTAACTATCGTTATTAGGCTAAATAGCAAAAAATAGGCCGATTAAAACTAATAACGAATAGTAACCGGATATTCGTTGCGACTCTACTTATTACCCTTTGATTTGTTACCAACACAAATATATACATACTGAACTCTGCACTACGGAGTATTAATAAAGTATGTAAACAAACGGGTCATTGGCCCAACTATAGACAGATTTATGATGGCCAATTGGAGTGCCAATTACAAATAAATGAATCAAATAAATCAATTGAAAAAATCAGTTCAACAATATCTTTTTTGCGATTTTGCTAGATTACTAACAAACAATAAGTGATTCAATACTGAGTTATGATATTTTGATAGACAGGATTACAAAATTATAATCCATATGGGCTACAGTGAATTCTACACATTGACTGTCATGAAGGTAGGTGAAGTGCATAACAAAAGTGTTCCTTATATCAAATTTCAATCATAAAAAAAATATAAATATTGTATAATAATAATGTCGTTGGAAATACAAATTAAACCCTGTATCTGCAATTGAAGGTGGTCCAATTTCATATATCTGGGCCAGGATTTTATGGTAATTGGGGATAATATTTGTAGAACACCAGTTCTGCAAAAGATTATATATAAAATTATACTAACAAAAAATGTAATGATTATTTTGGATATTTACCAAAAGCATCTTCATCTGGATCTCCAGAGTAATATTCAAGTACAGTACGATACACAATGTATCCTAAGTTTTTGTACATGTTGATTGCTACCTTATTGCTTACTCTTACAAATAAATCTACAAAATATGCTCTTTTTCTGTAAAGAAAAATCGAAATTGTAAAAGAATGTATAAAAAGTGATAAATTTGTTATTGAGTACCATTTTTTGAATTTAGTAAATTTTGCTTATTCAAATATATTTAAGGTTTATTTAACAAAACAACACATGTTTTCCTAGTTACAGATTAGACATGGCACTAACTTCTCGGATACATCCTCAAGAATATTCATCAATGTGGCAGCTAGACCAAGTCTTCTATAATCAGGACTGACTGTCAAAGCAGTTACATGTCCATGCCAATTTTCTCCATGCCCTTCTGCTTTTCCCATTACTGGAAATTAAGAATATTAATTATAACAAAATTCATATAGTACATAATAACTAATTTATGTATAAATCTATATAAAACCAACTGCATAGCACAAGGCTAAAACAGAGAAATTTAAGTTATAACTACTACTATTTTGTAATAAGCATTTAAAAATAAATTATTATTCGAGTTCTTAGGTTTTCGCGATTGTTACACATAGGAAATGAAACTATGTTTCCGAATTTAAATCGCGTATATTTGTTTTTTCAAACAAACCGACGTTTCGGGCCCTTTACTGATCCCATCTACAGGTCATGGGACCTGTAAAGGGCCCCAAACATGGGTTGGTTTGAAAAAACAAATATACGCGATTTAAATCCGGAAAAATAGTTTCATTTCCTATAAATTATTATTATTATATTAACTTACTATATCCCATTATTTCACCGCTTGGAGATTCTACAACCTGGAAGTACTCTGGCCAATGGGCCAGATATTGAGTGTAGAACGATAGGCCGTATGTCTCCGTAAGCGGATCCAAATTCCTGCAAAGTATACAAAGCTTTTTTTTTACCTACAGAGGTTACACACAATTGAGGTTAACAATTTTGTAAATTTAGTCTATCTACTCACACATTATTAAATTTTAACATATCTTCACATGTAAATGGCCTTATAGTAGTCATATTTATCGAATTATAATTAAAACTGTTTTAATTGTAACCTAAATTCTACAAACCACTAATTCCTAAATTCACCATAGACGTCAAAGTCAAATTGCAAATCATAAACAATAGAAGAGTGATGCTACAACCATAGACAAAATGATGTATAGAAACAATAAATGCTTTATAGTACACCACCACTTATTAAAATTATGACGAAAAAACTTGACACAAAAGTCGAACAGATCATTATATAAACTGTATTTCATTAATAAATGAAGGCCTTTTTAAGTACTATTGAAATACTAGTGTAAAAAAGGAGCATTGTAAAAAAAAATTTAAATGATCGACATCATTCTACGAAAATGGAAACATTAATCAAAATAATTTCATTGTTGCCACAGTAAATAACTGTTTTCATTTGATGAATTATCATCTTACTCCTTTTAGCACATGTCGAAAGTATATTTATCACTCTTTTTACAAGCCAAAAGCTCAAGTGGAGCGATCTATGGGCTTCTTGCAGTTTACCAACACGACAATGGCCGAATTGTCCGTATAAAATATTTTTTATTGGCTCCTACAACCAAACCTGCCATGTCTTTGGTTTTAAAAATGGCGTATACAAGCTTTTTGTTTGCCGGTTTACGCTGTTAAATAGTTCCCAAGACCCCGCGCGTACTTAGAACGAGTGGTAAACGTCGTGAATATGAAATTGAAGTACATGTGTAGGTATATAATCAACACTATGGACTCCGTGAAGGAATTTCCGTAGCGTTATGGTGAATTAGAATGGTGCCTGTGGCTCGTCAATCTTGCACGTCGTCAGGTTACCAGCTCGTAACGTAAATATCACCTAGCGAGCCTTTTGTATTTCAGATATGACAGCGTCGCAAAATAGTAGATAATGGAGAGTTCGGAAGACGATGCGGGCGGCGCAACGAACGCTTCCCGCCGTGCATCGGCGCGGGAAAAGGACATCAGACCAAGAGAAGACGGCGGCACGAGTGGTGCAGCACCACCGGAGCCAGCAGAGACTGGCATGGCAAGCGAAACCACCTCGATGTCGGAATTCGACGGCGACAGCGTGCCGTCGCCGTCGCAAGACAACACCAGCACTGAGGCTATCCTCGACATGATTGACGAGATTGTTGAAGGTCCCGCCGCACTCAGACGCCGCTCGCACTATTCTGAAGAGCACAACAACGAGAACATCAGTGCAGAAATCGGTGAACAGTCCACCGCAAAGCCAGATCCAATTGCGAGGGACGCTCATATAAGTCCATCTCAACCATCATCAACATCACCTTCAGCATCTAGTGCCAAAAGTGAAACAATATCACAAGAGAGTTCTGTTAAGGCGCAAGTGGAAAAACCCTCTCCCAGTGTTACACAGGCAGCTGGTGCTTCTACAGAGGGTAATACACAAGACTGTAAGGATAATACACAAGATGGTACCAATGATAATCAACCTGAATGTGTAAACATTTCAACAAAAGCTGAAAGTGCATTACAACAGAGTTCTAGTGATACACAAGAGGAGTGTACTTCTAATTACCAACAACCAGTAAGTGTGGTTGTTACAGAGCCTGTAATACTGAACAGTTCAAGCGAAGTATTGCCAGGTGATGATTCTGAAAATTTGCCACAAACAAGTATAGATGTAACACCTGTGGATTGCGCATCTCAAAACACTGGTCATACAGAATTATCGCAGGCTAGTTCATCTGGATCTGTGAATGAGGCAGCTGAATCTACTTTACCCGAAGCAAGTACCAGCATAAGCATGAAACCTGAAGCCCCCAGTGATTGTGCTTCACCTAATATTCCTTCCAGCAGTGTGTTAGAGATTGTTCAAAGTGCATTGGACACTAATGATAGTGAAATTTGTGGACGGACAATAAAATGCGCAGCATCCAGTGAATCTCGGGACAATGTCACAGTTGAAAGTGCAGAATCTACTTCAAGTGACAGTTGTGTTAGTGAAACAAGGACGATAACAGTGGAATCATCAACAAGGTCACCACTACGACGTCGCCTTGTCCGGCCCACAGCCTGTGACCGACGTCCGGACTCAACAGTATCTTCTACTGTTGATACTCAAGTTCTTAACATCCACACTACAGAACAGACACCTAGTGACTGTATAGCAAAAGATGTTTCTAGTTCTTCAGACACTGTGCCCCATGTACATGATAATGTTAAGCCAGAAGAGATTAGAAGTGTAAGTGAAATTAGTGTCTGCAAAGCAGAAACATCCATAAACTCTCCAAAAAAAATTAAACTTGTTAGACAAAAAATTGCCCCTCCACTTATTGATGAGGATGATGTAACTGAAGAACCTAAATTACCCTCTGATTCTGATGTGTGTCAATCGACATCCACAGAGAATGTTACACAATCTTATTCCAAGCCAACCTCTGATAACAATACTAGCATTAAGGCTCTGGAATGTGCATCTCTTGAAGTGCCTAATGAATGTACTGTCAATATACCTCTTACTTCTACCAGTGAAGTTTGTGCTGAACGAGTAACGGAAGGCCCACAAGTATCTGAGCTAAGGGCACCTGAAAGCTGCAGTCTTTCAAGGCCATCTACACCTGTGCATGAAAATAAAGATAATGAAAATGACCAAAAGAGAGTTCCACCTATAAAATTAAATCTGAATGTGATGAACACAGAATCATCTCAAACTAAATCGGACAAACCTGAAGATCAGAGTGAAAACACTTCAAATGAAGACATGTGTCAAAATGCTTCTGAGTCTACCAAACAAGTCCCTAAATTGACTATTAAGTTAGGTAATAAACAATCAGAAGATGCAAAATCTCCCATACCTAAACTGACAATTAAACCCATTAGGCCGCCTCCTGATATTGAGACTAAAAAAGATCCTATTGAAGCAATCCCATCAGTAACCAAATTGAACATTAAACCAATACCAAAACCAGCAGAAAAGTTGAATGACATCCACAGGAAGTCCAGCAGCAGTGAAATTTCCGAATCAGAGAGCTCAGAAAATGATGAAAGCAATAGTACATCTGATCAAACCTCTGCATCTGATCAGGGCTCCTCTGAAGTGGTTCCAAAAGTTACTATTAAGCTTGGAAAACCTGGCACTGAAAGTGAAGGCAAGTTTTATACTGAACCTAATGTACCTAAACTGACCATAAAAGGTTTGCAACATAGTGTCTATGAGGAAAAAGAGTCCGTATCAAAACTAAACGTCGCAATTGCCCAAACTGAAGAAAAACAAGCTGAGAAAATTCCAAAATTGACAATAAAAACTATAACAAAAACTGAAGGGCAACCCCTTAGTCCAAAACTGACAATAAAACCTTTAAAACCACCTGATACTTCAAGCAAAGACAGTGGTCACATACCCAAATTGACTATCAAACCTATTTTAAAAACAGATGAATCTACATCTAAAACACCAAAAAAGTCCACTGGTCTGTGTGATAGTCAGGAACATATTCCTGTCGTTACTAAATTAAATATAAAGCCTATTGTAAAGCCTGTAGAAAGCGAAACAACTGAAGGTTCAGATGAAAAACTTCCTATTGTTTCAAAATTACATATAAAACCTGTCATCAAACCAACAGATTCCGATGAAATTGCAACAGACTCAATAGAAAATAAAGTCCCAGCTATTTCAAAATTAAACATAAAGCCACTTGTTAAACCACCAGAGTCTTCAGACACTCCTACTATTGAAAGTAGTATTCCTGTGGTATCAAAATTGAATATAAAACCTATAGTGAAATCAGCAGATCTTGGGGAAACAGCACAGGATGTGGGAGAGATTATCCCAGTAGTATCGAAATTAAATATCAAACCATTAGTCAAACCTGGTGAAAGCGAAACTACTGAAAATGTTGAAGAAATAGTTCCTGTAGTTTCAAAATTAAATATAAAACCTGTAGTAAAGCCTAAAGATAATGCAGTAGAGGATAGTGTAGACGATGTACCTAAAATTACGAAGTTGAATATTAAACCTTTAAAAGAGCCTGAAGTAATATCTTCAGCAGCAAAAGACTGTGATGTATTGAATGCTGATGCTGCAGAAAGTAGTATACCTGTTGTTATGAAACTTAATATTAAGCCTATAGTTAAGCCAGTTGATGAAGACACATCGAAAGACTCAGAAAATCAATCATCTGAAACTGGGAACTCAAGTGATGACAACACAGATCATATACCTGTGGTAACAAAGTTAAATATCAAACCTATTGTAAAACCAGATGACTTGGAAATAACAGCAAGATCAAGCGCATCAAATGAGGAGAATGTTCCTGTAGTAACTAAAATCAACATAAAACCTTTGATAAGACCAGAAGAAAGTAAATCTCCAGGATCTCCTAAAAAAGATGGCTTAAAAATTACGAAACTAAATATAAAACCCGTAGTGAAACCTGATGAAATTGATCAAGAAAAAACAAAAAGTGATAATGATGATGCAATGTCTAAAAATCCGCCTTTGCTTATGAAAATCAATATGAAAGCTGTGGCCGATAGTCCCACTAATGACTGTTTAAGTAGTTCTGCTAAAAAAGTCAACAGTACTGATACTTATAATAATTTGGACGAGAATCTCCCCAAAGTTACAAAACTTAATATAAAACCTGTTACTAAACCATTAGATGTGGAAAATAGTTCACACCCTGAAATGTTTATGGTAAATTGTAATCCAAGCAGTTCCCATTCGCAGGCGATGATATCAGAAATCTTGAAGCAAAACTGCACAGAAATTAAAGAAGTTGTAAGTCCTGCACAACAATTCAAGGTTTCAAAGCAAGAAAATCTTGAAAAGCAAGTGACACTATTAAAACAAAGTACGTTAATAGTAAAATCTGCAGATGAACATATGACAAATAAATTAGTGCACAGTTGTGAAGATAACCAATATATGAAATTCATAAACACCAAAACCTCAGCTGAATCTGACCTTGTGCAAGCGACAAATAGACAACAGTCATCATTGCAAAACTGTACTTTACTTAAAAAGTTATTAGAAACAAAAAAGGATGGCCTAGATAAAAGACTTCAAGAATCAAAAGTAAATGTAAACCACTCACTATCACCATCATCAAGAGTTGAAATAAACTTACTAAAAGGTATGAGGCATGATACAACTAGACCAAGTCTTGGAAATGAATCAATCCAGGACACAAATCAAGATACAGTTAATGATTTTGGAGCATTAACAACTCCAAAAACTGTTACTATCTCAGATTCCCATAAAGATACAAATGATAGTATAACAAAACCACTTGAAATTAATACATCTGACAAAATAACTAATCTAAGCTCTGGGCAAGATTCTCCAAGAATCATTTTGAAAATTAATAAGACTGATCATGGTCCTTCAGCTAAAATAATAACAGAAGAGCCTAATCGTCCAGATACACCTCAGCAAGATGCACCTGATAATACTCAAGAAGTGCCGAACGATAAACAACTTCAAAAAAAGAACTTGGTAAATAGCAGAAAAAAGCCAGTTTTAGATACACCCAATGAATCAATGGGTAAAAGATTACGAAGTTCCAGAATAGTTGAACATACGGAAAAGACCACAACACCAAGAAAAAATGCGGGGAAACGACCATCTGCTACAGAAATAAGTCCAACACAAGCTAAAGAACCTGAACTGTCAGTATTAGAAACAAAAAGGTTAAAATTAGGACAGATTTTATCAAATAAATCTTTTACACCTGTGCCTTCAAATGAACCGCTCATACCTTCCACGAGACCAGTGATAGATATGAGACCAGGTGAGAAGACCGTCGTGCATCATGCACTTTTAAACAATGAGAACTGTTCTAAAAATGGTAATTCGAAACTACACAATATTCTTTCCAATCTTCAAGTAAAACAAGCCCAAGCTTTGGCTTTCAATGACATTAACTGTACTGAAAAGAAGCCCTCGATTCCAGAGCTGGACTCAAACACATCTACAGGTAGTTCAGATGTTATTGAAATAATACCGATAGAAAATTCACATCCAGAGGTGCAACAGATGATTTTAAATGAAAACTCAGAATCGCGCGATTTTACTATAGTCCCCAACGATTTATCGCAAGATCCATTAGAAGTAGACGCGTCGAAAATAAGTACCGAACAAACAAGTGCAAGTCCCGACACTCCCAAGCTGGAACAGTTGACGCCGCAGCCTAAGAAGCGCGGACGACCTCGAAAATTGCCTGTATCAGAGGGTGCAAAGCCCGCACCTGTCGTGTTACCTGTGCCAGCGTTAGAGGAACGTCCGCAGCGATCACTCCGATTGTCTAGGTATGTACCAAGTAACTCAAAATCAGTTTCTTATTTCAATTGTAAAATGAGAGGGTAATGTAATGAGCTATTTTTAAATTCTAAATAACTACATTCAATGCCCAGGAAAATGAAACCTTTTGCATAATCAAATAATTTTAGTTTAATAATTTGTTAGTTCAAACTTTATTGGCTAACTAAATGGTACTTCATTTACAAAAATTACAGAGACCGTCCAGCGATACTCGTCAAAACCAGATTGAGAGGTCGCGGGCGAGGCGCCAAGCGGCTGGAGGCCAGTCGCCCAGTTGAAGAACCAGTCGTCGACACTGCTACGAACTTCCTCGAAGAACAAAAACCCAGCGAAGAAATCGACCCTACCAGTTCCCGAATAAAACTACCCCGCATGACGGAGGCTCTCGACAAGATGCCTTCCACGTGCGCGACACCTCTATCGAGTAGAAGACGAAAGTCATCTACGACGGAGGGTCTGCGGATGTTCGGGGACACGCCTGAGCTGAAAGTGGTTTTAAACACTATACCGCAAATGGACGAGGTGATGACCAACTCCCCCGAGATTCCAAGCGGGCGTGGTAGCCGAGGGGGAAGAGGCTCGCGCGGGGGGCGGGGTCGCACACCAAGAGGCACACCGCGCGCTAGAGGCAGAGGGCGGGGCGGAGGACGAGGCGCCATGTATATGAAGGTACGATAAATCCTAAAGATATAACTTGTGTTTCTATGTAATATGATCAGATTATTCAGATCCGGTGACCAGATGTCCAATATTAAATAGTAAGTATGGTATGATTTTGATGTCGCTGATGTGGTTCAATTTGAATTTCATTCTACTTATTTGTAATTTATGACAGTTGTCATTTCGGCGTACTGACATTATTATGTATAGATTATGTTATTTACATTTGTGTATAAAATGTCAATTGAACACTATTACCACTTACAGGAAACGATGGGCATATACGGGCGCGTGTGTGGGCCAGCGACAACTACTGTCGAGTTGTTCGGAGAGGAGACCTGCATGATGGACGACAATGCCACGCCCGCCAAGTGAGTTCGATTAACTGTCTTCATGCCCACAGATATTCTTCTAAGGCCTTTTATCGAGGATGAAAATTTAATGGAGAAAGACAAGTGCTTTTAAAGAGCCTAGAATTTCGTTACTTCGAAATGTCTGATTCCTATTGACTGTTTAAACACATTTCCGCGTTGGTGGTTTGGAGAACCTTTACCATGACGACATCGACGACATAGTTTTTAAACTTAAAGTATTAGCTATTTCTGTAGTGTTTTCAATACATGTCAGCTTTTTTTAAAGGATGTTTAAGACAGTCCACCACCATCAGTTATAGCCCAATGCGGGTCGAGGACTGCGGGTCATACATTTTCAAAAATGATAAACAAAATTTTCATTACAGACCTTCACATTTACTGGATGAAGACTCCCAAAGTTCTGTGAAAAGCTCGACAAATGAGAGCAGTAAGATGAAGAGATCGAAATTCGCAGACCTATTCGACAGGTATAAAACTTTTACTATGGACATAGACATTTAACTTCTCATTTAATTCTGTCAGAATTGCTTCAAACATTTTCATTTACAGTAACAAAGTATGGATGGCGTCTGATGTCAAAGAATACATGTGGCCGCCACCAGAAAGACCAGATGTTCAACACCAGGTATTTCTACTATACAATTTAATATTTTGGTTATAATATACAAAGTCCATGATTTAAGAGCCTAGAAAAATTTAAGATGATAGTTTCAAGTTACTGGGGAAAGATTGCTACTTCTTGTAACCTTTCTTTACTAATGTGCTGATGTTGAACATTAGAGTATTGTGTTAATTAACAACCTTTTTTTAGGTAATGATGATCCAAGAACAAGTGGCAATGTTCCTTGGCGTAAAGAGCTTCAAGCGACGCTACCCGGAGTTGAAACGACGGACCATCGTCGGCGAAGAAAAGGACTACGTCCTAGGCAAAGGACTGGTCACAGAAGCCCTTTGCAACCTTGGTGAGTCGCTCGTAAAGTCATTGTTTTATACATTGACTTATAATTATATGGACGTCGGGTCCGCGCTAAAAAGTGTCCGAACTTATAGGGCGTTAAAATCGTATACAGAGCGTCATTCACGCTTTAGTCTTCGTTTGTTCGACTGACAGCGAAGCAAGCAAAATTAGACAGTACTGCGATGACATTACAATTTAAATTCAACGTTTTAGCTTTTTCATATTCCTTTACATGTCACTATGTTTAAATAGGTTGACTTGGGACATTTTTTTCGTAGTTTTTGTATGAGACCCGTCGTCCATTTATTTGTAAGTCAATGGTTTTATATGAAAATTTTATGTTTTTATGTTTGAGCGCTATTAGTGCGAAACCCCTGTTTAGTTTCCGAAACGCTAGTTTAATCTCAAACTGATTATATTAATAGAGAGCTTAGAATAAAAGTTTAGAGAAAATAAAGAGGAAAAGTTGTTCAGTATAGTCAAAGCTAAATAATCATTTATTCCATAGGTAAAATGAATTTACACTTGAAAAACTTAAAAAATCTAAAATCCTTGTAAAGTCTATAATCCCTGTCGGGCCTTTAAGTTAGACTGTTAGGTATCAACTCCATAGTAGGCCATCAATATTTCGATAACATCCAAAATAGACTAAGGGTCGTATTCTAGAACTCTACTCAATGCTCAAGTCATGATTTGAGTATGGTTTAAAGCACTCGAAATCATACTCAAGTCCCTGCCATTAGGGTCGTATTTCCAGTGCTTGTATTTCAATTGCAATCCTGACTTGAGCATTGAGTATAGTTCTAGAATACGACCCTTAGTAAGTTATTAAACTTTGTGACCTCTAATTTGTTACCACAAATTTGTTATACAAAGTGACAACTAATAATTAGTTTGTATTTATTTACAACAGGAATAACAGCTGTAGACGCGAGCGAAGTCCTAGACATAATGTTATCAGATTATCCTCACAAATATGAAGAATATAGATCCCACCAGCATCAGAAGCAATTGGCGGAGGCAGCGGCCACGCCACAGCCTGAAGAGTCCGTGCCCACAGTGCCTGGCGAAGAGGCAAAGCCGGATGTACGAATCGATCGGATTGAGATGAAGCCGGAACCTAAACCCGACAGCAAACCTGAACCATCGAAAATTGATCTTGAGAAGAGTAGACAGGTACGTCCAAAATCCAATCTGTGCTATTGTTAAATGTAACAAGTCCACTACAAAAATACGTAGCACAAAGTGGGTTTTAGGCAGCAAGGAAGATTCATGTAATCAGACTTTCGAACACTTTGTATTACTGTTTCTAAAAGGAAATCATTAGCTGGTTTCGACATGAAAGTTATGGAGCATTATTCATCCATTATTCAATACTTTTTTACTGAAATATGTATTTATATTATGATATCGCACCCCTCATGGAAGAATGGCATAAGCGGAGTCAAAACGCTTATTGCTGAATTAGAACTCTATCGACAAATATTGTAGATAGAGTTACAAGAATTGTAGAGGATGTGGTTTATGTTTTTCTGTATCTAATGGAGCAATAAATATTTTTGACGTAAATCTACTTGTGCCATTCTTCCATGAGGGATGCGATATAATGTTATTGGTTTTGTTTTGTATTACATGATGTTTGTTTAATTGGGCAAGTAAGCCTGTTTATTTTAGTTATTGTGTCCTGTACTGTCTGCAGGAAATAATTCTTTAAGAAAGAAGCAGAACCTTTTGTTACTGTTTTCCCCTTTGTTATAATAATATGTGAATTGTGTATGTCCCGTGCAATAAATATTGATTTTTATTGAATATTGTGACACAAATTATCAATTGCTTTATTTCTCTGAGAAAGGTAGTTACATCTCATATAAAATAAAAAGTTCCTTACTTGGAGTCCGCACTAATAAATAAATGATTAGTCGAATTGGCAGTTAAACCATTCTAAACAGTTTTTCTGATTTTACGTCACCCACAGGACTATAAAAGTTAAGAGTGCATTGTAAAATTTCTCTAGTCTTTTTTAACACGAACATGGCATGTATTGCCACAGGAGATGGCGGCCGCAGCCATTGCGTCAGCAAGCGAGTTCAACGTGCGCATGAACGCGGCGCGGCGCGGCGCATGCGTGGACCTGCAGACGCTCACCATCCAGCGCCGGCGACCGCCGCCCACCAAGGCGCCCGAGCACGTGCGCCCGCCGGGAGGCTTCTACCCCCACGCCTTGCTGCCTGGCCAGTACCAGCACTGGTACCGAGTCTACACGCCCGACCAGCTACGGTAGGTTGCACTACCTTACTATCGTAGCAGTTAAGCTCGTTGTGAAAGAGTTCGTCCAGGGTAGTACTGTTCCCTATTCCTGCCGCCAAGCAGTAATGTTAGCATTACTGCGTTCCGTTTTTGAAGGGTGTTAGTGACATTACAGACACAAGAGACTTGTCAACATATCAGGTGACGGGCGCAGTGGCAGTTCTTCTCATATCTTTGCGATTTAAGGCGAGCCATTGGAGAAGCGGAAAAACTGTTTTGCTAGAACAAATGTTTTAGGTATTTACTATACATAACGGTCTTATAAAAATATGGTACACTTAAGGATGAAAGGGTTGTAACCCTAACTAGCCGTGACCAGATTCACGGCAATGAAACGGGAAACTTCCGGTCCACAAAATTTATTAAAAGAAGTAAAGTAAAACGAAAGGCTGTAACAATAAAAATGTAAATGTAAAAAAACAGGTAAAATAGCATAAAACACTCCCTACACCTTATGATGGGTATTAAGGCGCTTACTCCTAAAAGGGCCGAGTAACTGAATTACAGATACGTAATCTTAGGTACATGAAGGCTGTAGACTGTTATAGATTATTACACATGATTTAGCTTATTTAATGACGATTATAAACGTAATAAAGAACCAAAATTAGCGATTACATATACGCGATTGAATTTGAAACAGCTCCGACTGCTGTGGTGGTCGAGCAGGGAGTGACCGTGGTACGAAACAAAATGGGAAATATTTTATGCGATCATATAAAATCCCGAAACCAGGATGAAATAAAAGTCTAAAACGTATTATTTAAGAATAAAACATCGAGTACTTATATTATAACCAGAAATAGAACCTGCAAAATTTTGGTTTTCAACTGAAGCCCTATATTTTAAAATTTTTATTTAATTGATATTCAATTATTTTTCGTGAATTTGCTCCACTAGTTTGTTATAATTATTAATATAAAAATCGAACACTCGGAAAAAATTCCTTCGATCCGGCCGGACTCGAACCGATGTCTTCTAGCTTACCGTGTCAGACGCTATACTAACTAAACCACGGAACGAACTAGCGGACCTCACGAATTTTTTTATGTGCTTGTTGTCGTGTCTTTGTATTTGGTTTTTCAACGACTTTTTATTCGTAGCGCCATCTATGAGAAATCTATGAAAATTTTGAAACCCTATATTTATTAGGTATTGAATTAAATACACATTTATCCCAAAACTTATAAATTGCCCAGCGCTTTAACGACACCCCGCGCCGCCCGCTGCCCCGTTAGTCGCCATCGGGCGCTTGTCAACGTCGAATCTGTGCCAAAATATCTCCGCTTATTTTTATTTTATTCATAGTATTCATTGTAAGCGCGCATATTGCGGGACACGAGGAGCGGCCCCCCTTACTTCATCTCGTCAAATTTAGGCTCGCGTTCAAATATTTTGCCTTTAAGGTCTAATTTTCCACTGGCTCGGTGGCCTCGACTTAAAACAAAACTTCCGAAGGAGTAATCGAGGAGTTCATCGTGTTGTAGAAGCAATCGATCATGTCATTTTCTTTGCAGATATTTCCCCATGAACACAGCGATGGCGGCCCCTCCGGCGCCACCCTCACCTGTGCCTTCATCTTCCGAATCGGAAGGCGAGTGGAGCTCCACCAGCTCCAGCGACGATTCCACCAACAATAAACTACCTGCCAAGGTCAGTTGCTAAGAATTTAGAATTGCTAAATTGCGTTATTATAAAATCCTTTAATGTTGCCGCTTTGTATGTTTAACACAAGAACATTATAGCAGGTGTACATCATAAACATATTTAGTCTATTTATAGTCCTTAAAATTCAAAAAAGCAACGCTTGCTACCCCGAGCCATTAGTATTGAATAATATAAGTCCCTAATACGCATATCAAATATGCTATGAGTGACATTAGTATGTTTGTGTTCAGCGGAAAAAACTAACTAAGACTAAGCGAAGCAGCCACACAGACTCTATGGACAAAAAGGACGAGAGCAAAGAGGGCGAGGTGGACCTCTGCCGCGTGTGCAAACTGCGACTTGAGGCCAACCGCAAGTACACACACGAGCGGTTCCTCGTCTGCTCCAACTGCAACGCCAAGTGTGAGTCAACCTTTACAAGGCCTTTTACTTATCTTTTCATTTATTTATCTCATTTATGTGTCAATTTTTTAAATAGTTTACTTTTGCCTGTAATATTGTCCACTAATTAAATTGCTAACTTTGCTCAGATCTTTCACTTCCGTTTGCATTGTCTTTTGAAATACGCTCATCGAATACCCTTAGTTTAGTGGGTTTATTATAGAACATCCTTCTAAAGTACAGTCGATGCTCTAAGATCCTCCTAGCCGCCCTTTTGGTTATAACAAATTCCAGTTTTTTATTGAAATTGGTGTTTTATATAATTAGTTAATTTAAATTAATTTTACATATCAAATGGGCTGCTCGAAAAGTTTTTTAAAACGTCATTCACTAATGATGCAAGAAGCCATATCAAAATTTATTTTACGACTCACAGGTTAAAGAATAAGTTTGTATAAAAACTTTCTAGTTTGTATCAGAACCAAATAGACAGTTAGAGGGTCAGGTATCTTAGGGCATTGACTTATTTTTTACTACGAGTATGTGAGAGGCTTAACCATATTAGAAACATACAATGTCTAAGTCATTATCCGTCACACAATGTGATATCATCGTTTATTGCAATGCGATTTCCTGGTGAAAGTCGAGTCAGCGGTCGTTGCATGTGCGGCTAGTCGAGAAAGGCTTAGCACGCGCTATATAGCGTAACAAATTATATGAGACTAGTGGCCAATAGTGGAACTACTGTTCGTCACATCTATTATTTGTTAAAAGGGTCCTTATTCACTTAACAACCAAAGCAGGTTAAGAAAGTAATTACTGCGTACTGTTGAATTTATATAGCTTGTACTATAAATTCGGTGTATGTTAACATACCGAACCTTGCTGAATGGTTCTTTGTCTTTTCCGAGTTTTCAGATCTTAAGATATGGATTAATTCGATTACAGAAGTGTCGCACAGACAATTCTGCTTTTGATATTACAGGTTTAGCATTAGGGCCAACAGCCAAACAATAAACAATCTGGCTAGAGTAGAAAAACATTACCCTTGTCTACTGACTATGTTGCTGTTATAGTAATAGGGGTTAAAGTATGAAATTGCCGATTTGTACTGAAAATCTAAATTGTTTATTTTTTAAATTTTTAACAAATTTATTTAATCAAAATAGTTGCCATTATTATCTATACATTGCTGCCATCTAATGGGAAGGTTAATAATGCCTTTGCGATAGAACTCCGACGATCTAGACTGCACAAACTGTGTGAAAGCATTTTGTACTGCCTCCTGGGAAGAAAACTTCTTGTCACGTAGATAATTGTCCAAATCACGAAAAAAATGGTAGTCCGTTGGAGCAAGGTCTGGTGAATACGGAGGATTCACCAGATTCAAATGGTTTCTAACTGCAGTTCCTGAAGGGTCAAAATGGTTTCTCGTGCTGTGTGAAGTCTCGCGTTGTCGTGGAGCAATAATGGTGAAGATCGATTCATGAGTCGGGGCTGTTTTACTGCTAGTTTTGTCAACATAGTTCGGAGTTCGGCACAATAGACATCTGCCGTTATTGCTTGACCAGATCGGAGAAAACTATAGTGAATAACACCATGCTGAGACCACCAAACAGTTACCATTACCTTTTTATTGGTAAGTTTTGCTTTAGGACACTGTTGTGGCATTTGACCTGGGGTCAGCCATTGCATTTTTCTTTTCCGGTTATCATAAAGAATCCACTTTTCATCACATGTTACAATTCGATCCAATACTCCTTCATTTCTGTACCGGTTCAACAAGGCAACACAAGTTTCAACACGCGTTTCTTTCTGCAGATCAGTCAAATCATGAGGCACCCATTTTTCGTATTTTTTTATTTTATTGATTTGACGCAAGTGAGTCAATATTGTGGGTAAGGTAACGTTAAACCATGCCGCTAATTCCTGGGTAGTTTGACTAGGATCGGCTTCCACTATCTCTCTTAATTCATCGTTATTCACCTGTGTGGGCGGTCTTCCTCGTGGCTCGTTCTTTAAGTCGAAATTTCCATCACGAAAGCGTTTAAACCAAAATCGCACGGTGCGTTCATTAGTAGACCCCTCTCCAAACGCAGCATTGATATTGCGGGCTGTTTCTGCCGCGTTAGTTCCGCGTCGGAACTCGTATTCAAAAATCACTCGAATTTTCGCAGTATTGAATAACAAAAACAATTGAAAGTCGATATTCAAATGTTTCAAATTTAAAAAAAAAATACAGAAACCATTTGAAAAAAGTTTCATTCGAAAACCTCAAACCATGAAGATTCTATGAAAATTCAAAGAACCTATTGCAATAAAACGGCAATTTCATACTTTAACCCCTAATATTTATGTGCGCGAATTACATGCTCGTGCTGCTTTATTTTGACAACTTGGAAAATAAATTGGTCTAGTCATAACAAAAAACCTCCTGATATCGATTTATTTTGTGTAGAAATCAACTTAGGGATCAATAAAGAAAATTTTCACCAGCATCTCGTCTTCCTTTTTATTAGATAGCAGTTAACGCCCATAATCTTCACAAGAGCAATGATATACTAAGAGCGATATTAAGCTTTCAAATTTCTGTGTTAAGTTACTTTAACTGCATGAACTCATGTGCATCCCACTGTATTCGGGTTCATGCAGTATCTAGGCGTGCGCTTTTTAAATTGCTACGTTAGTCTTTCACGGTCACCTAATAAAACATTTGAAGACATCACAAACGATGAATTAAATTAATGTAGTCACATAATAAATTTTATGGTAGTATTGGTAGCAGGTACAAATCTTAGTCTCCGCTTAGTCTGCTGGGAGAAAGACGTGATGGTATAGATCTATTTAATTATTTGTTTACTGTACGGCCCGCAAGAGTTAACTAGAGATTTTAAATTATAACGCACTAAGTCATAGCCACGCACTAGGGAAACACTGTGTCGGGCGCCATAGATACCACAAGTTACGCCAATTACAATAAATGTAAGCCACATAAATATTTCTCCCGGCCCGGGAATCGAACCCCGGAACCTCCGTATAACAGTCCAGCACAGTACCCGTTCGGCTACCGAAGCAGTGATTCTTTAATAAATTCTTTCTTGTCTCTTTTTTGCTATGCTATATACGGCGAAAGTGACAGAGCATGTGCGCATTCTTGATGTATAAATAGTACAGACGACAGCACATCAAACTATATATACACTTTTGTTCGAATGTCGCGAAAGAAGATCAATCAGTGTGTAGCTTGTTGTGCTGTTGTCTGTAAATGGAAAAGAAAATTAACTAAATAATTTTAATCTGCAGTACACCCGGGTTGTGTGGAGCTAAATGCAGACACAATCCGCAAATGCCGCGAGTATGCGTGGCAATGCGCCGAGTGCAAGTCCTGCTGCGCCTGCCGTCAGCCGAAGGACGATGACAAGATGTTGTTCTGCGATCTGTGCGACCGTGGATTCCATATCTACTGCGTCGGTCTCGAGAAAGTACCGAGCGGTAAGTCAATACAAATACCAATTAATAATACCTTCGCCGCCAGCCACACAAATTACAAATATAATAAGAACAAGTAGGGCAATTCCCACCTGTCAACATTCGCTCGACGCGTAGGGTTGTTACATTATTGTTTTAGTTGTAAATATAATTTGAAAATAATTTGGTGTTTAACGCAGTATTCTCGCGCTGTATTGAAATAACCTTTGTTAAATGCAGTAGGTACTTAGATATTTATATTTTATACCATAGTCTGTCTTTTTTGAAGACGGAGTAAAATAGCATTTGAAGGGTTGCCAGTTTTCATTACATTTTAAATAGTCATGTAGGTGTTGTTGACAGTTTTATCGATACATTGTGAAAGAAGATAAAATGTTGCCAAATATGTCTGAATTGTGAATGTTACGACGTCTAATGATTAGTTATTGCGTTGTTTGTTGTCATTTTGACAGATTTGACATTCACTTCAGCACCACCCAGAGCACTTACATGTTAGGGTTAGGCTAGGTTAGTGCAGTAGTTCCTACCTTCTAAGTTCAGGTTCTGACCCCAGATCAGCTAGTGGCCTAGTAGCTGGCCTCGGGTGAGCCACCCCGGTTGCACGTTCAGTACCCTCCCTATTTTCCAGATACATAACACCTAGATCGGTTAAAAAAGTTCGTTTCCGTATCTATTCAATAAATCATGGCGGTTGAGTTTTTGTGACATTATCTTGTTCGGGGATAACAGTACCGGATACAATTATAATTATTATTATAACGCACACATTTCTAGCCCCGAAATAGGGAAAGTCTGTGTCGCCGGTGTCATGGACACACATAGACGACCAGAAATTACACCCGAACTTACGAGAGAAATAAATGTAGACCATACAAATATTTCTCCCGAACTGGGAATCGAACCTCTGCGTGGCAGACCAGCTTGCTAACTGTTCGGCCACGAAGGCAGTTGTGCGTCTTGATGTCTTTGTTACGCTGTTCCCACCGGGCCGCGCCGTCCGAGCCCACGCCGAGGCACCGTGTGAAGTTTACAGCCCGGCGCGGGCTCAAATATATAAAATGTAGATATTTAAAAACATTTTTTTTGTGGTTACGATCGTTTTTGTCGTTCAAGCGTTCGACATCGACTAGATTCAAGGACTACGTCTATACCTGCAGTTCTGTTTTTTTTTTAAATTTCATTTTTCCTTAGTACTTTCGTTTTTTCCGGTGTTAGTTATGGTGCTTCAATGCTTTCTCTCTAAGACAGTAATTTAATTACAATACAAATAAATTCATTCTTGAGTTTCTTTTATAACACAATTTCCAAGGAATTTAATCACTTTCATAGTCTGGTGAATGCCCTAGTGTTATTGTAGCTCAATCGATCTTTCTTCAATTGATAATTTATTTTGATTAAAAGTCATTTTTAATGCTACATAAAATTCATTTAATGTCTAAAATAACGAAAACTAATTTATTTACAAAATCAAACAACAAATAAAAATGTACACTTCAGTCGCTATGTTTGTGTAAGGAGTTGTATACAATCTAATCATTAGCACCAAAGAAGTACATGCATGTACTGGTGGATTGCAGGTCGATGGCACTGCGTGGAATGCGCAAAGTGCAAATCGTGCGGTGCGCGCGACCCCAACGGGCCGCAGGCTGAGGCCACCTCGGGTGGGACTTCGAGCTCGGTTGCGGGCTCGGTGTCCGTGGTCGGCGGCGGCGAATGGCACCACCAAACGCGGCGCGGACCCGGTGGACATAAGGTCTACTCACACTCGCTGTGTACGCCTTGCGCCAGGTCAGTACCGAACACTCGTCATAGTTCAAGTTAACGATGCAGTAGGTAAACCATCCAAAAGCCTTGTGATTGGTCAATTCGAATATCCCACTGCATTATTAACACGAATAAACAGTATTTACTTTAAGGCTACAGACACATCGACGCGACATCGTAACGCCTGATTATTACTTATCCGGTTTGTCCATATGCCTTAATGAGAATGTCTTTATGACAGATTCGCATTGTCGGTAGCTGATGTGTTTGGACCCGAATACGTTGATCGATCGCCTAGATTCATATTCCTGTTCAAAAACAAGTTACGGCTCTTTATAAATGTACGAAAAGTTTGGATTTCTTTGATGTAAGGGACGACACGACGTGCAAAGTTAAAAGTGTGTTAGTTATTTTAGATATTTACCAATTAAAGGATACTTTAAATGAAATGACAACAAGAATGTGAATCTTGGCAGGAAATTACCCATAGTTGATTATGGATCAAATATACTGAGCGATGTTTGTGTAACAAATCCATTTATTGATAACTTTGACAAGAAACGATTAGTTTTTATTTAGTTTCTACTTGAAATCCACCATCAACTTTGGAATAATACTTATTTGAAATGTTAACACGATCATATCGGTCAAGTGCTCTTTAGGTCATGATAAAGACAAAAGTAATAAACAAATATTTATAAATATTTATATACACTGATATCATCGTGTTATACAATGTATGTAATAGGATAACGGAAGTTTCATAATGTTGGAATCGTAAAAAAAAAAGAAATGCTAGTTACACCTAGTTTAGTAAGTTATTGTAACAAATTTTCCTTATGCTAATACCTTAATTTAAGTTTTAGTTGTCATAAAGTCCTATCAAGAGGATTATAAGATTGCTGGATTTTTATCCCCCAAATATGTATTGTGTCAACCTCTAGTAACTATTTAGAATGTGTTCCTTATAAATAACAAAGCAGGTGGATTGATGTGTTGTGTTTCTGTCTCTTTGCACATTGGGTTCTTCACAAATTAATTAAATTGCATCTTTAAAATGGTTTTGGCTTCCTTACTAATCCAAATTTCTATTACAAAAAAATATTAGTGAAGAATCTATTGTACGTAATTCCTAAAAATCTGAAAGTTAATATGTTCCGAACGAAACACACTTTATGTGATAAAACAATTTTAAAATACCGTAAAATTAAACAAATAATTCCGTATTTTTCAAGTAAAACCAAGAGGGGCACCAACAAAACGTGAACCCGTAGTACGATAATCAAGAAGAGTTGTTTGCGACCGACGCAGATGCAAAGTACAAAAATTTTTACCAAGTGTTACGTCGATATTTGTGTCAATGTTTCCGTTAACTGGTCTTGGTAGTTACTCACGTCACCTCATGCGTACAATGTGGACTAACACGACTGATCCGTTCTGTCAGCGCCTTCACTGTGTCGACATCCGCTTTCTCTCTGGTTCTCGTAGCATTTGGCCCCGCAGTATGTTCTCTCTGCCCCAGCGCCAGCGTTCTTACTCACCAATCATCCCAGTATTTGATAAGTTGCATGCCACATATTCTTTATACCTAATATAAGGTTGGTTTTGCTACATTTGTCAACGTTCTTTAATGCACACTTAATAAGGGGGAATCTTGTATGGGAAATATGTAACTCAATGCTATTTCATGCAAAGATAACCATTCTGTGATCTAAAGTACCTTGAAAGTTTTAAAAAGATTGTTGTTCCTTTTAAACTCAGAGTGACACTATTATCGTTCAATGTGTGCATAAGACTGAAGTATAATGATAAGTATAGCATAACCTCTAATCGTACTTTTAATCTATCCGTTTTTAAATTGCTGCTTGATCATTGTCTCATTGAAAGTTGAATTTATTCTCTAAGAATTGTTGCGTGAGTCACAGTTGTCATTGTAGGCCCATTAAGGCTATGACCAAGCACTATTCAAATAACAGTTTAATGGATTTAATGTGTAACGATTGCAACAACTGCGCTAAAAAGTGAGATTATACTTAATTGTTCTTTGTTTTACTGCGCATTTTCGAGAAAAATGTTCCTGCTTTTATTGCCCCGAGTGATACTAAATAAGGTCGGGTGATGCTAAAAATAATACTAATTTCGTGATTAACATATTTGTTTGCATTCAGGCACATGTTGATTTGTCGATGAATGCTGAACACTCCTTCACGAGTACCCTTTTAGTAGAAGGTGTTTTGTGACGTCATTTTAACTATACCCGTCATACATTTTCATGACACTGAGTGCATTTCCTTCGCCTACGAAGTAACGCCTGGTGTCGTAAAGAATTTATTAAAATGTATGTAATGTAATGTAGTTGTCATCGATGTTGCCCGTGAGTTATTTTATCAAGTTTTTAAGTATGAACTATTTCCATTATACTGTTAATTGATTTCATGTCTTCTTTAAAATTGATGCAATACCACGTAGTTAATTCATTTCTGTATTTGTCCATTTCGTTGAAAGTATTGCTTCAATTGATTCATTTGCCGATGGGTGTCAATGTCCTCATCTGAGCCTGACATGTAAATGTCCAACTAACTCCATACTACTTGTAAGACTAACACGGGCATAGAAAAGTTACTACAAGTTTTAAAAGCGTTTATTAACTCGAGTTTATGTAATTAATTTTTATTACTTGTCTTTGGGCTCTAATTTACAGAAAAAAACTCCAATTTTTATACTACACTTAAAACGGCATAGCTTAATTTAGATACATTGGAATGTTACTTGTATTTTAGTCGATGTTCAATGTTTTCTTATGCATTATACTTTAATTTCAACAACATATTATATGAAAAAAGATACTAATATATAAACATTCATTATACATTTTAATTCTTTTTCGTCACATACTTGACGTACAATTTAGGCAAACATGCAACACAGTGTTCAAAATTACCAGTCTGACTAACTTTTCAGAAAAAATATATTTTTTTGCTACTTGTATTTTATACACTTGCAAGTGGAATAGAAAGAAATTTTGGCGAAGCGTTCTCTTTTCTTTTATAAATTATAAAAGTTAGTCAGACAGCACATAGTAGAGCCGCGAAGAGAAGTAATAAAAAACCGTGCGCTGGAGTGCGCGGGTTAACTGGTTTCCAATACTAATGGCGTGTTTCTGTGTTCCGGTGCTTGCGCGTACGGTCCGTATGTGTGTTGCGTGCGTAGGGCGTATCGCATCGGTCGCTACTGCCCCCTGTGCGAGCGCTCCTTCATCGGACCCAAGGGGACCATGCAGCTCGTCATTTGTAAGCTCTGCGATAGGCAGCACCATCAAGGTACGTTCGCCGAACAATTCTCCGCAACGCTTACACACGTCCCCCTTTTCATCACTGTCTTCGCATAGTGCCGAATAACTAAAAAAATACACATTGAGTAAGTGAATGCATGTTTTAAATAAGACTGACGATAATTATTTACTAAATAATTTTGCCGACCTACGTAAGTATTCTAAGTGATATGTAGACAAAAGTTGTATATTGAATAAAAAAAGATTGTATTTCGGCACTATATGTGAAAACGGTAGTTTTTGCCTGTCTTCTGTGACGTGGGGATACATGGAACAGTAAATGAAGTAAATCTGTTACGTTATCCTCATCGTTGCTGCTTCGCTATTTATTTATGTATCTCGTTCTTCATTAGATTGTTAATTAGCATTCTGCATGACCGCATTACTGTTTCATTACACTCGACAGTCATACAACGTTGCCATAGTATACCAGTGTCTATATATTTAATGCTTATTTTTCGATTAGTATATTGCTTTCTATGTTAACTTGTACGAGTCAATTCAAACGGAATGACCAAAAATAAAACATTTTGACAAGCACAAAATATGATCAAAATGAGCTCCTGGAATGAGAAGTGTCTGCGTTAGGCGACAGTAATTGTTAGTGAGCATGATGTAAATACACAGCAAACTTGTAACCTGCCTCATTTAGACGGTAGTTGAAACCGATAAACAATAGAATGCCGAGGACCGACCCTCGCTTAGGCAAACAGTAGCCAGTGTGTGTGCCATGCATCGTGTGCGCCGGTGTCGGTGAACGACCGCTCCCGAGCTCGCCTGCTAAACGCCTGACACGCGAATTCACAAAGAAACATATTTAATTGCCGCTATTGTTATGTGGTAGATAATAGAATCGTTAACAAAGAAACAAAGAGGCGTCGCGTTGAAACCGCTCGCCTCGGCGGGTTCAATGTTATGAGATGCGAGGGAGACGAGTACTAACGTGTATAGTGTTGTTGCGCAGACTGCGTTAGGCAGACGGTGTCGCAGCTGAAGGTGCTGGACTACACGTGTGGCGAGTGCAAGCGCGGCGGTATCACGTCGCGCGCGGCCGCCGTGCGCCTCGCGCCGCGCACCATCGCCACGCTGTTCATGGCCAAGCGGCGCTTCAACAAGTACGCGCACCGCCAGTACATGCAGAGCCGACTGCAGGGCCAGCCCAAGGGCTCGCAGGACGGCTCCAACGATGCCGATGCCGACGCCAGCGAGTCGTGCGAGCCCATCGCGCCCGCCGAGGAAGTCTCGGACGCGTCCGAGCCCGAGGCCTTGGGCGAGGCCAGCGACCCCCTGGAGGGCGCGGGCGAGCCGCCACCCGGCGAGGCCGCCGCCGCCGTCGCCGCGCTACGCATGAACTTCGGCGACTGAGCCCGCCCTCGCCGGGGATGCGACTCGACCTCGTAGGGATGTAACTGTAGCCGAGGAGTGCTCGTTGGAGAGTTGGCAGTGCGGGGCCCCTTGTGAGTGTATAGAATGGACTATGTAATATATCTAGCTGTTATATTAGAATATCTATAACTATTATTCGCTTCGGTAATACGATTGTAAGGTAAACTGTTGCATAAATCTGATTAATATAACGATTAACTAGTAGGCTATGTATAAGTAAGTTATCGGATAGTGAAGAGATACTAGTTGTACTGTAGCTTTATGTTTTCACTGCATATTCTTCGTTTTCTATGCATTCAGATCTTGGTTATGGTTACGTACGATCAATTCGATGACAGAAGTAAGTAAGTAAATTAATTACATTGGAAGTATGATTTCCCTAGTGGGAGTAGACAGATAATTTTAACAATTAAACATCATAAAGTGGTTAGTTAGATAGATAGCTGTAGGGCGCAGGTCACTAACATGTATACTGTACAGTATAACATAATACTAACTTCACTTTAGGTAGCTGGGCAATCGTACTATTTTTAATGCTATAAATGTTTTGTTCGTTGTGTAGAAGCCGGCGAGACAAATCATGTATTGTGTACGCGTTCACGGTTTGTTATTTATTTGACAAAGGGTATAATACGAGATTGAATATTATGCTGTTATTTGGTTACGAAAACATTAGATTGTTTTATTGTAGCAACGATATTGTATGTTTTACGTGTGTGTGAAGTTGTATCGTGAAAAATATCTTGTTTAGTTACAAATACAATTCAACATAATTTACAAGTGATGTCTCAAAACTTAAAATAAAATGTATCGATAAAAATCTGCCTTTTAATGCATTTGAATTTTTATTGCAATATTTTGTTTTGTCAGTGTTATTATTGAATTGGCTAAAATGGTCTAATGAAGACAGTGCGCATTTTGTTTTTCTAGGCTTATTTTAGATTACATATTATTGTTAATTTTTGCTTCATAAGGTATTTATTTTAGTTATGATACTTTTATATGGATACAACAGTATACAAATATAATCCCCGTTTATTATTAAAATAGAGTAATAGCAAAGTGGATACAAATACAAAAATACCACAAGTATACCATGGCATAGATATTGGAAAAACGCTTGGTACTAATTTTGAGTGATCCATTAAATACCTCCTAATCTGACTTGAAAATTGTTGAAATATTTAAAAGTTAATTTCTAAGATTACGATTAAGTTAGTAATTTAATTATATGAATGAAATTCAGCAGCTCTTCTATAGCAAAATTTAGCTTTTCTTACTTAGTTTCAAAGTACAAAATGAAAGCCTACCTTACTACTTACCTACCTGCGAAGCCTCTCACTGGAAGTTATGAACCCAATAATAATTATAATAGATTTATTATAGAAAGATCAAATTATTTAACTCAGATTATAGTGTTTATTTTCATTTTGAGAAAATTTTTATTTATTTATTCTACAATTATAATTATTATGATAGTATTAAATGTTAACTAACATAGCTGTATTGGGTCATATACATTTCCAGATATAATTCAGTGTCATGTCGTTATATAGCCACGAAACAAAACGTGGGAAATTGTGTTTTCCTCATTATGCGTAGTGGTTTTCTGTATACGTATTGCTGCATGGCCAGTGTCCGCATTTGCTGTACTTATGTAAATCTCTGCGCGCTATCGTCTCTTAACCACTGCTGTGTGCAATTGTCCCTATGTTGTGTATTATACATTATATTAGTGGTGTAAGTGGAGGTGATGATCAGTAATTTCATATTATGTAATGTATAATGTTTAGTTTATAATGCTTTGGTTATCATTAATCATAATTTACTTAGTGACAATTTTTAAGATAAAATTTTATGTCCACAAATTATAAATTCATCAAATCATGTTATAACTTTTATACATATACACAAACAGGTTCGGTGTGTCCGACATGATTAGAGTTGCTTTATCGACACAGGTGAAATATTAAGACTTACTTGTAAGAGAATAATGGTATCTTTATGTCTACTTAATGCAAGTGTAAACGTTCTAGAAATCTCGCACTGTTCGGTCAATTTTTGTAAAAAAATAAAATAAATTTAATTTGACTTCTGCTTTTTATTTAACTTATCAACTTTAGCAGATCTAAAAGTGGAAATAAAAGACATAAATGCAATAAAAATAATTTATATAATTTGACTTACATTATGGTAAACTCGGTTGCATAATTAACAAAATTTTATAAACACTGAAAATATTCAGCAATATAATTTTAAAAACGGGCAATAAAGCATCTTTTTGTCTCGATAATTGGAACCTGGAAACAAAAACACACATTAAATACAATATATAAAATTAAACTTTAATATAAGTATAAACATATAACACACACTCATAACCCCGCATCAGGGAAGCCCTATATCGCGGGTGCCATGGACAGACGCATAGACAACCATAAATTACACTTAAACTCACGAGAGAAATAAATTTCTCCCGGCCCGGGAATCTCACCTGAGACCTCAGCGTGACAGTCCACCATGGTAACCATTCGGACTCGGAGGCAGTTAGTACGTATGTAAAGGAGTGCTAGCACGCTCGACATTCGTCAGAAAAATTCGATTGTATAAACTGGTATTTTGGAATTAAATAAGAAAATATATAACTGATACCTGTTACTGTTGGACGAATATCATTCGTCGAGGCGCAGCCCGCTGATGGAGAGGAACGTGAAGGCGTTGTGCAGCGCCACAACCGGCACGGTCGTGACGGCCGACAAAGGGGCCACGCGCACGCGCGCGCCCTCTACTGCCGACAGGATCACGGACATGGGCGGGGCGCTCCACACCTGACGACATCCACGTTATGATAAACTAAAAGTTGACAAGTTATCCAGAAGTGGTAGCGACAAATTTGACATTCGACATCAATGTTGCTGTGATCAACAGTCTGTTGTACAAAATTTCATATAAAGCGCGGGATCTTTGTGCGAGAATAGCAATATCTCACAACTTTATGTCGTTCTCGCGCAGGTCGCGACCTTTTGTGCTGGCCCTACAGATTTACAAGTTTTGGCGCAGTCACACTAAATTACTTTATTGCAATGATATACGTATCGAGCAGCACAGCACTAACCTACAATGTTAGTGTCAAGAAATAAAAATATTCTTTATTGCAAATTAGACATTACAATGACATAGAAACAGGCGGCCTTAGTGTTATGTAGCTAAACAAGTTTAGAATACAAATTAGAAGATGCAAAGATAGAAAAAAAAATTTTACAGTATTCTGTAGAACATATTTAATTTAATACTATTGTATTATAGAATATAAAAATAATAATATGTATTATAAATATTTTCTGCACTAATAATAGCGTTTGCAAACATTTACCAATAAGATTGGCTAACTGTAAGTAGCCATCTAAGGGCACGTGAAAGCATCTAAATAATAGCTTAGGCCGGGGCCGCACTGGTACGGAGACAGCGACACGAAAAAATAGGTGGCCGCATTGCAAAAGCGAGAAGCCAGTGAAAAGCCGCTACGTCGCTTAATGGGTGGTCGCACCGGGCAGGTTAGGCGATCAGTGGCGGCCGCACTGACACCGCACTCGTATAGTTGAACGACAAAATCAAACTATTTTGTGCGGTGTCTCCTTCGCAACTCTTCGCTCGAATATGTCGCGCTCTTTCGCACTAACGACGCGAGGCTGTGCGGCCGCTCAGGTACATCACCGCATATTTTGTTGCAAATCGTGACAAATCACCGTGTCTCACCGCTGCTTGGCGTACGAAATTCAAGTGTCGTCGCGAGTCGCTGAATAATTTTATTTAAAGCGGACACTTGTAGAACATTTGAAATTACGATATGAACAAATAAATTTCGCTTGTCGTACCCGCAGTGCGGCACTGACTTATGTTTATATGAGTTTGTTTTCACGAAATCGCCGTCGCGTCGCAGTCGCCTTAGTAGTGCGGCCGCGGTCTTACAGTTTCGGCTGCAGCTTGACTGATACACTAATGTGTAATGTATAGTATATAAATATGGTCAATGCCAATTGTGAACCTTAAACCCATACTGACGCAAATAAAAGAATTAATTGACATAGCTGACCTGGTAGAATATCCTCATCTTGACGGCAGGCTGCGGCTCCTTGTCGTGGCAGTGGTTAAGCAGCTTGCGCATGGCGTATTCTAGTACTTCCTGCAGCTCCTCGTGCGTCATTTGCGCCGCGAGAGAGCGGTGCGACTCACACGCCTCCTCGTTTGGGAACGACAGCTGGCAGGTGGAGGGTGACGACCCTGCGGTACAACACAATGATCTTCATGACAAAAAGACTAACGTATAAAACAAATATTGCGCTAATGACGTAATTATAGTTGCTGCGTGCCAAACCACCTTTGGATAAAAATGACACATAAAAACTTAATATTTTATATACATTGACTTACAATTATATGGACGTCGGGTCCGCGCTAAAAAGTGTCTGAACTTATAGGGCGTTAAAATCGTATACAGAGCGTCATTCACGCTTTAGTCTTCGTTTGTTCTACTGACAGCGAAGCAAGCAAAATTAGACAGTACTGCGATGACATTACAATTTAAATTCAACATTTTAGCTTTTTCATATTCCTTTACATGTCACTACGTTTAAATAGGTTGACTTGGGACATTTTTTCGTGGTTTTTGCATTAGACCCGTCGTCCATTTATTTTAAGTCAATGTTTATATACATTAATATTCGTATGTATATAAGCTTAATTTCATAAAGAACAGTGGCGAAGAATTCTTTAGCGACTTCAAATGTCATAATTATAAGATTGAATAAAATGGTTTTACAAATTATACTAAAGGTCTGTTTAAGTCAGGAAAAAAAAACATATTTGAATGAAACTCAAATGGTAATTAGTATGTAACCGGACTGATATACAACAATGGGCCATTTCTTAGCGTTGAGCGACATCTAACCGTTGTATAGATACATATGGGTCCACATTAAGTTCGTTCACATAATATCAAACTGATTCGATCGATATTTTTCTAATAATATTAATGGCTTTGCCTTCGCATTTAGCCAATGGGAGGGCTGGGAAAGCAGAAAGAGATTATGGAAGAGGTACGGAATTTGATTGAAAAAGGATATGGTAGGTTGGGTAGTTGGGTACCTATTATATATCGGCAAACATATTAAAGCTTGAGTACCTAATTAGGGATTAACTACTTTATTACCAAAAATAAAGTAGATAATTCCTTTTCCAAATAAGCCACGAGCGAAAGTGGTAAAACCGACAAAAAGTTCCCGATATCAGGGATGGATGGCATTTTCCATAAAAAATAATTTGTGCCTTTGTTACCAGTGCATGGCACGGCTATGTTTCATAAAAAAAAATTGTGCCTGAGTTACCAGTGCATGGTATGTATTAACTCAGTTTTCTTTTGTTATGGCTTACCTTCATGCCTTTGGACAATACCGTTTAAAAAATATTTTCCTCTGAACTTCATCACGTCACAAACCCTCGGCACGGAACTGTAGTTTATTTGATATAATAGTATACCGAATACAATTTATTTAATTATGTATAACATAACCTCCAAAACTTCAAACTGGAAAATCTTTAATTCCAGACTTCTCAGAATAGTAAACCCACAAACTGCAGACTTGTTCCCTGAACGTTATAACTTGGACCTTTTCAAGGCGAGAGTTAATTAGTATTATTTAGGTATACATTGCTCCATCGTCGACCTCATCGTCACTTTCCATCAGGTGAGATGGAGGTCAAATGCACATTTGAATTTAAAAAAACCCAAAACCAAATTTGTTAAGGAATTTAAACAATATTTTTCATAAACAGACGCATACAAATTTTGTCAACAAATTGTATATGTGTATTGTATATGTTCGCCGTTGTTCTGTATTGAATTATATGAGCGGTTTTTTTTTCTATGACATGACAAGTTACCAGTGGCAACGTAGCAGACGAACGCGGCAACAGTGTTCTCGTAGTTCCATCTTCGTGTGATGGCGACTTTGTACTCTCCCACATTGCAGCCGGTCTCTTCGTCTGTAATGCAATAAAAAATGTATACAAAATGTCGATAAAATCCACGTCAGTGCTCAAAAAGCTTATTCTTTACTTTGTAACAAACAACTTTCAATCTTGGACCTCTGTAATTTTTTTCATTCCTTACATACAAAATGCAAATAACAATAGAACACAAAGAAAAATTTCTTCGATCAGACTCGACTCGAACTTGCGTTAAAGGCATACTCATAAAAGTAAGCCGTTTGTGTTTCATTTCATAATATAACACAGAAGATTCTTTATTCGCATAGCTAGCAGATGCTTATTTCATTTGTTTCGTTATTGTTATATATTTGCTATTTTTTAAATATATATGTATTTATGTTATTTTTTGTAATTCTTTGTACGCAGTTTACGTTGGTTTCTGCATGACAAATAAAGCAGATTTTATTGTTTTACGTATTTTGGCACAAATGTCATAGTATTTATGTCTGAATTCAATACTGTTTATTTTTGGTGTAGTTTGTAGTTTCTCTGGTATTATTAACGTATAATGTAATAAATACAGGTTATGATTAGTTGCCCCCAAAATATTCCGCACTCTCAAAGAGAAAGTGATAACTGTTTCTTTTTTGTGTATTGGTTAGTTTCATCAAGCTTCTCTTTATTTATGGTTGACGGTGAAATTCAGAGATTAGCGTTCTTTGTGGCTTATAATATTAATATAAGTTTTTTGTTACACCACCAGTGCTACGAACAGAACCACGTGTTAGTTTTTACTGGACAATTATTATCGACGCTGTTGTCGTACCTAATCGAAATAATTACAGTCTAGCCTAGGCTATTGAGGAATTCAATTGTTAAGTAGAGAACAACTATTATACTATATTTTATTACATAGGGTTTTTAACAGACTTCAAAAAAAGGAGGAGGTTCTCAATTCGACTGTAATTTTTCATGCATGTTACACGAATTTGTGAATCGATGTTGATGATTCTTTTTTTATTGGAAAGAAGGTACCTTAATATTGGTCCCATTTAAATTTGGAGAAAATATTCCACCTGTAAGGATAGTGAACTAGGGGATGAATCCGGCTTCACGCACTTTCCGGTAACCGATTTCAATGAAACTTGGCAAAAAGATGAAATTCCACAAAGTTTTGAGGTAGTTTATTTAAAATTTTATTACCATTTCCATGATTCTTAAAATATTTTTTGTAATGGCATCACCTTTGTTTACTGGCATGACCTTTGTTGTTGTAGGAGAGTAGGAGTACATTTACTCAAATATTTTGTACGCCCGCAAAAATATACATAATTTCGTTAAGAAAGAATATATCCATAATATTAACCTTAGAACCAAGTCCACGATTTCGTTTAACTAAGGTAAACGATTCTTTTACGGGGAACTGTACTATTTTACAATAAGATTCCAGAGCATATATTACGATTACCATTTCCTAAGTTTAAAAGTTACATTAAAAGTATTTTAATTGAAAAGACATATTACAAAGTTGTAGACTATGTGGTTAGATAAAGATGGAAAGACAACAGGAGTCTAGATTCCACACTAATATGATTCAAAATGTATTATATAACATTTAAGTTTATTTGAAAAAAGAAATCCCTAGAGTTTCTTGCTCGTTTTTCTCAGGGAGGTCTACGTAGTCAACGTGCAGTAGCTTAAAAAATGACGTTTTAAAGGGTAAATATTTTACTTATTTTAATATTTAATTTTATTGACTTTACTTACATGTTTAGACTTTAATTTCATCTCAAAACATATGATATGTAACAATATAAGTGAAATGTACTCACATTCGAAGCGATTGTTGTCGGTATGCGCCCAAGCGTGCCACTCGATACTAGCTCCGCGCGGCAGAGCCTCCACAACGGCGTACTGCACGATGGCGCCGGCTGTACGCCGCTCCAACTGCCGCCGCGCCTCGCCCACTGCTGACGCGTGTGTCATGTAGCACACGCTCTGTTAACCCAACATACCAACATAAAATAATATGCCATACAATCACACTAATTATCTAGTGTCAATCTAGTGTATTCCGTGAGTGCCAAAGCAACGGAATTCATTCCGAATTCACTATCCAAAACAATTTTCCAAATAATTTCCCAAATTGGTCCTATTGTGAATCAAACTCGGGACCTCCTCATAAAACAATCACAGTGTAAACCTTTAAGCCAACATGGTCTGTCAAGTTTATGTAGTCAATTTTAATATTTTTAATGTAACTATCAAATTTGTTCTTTAACAGAGTGCGTTTTTCGTGCGTGCCTGCGTGCGTGTGTGTTTTAATGTAGTGTAAAATTATGTGTTTCTTTAGAAATATGAATAAATAAAAAACAAATGGCAGTTTTTTTATTCTATGTATGCCTATTAAACAACTTATGGTGTAGCTAAGTAAGAGCGTACCGTACCTGTACAACACTGCGTATATGCGCGCGCGGATGAACCGCCCGAATGACCCTCGTGAGATGTCTCAACGCCAACGCGCACTGCCGCCGCGCACCTCCCTCTACCAGCTTCATGCTGCCTGGTACCAGTGCGATCTGCCCGCACGTGCCGATCACTTCGCCCACCTTCACATGATATGGCAATTGTTTTTAACGACAACGATGAAAAGAATGTTTTTTTTTCGCATCAAATTATTTTACGAATGTTTAGCACCGAATATGGCTCCGAATTTCTTTCTAATTTGCGTCTGTAATTCGCGCTTATGCAACCTCTTTTATAAAATAGTTTCTAATGTTTTTTTCTAAAAATTATTTTAATTGCAACTTCTGTATGAACATCTTAAGGCAACGTTATCTATCCCTGATTGGAGGACAATTTTGTCAGTATCGAGTGTAACGACACGGACGAAATTCTGAGAGTATCCACGACGAACGACGTGGTGTCATCGCAGCTATGGCTTCACTTATTTTACAATAAAAACCAGTCAGTTGGACATAGAAACAACAAATATCACGAAATAATTATGATCTTCCCAGAAAGTGACACCAACTCCGACATCAGTCATGATTTCTCACAAAAAAGACGATAATTATATTTGAACGAAACAAGTTGCAATGCTATGAAATAGCACTCCCACAATAACCTATTAGCAATTTTCTTCAGTAAAAGATATCGAAATACATACATCTAGCAAACTTTATAGATACCAATAATGTCTGTAACAGATAGTTTTTCAACAAGGTTAGTCTCCTTAACTTTTTCTTTACAAAAGAATAAGTGCGTATTTGACCTCCATCTCACCTTATGGAAAGTGACGATGAGGTGGACAATGCACACCTAAATAATGCATCAATTCTCGCCTTGAAAGACCCAATTTATTTGCATAATATTGCGTTAAAAATTACTAAAACATTTTTAATTGTCTTGTACTATATTAAGGAAAGCACAATTTTAATAAGAGTAAATTGACATATATCTACATTTTACCTTAATCGCTTGACTATAAGGTCCTATGTTGGCCGGTGCCCAATGCGAAATACCCTGCACGTGCATCGTGGATCGCTGCTTAGATATATTGCTGTCAGTCTCATGAAGATCGCTAGGAACCATTTTATGAGCAACCTGTATACAAAAGTGAGCTTTAATTACTTTTATGCAATTAAAGTGAAAGATTTAGTATATTCCTACACAGTACAGTTATAGCACAAGTTACTAAGTCGAATGAATAAGGTTTATACTAAGAAAATACTAAGGGTCGCTAACCCGGATTAGAGTCATCAGCGTGGTATGTCAGCGCGAGGTCTAATTTTAGCCGTGAAAACTTACTAGCCAGCTAATCTAATGAAATTAAGGTCCATTTCTTATTGAAACTGAAATTCGGCGAATAATAGAATAAGTTAATTCAGCTGTGTACCGGTTTGTTATAATTAGTGTTGGGTAATTGTTTAAAAATATTAAGTGGTGAACAGTTTTCAAAATACATTTTTAAAAAGGAGAAAAAATAAAAATATATTTTTCTACTACTACGTAATACTAGTTACAATAAAGTCAACTTACAGCATCTAAAATAAGCCCCACATCCTTGGGCAATGGACATTGCACACAAACTCTGGTTGGCGGATTTTCGAACGAGAAATTGTTCAAATAGATTTCATTGAGTGCCGCGTACTCGCCCATGTCTCTCATATAAATGTTCACTGAGCACACGTCTTCTAACTGCATGCTCTCCGATTCCAATAAATCTGAAATAAAAGTATTCTTTATATGTATTTATTACTTTTCCACTATTCTATTTACGAACAACCTGCGGCTGCTTGCGAACTAGCAATTTAAATGGCACCCTGACAATGTGTCAATTTAGCAGCAAAGTAGAGTTAGCCCCTTGTGAAAGAGTTCGTCCAGAGAAATATTGCCACCTTACCTATTTCTGACGCCAAGCAGTTATGTGAGCATTTATATGGAAAAATATTTATATGGCCTACATTTATTTCTCTCGCGAGTTTGGGTGTAATTTATGTTTGTCTATATGTATGTTCATAGCATCCGCTATATTATTGTTATTGCATTCCGGTTTCGAAGTGTAAGGGTGCCGATGAAATTACAGGCACATGGGACTTGTCAACTTATGGCTCAAGGTGACAGATGGACAGGTGCGTCGCTCACCAGCAGGCGCACGACTTGTTTGTCCCGTGACTTGGTATCATAAAAAATCTTAATGTACGGTAAACAAAATATCCACATCAGAGTCCTTTACTAATTTCCTCGACTATTCTCAATGTATGATCAGTATTTCAATGTGAAAATCAAAGGAATTAACATATTTAGGAAACTTTGAAATCATAACAGCGACTTGCAGAACATACACTTTAAAATAATGTGTCAATGTATAATTATTAACAGTAATAATCTTTGGAAATAAAACTACTATTACGGACGTTTTGTAAACACGAAAACCTAGAAACTCGATATAATAATCTTGACTCTATCAAAGCAAACAGCATTAAAGTTAATGGATGTTTGTGCAAATGGGCGTAACAGTCAATTCAAAGTCAAAAAGTAACATTTCCTTGATTCCAGATTATTTTGCAGCGACTGCCTGTTACATTGAAGAATTGCGATCGGAAACCGGCCAGTGTGGTGATAATGATACCCTCTTTTGTGGAAAGACCTTCAACCACGGGCCATTAAAAGGCTGACGTAGTTACAACATGGGAAATTAAACCTTACAGACACGACATACATTAATAATTAGGCCAAAATTCGTAATTGCGAATATAAACGTGAATTCACAATATTACGTAAAACATTACACAACAATTTGTTATCCCATATGTAAATTGAAACTTCTTATCTTGTTTACTGTTTGTCCAAATTTTTATCAAGACAGTATATTAAAAAATGAAGATTAATTTTGGCATGTACGTAGCCAACGTTTGGTGCTGAGTGTCAAATAGGACTGCCCAGAATAGTAGAAAACCTCGATAAGTATGCCTCTTGTTTGTGAATCACAAGAGGGTAAGCCCCATTAAAAGATGGCTCGATTAAGGGATAGCCCTCGTAGATAAGCATGCAACTAGGACTACCAAAATAAGCTTGTCAATAAGTTTACCTACTAATGAGTTTTTTCACAGCGTCTTCAGTCGCAGTTACAGTGTCCACTCCTTCGCCGACAATACCCCCGATAAAGTACCACCCGTGTCTGTTCCCGTATATAGATCTGTGGTCTATAACAGGATGCCTATCGTTCTCACTGTGCATCTTGTCATACGTATATCCCTCTTCTATACTCTCCGCGCTATCATTCGGACTATCGGCAACTTCTAAATTCGTTACAACCTCAGCCTTATCTCCCGAATACGTGAGCAAAGGATTCAATTCATTTTGTTTCTTAATTTCTTCCTTTTCTAACTTCTCTATGGACTCTAGTTCAGTTTCACTTAGTTCTATATCGCTTAGGTCGCTAAACACTGTGTCGCTCAAATCGTTTACAAAATCTAATGAGTTTTTCACAGTTGGAGGTAGTTTGACAGTTTCGTCGAAGTTTTCTTTTGGTTCCAAATGTAATTTTAAGTTGAGGTACCCTACTGGTACGACTGGGTCGTCCGAATGTAACACTAGCTCTTTTTCATCTCTGCAAAAACAATTTGTTTAATGCGTATCAAGCCAGGACAAATTAATTAGCTGAAAACATTGATAGGTGCCACGCATACGTGCGTCTCGTGTTGAATACAAGCAACCGGCAACTAGAAGCGAATATGCTATTTTCATACAATTCATATAAAAATAGTATATTCGCTTCTAGTTACTGTTTGCCTGTATCCAACACAAGACAAACGTTTGCGCGGCGCCTTATTCGAGTTGAAAGTGTTCATTTGTTAACAATGTTTTTACATACTCGAAAGATTTTAAATTAAAAATTAGCAATGTGTATCAGCATGTAAACATCACAAAGGTAGTGTTCTGCTATCTGACTTATACTGTCGTCAAATACACCAACGTCGCGTCGGTGACACTCATGTCGTACGAACAATGCATAAAACTCACATGACTAATCGACTCTTAAACAAAGGGCAGTCGAGTGTGAAGGTTTCGTACTCCCCGCCTTCCCCGCACACATTGAGTCCGTACTTCTCCTGCATGACTAGAAGATGTGGCTGGATTTCTCGAAGCGTCATTCCCAAATGTATCTTTGGGTCCAGCCCTAGTGCTGCCACCTAAAAGACGTTAGTTACTATTTCTAACATATACAAATAAACAACATCAACATTATAGTTGAGGCCTGGTCAAATGATCGTTTCCAACCTGTGTTCAGTACCATGTCCACGGTGGCGATAAGGCGGTTCTCACACAGCGCTGCCTGATGCCGTATCTCGCGCCACTACGAAATTAGCATAGCATTACTACGTACGGAGTCATTCAAAACACACGGGCTGCTGCATTGAAGCGCGATTTGCAACGCCCTGTGTACACACTGCCGCGTTAATCTGCGTACTTTATTAAAGACAACTAATTGCCACCATTGACATGATCGCGGACACAGCTGGATGCGTATGCGATTGGTATGAGCGCACCTTTATACGGAATGATATTCAAAATGAATCTCATGAACAAACAATATTTAACACAATTTTGAGTCGACACAAAAACATCGTAATTCATAAGTACATTGTAAAAAACTGTGGATTAGAAAGGTGACACCAAGGTGATACATATTTATCATATATATGTTACGGAGCCCTTCGTAAACCCTTCAATATTTTTTCAATATTTAATGTTTTTCATTGCAACACTGAATAACATAAATGTCAAATTAAAACGTGGACTAAGTTTACAAAGAAAATAACGTGTAATTAAGATAGCCGTACGATGTTACCAGATTCGTATATTAAATTACGGCATAGCATTTCCACCGTTGAATCAGAAAATAAGATTGCATTTCATAAATTATAATTTCCCCGAATAATGTTCAACACTACCCTATGGAAAGTACCTGTCGCACCTCTTCCATATTTGTTATTGATTATATAACTACTTGCATTGTCTCGCTATAGAAATATTGTTTGTTTATCGTAAAATAATCAAACCTTAATAATGACAGCTTCAACACCATTTGCAATCATTTCCTGTAAAAGCTCCTTTTGGTTTCTTCTCCATAAATAAGCGAGAGAGACTAGACCTAACCTTCGGCATCTAAAAAATAACAAGCAATTAAGTAGCGCTCCATATTCGCAGCAATAATAATGGCATAATTGCGTTAACAAGAGGTACTTATGCATTTTTTTAAATGTTGCTAATGCTTAATGTAAATGAGGCTAACGAGCAGACGAACCACTTGATGGGGGTGGTCATCCTTGTCCAAAAATATTTTTATGTATTTATTACAAAAAAAAAATTGCAACATCAGAAGAGCTTTCTATGAGTTGAGAGCCCTGTTGACTTGTATCCTATGTCATAGTGCAAAGGAAATACTACAGGAGCGAGACCATTCCACATCTTGCAGGTTCCGGGAAGGAACAAACGTGATGCCCGCGTGGTCGTACAATGCCAGGCATCATGGATGTGGGGATGGGCTCTACTCTTTTGAAGGAAGGTGCGATGGTGCATAAGTGAAGGTGGCACCATTTCGAAATATTCCTCTGAGCACTCCTCGTTATAAAGACGTTAGAACACACATAGAGAGCCAATGTCTTTCCGTATATAGTCTAAGAGATTCCAAACCGTCTATGATTGCATTGTTAAGAGCCTGTTCTCTGTAGAATCAACATGCAATATCTTCATAAATTAAAAACGAGATTTCATTACAAAGGATATAATTAACGCATAGCTCCAACGATTGCGTAATTTTCATGACGAAACTGTTTCTTTGTAGTTACAAGGTTGATTATTATAGACTATATCATTCAAAATGTTATTTTTTCAATATTATGGTGAATTTAAAGTACTATCACAGACGCCGTGATGTCAGAGGTAATATCCGTGTACTGTGTTTACTCTAGTGACTTTTACGCGATTCCTATGTGGATTTTGGCAAAGCTATACATGCTTTCAATGGTTTTAATGTATGATAATACAGTTATATAATCATACTAAAATCAGTTAAAAATGTACGTTGAAAATTGTAATTGTAGACGTAACATTAAAATTTGTAGTTTGTATTATGGTGGTACTGAGTGAACGTATGTGTAACTTTACATTAAATACTTACACATTTTCGACTCGTATTCTTTGGTAATCGGACAAAATGGCCCCAACAGCCACGGCTTCCACTGCCAGGTCATCCTGCAGCAAACAACCATAGATATGACAACAACTATCTATGCAGAGCGACCACGGAGGAGGAGGAAACGCGCACATGTTACTACAATACTACGGCGTGGCCAACTACAGGGCGAAATAAATACTTTGGTATGCCGAAGTCGCTCCTTGAAACCTTCAGCAGACCTAAGAGATTGCTGAGATTTCTGGAAAGCTCTGGAGGACCCTGCACCTACCCACACGCAAAATAGCCGCTAGACGTCGAATTGCAGACACCAGCTCGTCGCACAGTAGCATCCCATACTATGATACCAATTTCTACCGTCTAAACAATGTCTCAGGAAGCATAATAGTAGCTGACAAAAAGTGACCTGAACTGCATAAATGCAGCGCCCTTATATTTGTGATTTTAATTTTACATTGTTTATAAATCACAATGTTTTGTTTTTTTTTTCTAAATCATCGACTTAGGGCTACAACAAGGGAAATAAAGTTAACTATAGACGCCTTAACAAGAAACAGGAAAAAATTTTGAAAAAAAAATTATTACTTGCTAGAATAACAGAAGAAGGCATATAAATCACATCTTATCAATGCAGATTGTTTGTTATGTTGTATGGCTAGCTGTATTACTGATAACATCAGAACAAAACACATTTTACTACAATTCTGCATGGAATGACGCACATTACACATATAGATAGATCTCTATGCATGCTGTCATTATTTTAAACTTCCACGTGTATAGATATACACATGGAAGTTTAAAATAATGACAGCATTTTTTGTTTGTCTTGTTGCCATCTGCTATCTAAAAATATTCTATTATATCGAGTTCTTAGGTTTTCGCGATTGTTACACAGGAAATGAAACTATTTTTCCGGATTTAAATGGTCACGTGACCATGGGACCTGTAAAGGGCCCGAAACGTCGGTTTGTTTGAAAAAACAAATATACGCGATTTAAATCCAGAAAAATAGTTTCATTTCCAATATTCTATTTTAGTTGGTCAAAACTTCAAAATTAATAAACTGAGATACTAGTCAGGTAAGTCAAGAATTTAATTTAATGGTAACGCAATTAATGCATAATTATTTTTATGAATGAAAAATGCATAATATAATATGTCAATTTCAATACCGAAGTGGAAAATTTAAAAAGATATTTAATTCCTTTTTTGAGGCAGTCATATGTTTACTAAACGAACAATGAAATTTTGGGGTAAAAATTGAACCATATATAACCACTATATCAAAACGGTTGTGCAAATATATACAAAATTAATATTGTATTATATGGGAATTAAGAGAAAGGACATTTCTAAAGATTTCGTAAGTCTACATTGTGATACCTAGCACAGGAGTGATTTCCAGATAGAAGTAGGACTGGTATTACAAGGCCGACATTGACCCCTGATATTACAGGCCTTAATAAAAGTAAATTGTTATAATTGTTAATACCAAGATTGAACATTAAGAAAAAATTCTTCTATCTGGCTGGATTCGAACCAGCGTATCCACGTGCCCGTGACGCTCATTTAAGTTAAAACGTAAAAGCTAAATAAATAGGGCGTATTTTTAACCGACTTCAAAAAAGGAGGAAGTTCTCAATTCAACTGTATTTTTTTTAATGTATGTTACGCGATAACTCCGGTATTTGTGAACCGATTTTCATGATTCTTTTTTTGTTGGAAAGAGGGGTACCTCCATAGTGGTCCCATTTAATTTTGAAGAAAATCATCCACCTCTAAGGGTTCACGCATGAAGACACATTTTTATAAATAACGCCTAAATTTTGTTATAAGGAGCAATTATTTTAATGGTTGATTTTGCTATTCACCAATTCAAGCGTTGTTCTCTCTCAATATACTTTGAGTAGTGAGAACCGATATTATCTCCTGTGTCAAGTCCCGTATAGTGGCGAATTAGGGGATGAATCCGGGGTTGCGCACTTTCCGGTAACCAATTTCAATACTTGGTAATTATATGTAATTCCACGTACTTTTGAAGTCGGTTTTTTAGTTCTCTGTACTGAGATTATGCTATGACAATTAGACGCACGCGGTCGCTGCGCGGCGGCAACGCGGACTGCGCTCGGCGGCCGCGTTGCAATTCGTGTCGAACACAGCTACCAGTGACTGACTAGAGGTATCACTTTAATAATTGTAATTTTTAAGTTTTAATTGAATGTCACAATGTTTCAACATGATATTCAATTATCTTCGTGAAATTACTCCACTAGTGAAACTACTACTATTAATAATTACAATTAATTGTTGAACACTTGATGACCGAAAAACATGCGAGATAAAAAAGCACCACGCATGTCACAGCTAAGTGGGTCTTGATTTCTTTCTTATTCATGTCATAATTAAAATTTAGTAATCTTAAGTTTGTTGATAATGGGAAAATTCGGATAACAATGTTTTGATAATAAAATTATAAACAAAAAAATTATAAAAACATTTTTAAATAACATTGTATGGAAAATACCCTTCTTTATAGGTAGCACCTAAATAACACACAAATATCAGAGAGACTCTTAACTCCTCGTTATTGTAAACTCATTATTTATTCATTCTTTAACATCAATTCCTCAGGTAAAATAAGTTGTTTCACTACAGATAGTCCAAATAATTCTACACATGGTATGAGCTCTACAGCCCACTCCAATGATTATAAACTATCATTAACATCATGATATACGTACCAGCTCGATTTGAAATAAGATCTATAACAATATGGTAAGTAAGGTCTAGCTCAAGCTGAAACTGTTGAGAGTGCATACATTTATTTTAGAATTAAATTATCAAAACTCAAGAGCATTCAACAGAGAAACTTTCAGAGCCTGTATAATTATACAGACTCTGAAACACCAATCTTGAATACGTCCTTATTAACCGACTTGAAAAAGGAGGAGGTTCTCAATTTGACTGTTTTTTTATGTATGTTATGCGCTAACTCGGCACTTGTAAACTGGCGACATTTATGAACCGATGTTGATTTTTTTTTGTTGAAAAGAGGGTACCTCAGTAGTGGTCCCATTAAAATTTTTGTGTTCTTGTTTTATTTGCAATCAGTTTCAATCTATAAGTAAATGCGTGGGATAGTAAGTTTCACATGTCACGCGTGTTCTCCAGTGACGCATCCAAGCACTACTGTTTAAGCGGTGTCGTTTTTACAGGGACAAGATGTCTTTCCGCTTAAGGTTCTTTTCATAGCTTCACGTTGTTAGCTTGGCTGCCAGTCCGTTAAGGTGTTTTTCTAGCCTTTTATGGCATTTGAAAGTAGCATTGTGGATTTCATCCTTAACTGCGTTCATCTCCAGGTTGCTGTGGATCTCATTCTTGGCGAGGAGCCATGATGCATTGGAAAGTGATCAATAACATTCTGCATCCGCTGTATGATTAAGGTATTGGAATTGCTTGTGCTACTCCAGAATTGGAAGCCATACATCCAGACAGGTTTCAGACTTGTTTTATAAATGAGAAGTTTGTTATCTACTGAGAGCCTGCTGTTTTGTCCCAATAACCAAGTAAGGCATCTGTATTTTAGATTGAGTTCTTGTTTCTTAATTTTGATGCATTGAATTTAATTTTGAAGAAAGTATTCCACCTCTAAGGGTAGCAAACTAAGAGATGAATGACTTTTGAGGTCGGTTTTTTTAGTACTGAGACAATACTTGATGTTAACAGTAATTAGTTGATTACACATCATACTGAAGACCTAATATTGAAGTTCAAAAATGTAAAAATAAATACCTTAATCTTAGACAAAAGCCCATAGAGGTCCTCCACCTCATCATTTTTTGTTGGTTTATAGTCCCTGCCCTGGTCCACAGCCTCCCCAGATATCATCTCTCTGTACAGAGGGAGACCCATTGCTTCTGCATATAGGTCAATGCCCTGGTGGCCCACTGTCTGGTACATGTAACTGTCCATCTCATCTGAAATATTTTAGATTGGTTACTGAAAGATTTTGGGTTGAAATTTCAGTAGTGTTATTTGTTGCAATAGATAGTACAGTACAATGATTGGATTGTTGTATAAGCTTCAATATTACAAACATTGTATACAAAATGTAAATAAAGTTCAGCTTTAAAATAAGTAACATAAGGCTAGTGAACTGATATTTTTTAGTACACAGGTGTTTTAAACAGGCACCAAACAATAAAATTTCAAAGTGAGGATATATGCTTTATCAAATATATATTTTTTTAATATTATGAAAATTAGAAAGTGTATTAGGAAATACAAACAACAAATAAGTCAATTTAGTATAATATGTATTCATGCTCTGTTTACATTAGCATTTTAATTGCAGAAAAATATTATTTTGAAATCAAATACATGTGCTAAATATTTCATTACATGATGTAGTAGATTCAGAAAAATTGGAAATTCTAAATAATGAAGACATAGAAATAGACTATTGTCGTACAAATGGGCTCTAAAGCATATGAAAAGAGATGGAAATCGTGTTTTTGTGTGGGATTAAATGTGCGAACTGAAATACATGTGTCTAAATCGGTTAACAGGGCACAAGTAACCTTTATGCCGAGGTTGGAGGTTGGCCAGCGCGACGAGAGAGTGCCCGGCCGATACGCACTGCATCATGTTGTAGCAGCTGTCCTTCCCGCCACTTATCAGCGCCACCACCCTCATCTTCACCAACACACACACACACACACACCAAATAAACTATTTATTACATAACATCCATTATTTGTGCGCTTATTATGGCCAAATTTGTAAGTTCGTCGTACATTCGCTGTTTCCGAAATTTACAAGAATTTAATGTATAGACTTAAATATCGTCTACTTAAAATATGATTTAACGCTTAACTAATTTATATTATTTATAATAATTTAATGCAATAGTTATTTATTTTGATAACATTTCTGAATTTTATCATAAAATATGGCCTTCCAGAAACCTCACATGAACGAGCGCAAAACGAATGAGATTGAGATAAAATGAAATGACAATTTGACGTCAACAACCTGCCTGAAACGTCAATTTTTTCAGTGTTGCTAGTACTGTTTTTAGTAATCTTTCCAAAAAATACCTCTTGAACAACATGCGAACAAAACATAGACAAAGAATGCAAACGATCGATTGCAGTTGCAGCATGCGTCATTCGTTGCTCGTTGGCGTTCGTTGACGCGTTGTGTATACCTACATACATACATTATTACAAAATATGAAAAATAATACTCTCGTAGATTATTATTATTATATATTACAATGCTGGACTTTCCATTTTGACTTTTGGACTTTGGAACCCACGTACCTTAATGATTTTTACATTACAGTGTAGAATTCAACGTGGTGTTAACATACTTTCTGTCAGACAAGTCAATGTTCAGCTCGACAATAATTTATAGGGATAAAAAAAAAATGAGTGCTTGTCCAATAATGTTAGAACTTTATTATTAGACAAGATATATTAAGATAAATAACTGGCTCGCAAAAGTTGTTTTTAAATCTTGATTATGCTGATGACGCGTCACAGGCCAAAGGGCCTTGTCAATCACGAATAATTGAATTTTATGAAATTCTACCTAGCTCAAAACATTTCTTTCACATACGCAATAAAAATAATCAAATCGTGAACATAGATTCAGGTCTCGATTTGATCATTGATGTTGTAATGGTATTAAAAGATCTATCGAAAGCTCTCTAATTAGCAAAAGCAAACTGATCGTGTGAGTTTGCCCTAAGTATACGCCCTAGTGGGGCTCGATTCTACGGACACAACATAACATTGCCTACCAACCTTTTGGCTTCACCGTAGTCGAGTAGACAATCTGTAAATAGGGTCAGCGAGGTCATTTGCAAATTACGAAACTACCCTGCGTTTGTCACAATATATCGCTACAACCTATCAAAAATATGCTGGCAAAATCAAATCACATCCAAACGTAAATCGGTTTTGATACACAGCTTCTAGGTTTATAAATACCTAATTATTCGTCCACAGCGTACATAACAACTTACTCTTTGTCCATAGCTGAAGCAGTAAGGCGTCTTTCCAAAATTAAGAATCTGTTGATAATCGCCGCAACTGTCTAGTTGAATTGTCATCATTGGGGAGAGCAATCAAATAGAGGAATACCTACCACACGAGACTGCATTTCTAAGCGAGTTTACATTCTTCTTCGAAGGAGTGTGGATACCATGACCCCAACGGTTAGTCTTTCTACGTCTTTCTAATTTGTGAAGGAGATCTAGGACTCATTAGTGGAATATTTTGTAGGTATATAAGTTAAATGTAAATAGGTACGCAAGACCACATTGCTACCCACATCAACTCTTAGCCAGTTAGTGATAGTGATAACATTGTCTGTAAATTAATTGCTTATCCGTCCAATTGTTCTTAAAATAATAATCTAAATTATTTTCCCGCAAGGATGGTCTTTCCAGTGATTCATGGTTTTTTAGCTAAAAGAAATAATTAATTTCATCAACATAACGCCATCTTTTATCGGAAAAAATATATACTATATTTTTAAACAAAGTTTTCAATTATAACATTTCATGTATACAGTAGTGCAAAAATACAACATTTTAGGGATTTTTATATTCTCACCACCATTTGCGCAGAATTCTGTATATAATAAAATAATTTTATGCACAAATATTTAAAATAGTGTATGTCAATTAATTTCAACAGCTCTGTACTTTGAAGTTGCCATTAGAATTTATAAAATGGTGTCTTTTCAACGGCAAATTGGAATTATTTTATTGTATAAAAAGAGAGATTTCAGTTAATTAAGAATTTAAAATTAGTTTTTCAATGATGGTATAACTTTTTATGTTTTTCCCACGGATATACGCTTAGCTAAACTGTTCGCGTAAGTGTTATTGAGTACAGACGCCATTAAATGAATTGTGGCCGCCAATGGCAGGTTTGTCAAATTATCGATGCGGTGGTTTGAATCACGTTTGAATTGAAATCTAAAGCTCCGCATTTCGTTTAAATAGAGTTCTCAAATCGTAAAACCAATTTATGGACTACAGAATTTTGTAATATATAAGTGTAAATCGTAGAAATAAGCGTATTATTACTAAATCATGGTTTTGGCTGAGAGGAGTAATGATGTTCGGAACGGGAAGCGGTCGAGGGGGCCAAGCCCGAATGGGCATGGAAGCCCCGATTCAAGTTCGGAAGATGAAAATGGTAAGTAACTTTTCGGAAATTGTGTACGACTAACAAATTAATTCAGTCGATTATACAAAATAACGTAAAGCAGCTGTTTTGAACGTGACGTGATGAAGTTTCGGATCAGCTACACATTTCATTATCTCGTTAGGCATTTTACTAACTTGGTAACTGCTTTTGACTAGGTACCTATTTGTGCAGTTATAAGATTGTGTATATTGTCCGTTGCAATCATCTCATGCTTAATTTTTTCTGCTTTCCATCATCATCAACATGCTGCATCATCATCAACTCCACAATTACACCACTCCAAGCAGTAGTGCCCTTTGCAGCCGAGAAAATAAGAGTGGGTCGTGACTATCAAGCTGTGTGCCCAGAGTTGGAGCCACTAGACCAGCGGAAACCAGAACAGATGTCAGATAGAGCTTTGCTGGTGTGGTCTCCCACAGCGGACATATCTGATACCAAATGTAAGTTGTGTGAAACTTATTCTTGCCCTACATTTCCTTACAGTTATGACTTTATGGATCTGAGGAATGTGTGGAAGCTCTGGTTTTTATTTTACTTTCACTGTGAAACAAGTTTGAATTTCATAATCACTGTTTTAGTGGATGAGTACATTACAACTGCAAAAGAGAAATATGGGTACAATGGTGAACAAGCCTTGGGCATGCTGTTCTGGCATAAACATGACCTGAGTAGGGCGTCTATTGACTTGGCTAACTTCACACCATTCCCTGACGAGTGGACAGTTGAAGACAAAGTGCTGTTTGAACAAGCATTTCAATTTCATGGAAAGAGTTTTCATAGGATAAGACAGATGGTGAGTCACATTTGGTTTATTTTCAATTTGAAGTATCATTATATGTCAGTAAATTATCAATAGACACTTTTGTAACAGTTGCCAGATAAATCAATAGCTTCGTTGGTGAAATACTACTATTCATGGAAGAAAACTAGAGCACGCACATCTCTGATGGACGCTGTGAGTGAAGGACGGAATGCTACTGGTTCAGGCTCTGGGAAGAGAGAGTCTGGTGCTGGCTCTGATCCAGGTGGCTCAGACAAGGAATCTGATAATGATGAAAAGGTATGTAAAATGTGTTAAAACAGAAAGTGCAAATACATCCTGCTCTGTGTTTTAATATGTGTGCAGAATATTGTCTGAACATTGAGTCATAACATAATCTTTGTAAATGTTCTAGGAGTGCATACTTACATAGTGGTGTATCTGGATTGTCCAACAATATTTTAAGTAATTGTTTCCAGGTAGCACATCCGGTTAGTAAATAAAAATGCAGAGTCGTAGATCATTTTTTGTATTATTTAATACACATATGATGGCCCTTTAATTTTATTTATTCCTTCAGCATATAAGTCAAACAGTTGAGTTTTTTCAAGTAATTAGATAACATTCTCTTATTTGCTCTGCATGTAGACTAAACAATTGACATTTTGGACAACGGAAAGAGTTTTGGCTAATAATAATAATGATGTGGCAGTTAGTAGTGAGTCACGCCTGGCGGTTAGGTGAGGGGTGTTGCTAATGTTGCCTTATGTGATGGTGCTGTTGGCTACGACAGAAGTGGACTATCCACCGGGGTATAGTGCGCGGCGGCCGAGCCGGCGGCGCGGGCGCCGAGCCGCCACAGCGCGCTGCGGTACACGCGCCCGCGCAGGTGGGTCCCTGCTGCTCACCATGCAACCTCGCTTTCGATCTCGTTGGCCAGTGTCTTCTACATCCCTCCAATCTTGTCCACTCTGCTCGTGTGACGTCATTTCATTACTTTATCGTATCAGGCTAAAACTGTCTGTCTCAATGTTCCCCACTCTAATATGGTGGCAACACTATATCACGTATTTCATAATGCTGCACTCATTACTGTAGTATTTGTATTTTTCTCATAGTTTAACAATTTTTTTTAGTACCCTGGCTTGCGTTATATGTAAATATTCATTTTTTTGCTTGTTATTTCATCATTCATTCATTTTTGATTCATCATTTTGGTGAATAATTTTTTCTCATTTATGTGTTAATTATTGCTTGGTTCATTGTTGGCTTAACGTTTTTTTTTACTGCTCTGCATTTTTATTTACCAACTATGTCTACCACCCTCATGATCAACATCTTAAGTGTGATTTTTAAATGTGTAGAATGCATTGTATGTGGCAAAATATACTCTTTATTTCAAATATTTGTACATATTTGAAATAGGGGAATATATATTACTTTATGATATTGTAGTAAGTTAAAGACAACATTGTTGACTTTATAATGATTTGAAATACAGTGTCATGCCTTTTATGTTAATGTTCCTATTCCCTTTCCCTGCTGCATCCCTCTATATTCCCGCATGCTTCCTTTAATAGCCCCATAATAATACGAAGAAAGAACATCTTTCATTGAAATTAATGTGTGCAGAATATATATATATATTTTACTATGGGTTCTTAAAAGAAGTGTGTGAGGAGTAACTCGCGTTAGGAGTGTTATACGTGGCAAGAATGTAAACTATTAATTGGGGTTTAGGGCGAGGGCGGCGGCGAGGCGGGGAAGTGGTGCACCGTGTGCGGCATTCAGTGCAACCAAATCACGGCGCACAACTCGCACAAGTTGTGCCAGGCATGCCTCGTGCACGCCAGGTCGGTAATACCTATCAAATTCAATTAAAATTTGTTTTAATCTCTTGCATAGCAACTACTTGCATGAGTCCCTAAAGAGTCTGGAGTGTGTTTGTTCCATAACCTAAGCGTTAAGGTTGTTTGTTTGAATGTTGGCGGTAATGTGACAGACGCACCGGGACGATGAGACCGCTCTGCGGGCCGTCGGGGCGACGCGGCCCCGGCTCGAAACAGCAGCGTTACAAGCACCGGTTGCCTCGTGGTATTTACATCAATCACGACGATCTGGTCGCGATGGCCACCGGCCCACAGCCTGGCGACCCTCCGCAGGCCGGGCTTATCAATCAGGGTGAAGCTATGCTCAAAGCCATGGACAGAGAAATTATATCACTGAAGCGACAAGTAAGATGCAACTCGCAAAAGACCGCTAGTAGCAAAGACGCATTCTCACTCTTACGTTGACACCAACTTTATTATGATTCCGTCAAAAAGAATTATTTGTACCCCACGAGAGGCCGTGTACAAGCATTTGTGTGATGTAATGTGAGAATGTGATGTGTTATCGATTTTATTACTAGTGTACAGTAGTTACGGTGATACTGTTTTAGACGGTATCGCTATCAAATGTATTCTGCACACATAATAGTCGGTAGTTATAAGAATAATTGAAATTTGTGTTGAATCAACTTGTTTCCATTTCTGCTTTACTTCCTTTCGATCTTGCCTGTTGCTGTGCGCATAGAATTGCCGATAAGGTGTAGTTTTTGGAGAATCCAGATATGCACTTTTTGATCGTTTTTCCTTGCTAGTTTATCTTGGTATTTACCACGGTTTTACGTAGTGGTTGAAGTTTTAGTATTACATTCAAGTGTTTGGGGGCAGGTGCAGCAAAATAAGCAGCAACTGAGCGCGATGAAGCGCAAGGTAGGCGACAGCGGTGTGGAGGAATATAGACCGGGCGAGCCGCCGGCAAAGATCAACTCTCGTTGGACCAATGACGAGTTGCTGATGGCTGTCACAGCGGTTAGGAAATATGGTAAGACTTAGATACAAAATTAACAACTAACCTAACTACATATTTTGGGCAAAATAATTTGTTACAAAAAATGGTTTAGGAAAAATGCCAAATCTTGACAAATTGAGATTCGGATTTTGGAACTAATCCAAAAATAGTATTACAATAGACAAACATAAAGATAACAATAATTTCCGACATATCGGTTTGGCTATTTTTAATGCAGTCAATGAAGTTACAAAATAATATTGTTTGAAAAATGTTAAAAGATTAGGAATTTTTGTATAAGGACATGGATTCATATAATGTACTAAAAAAAACTCGAATGCTGCCTTTATCGAAATTTAATTAACTAGTAAATATGGGTAACTCTATAAAAAAAATGAAACGTTATTAATTTTAACGAATATATATTACATATTAATATGATTGAATTAAAGTGAGTGCAGAAACCGGTCTCTTCCACAAACCCGAATGTGTCATTGCCTTAGCGCTTCCTGGTATCCGGCTTTCCGGGTTAGATTACTCTAGCTAACCGTGGCGCACGTGTTCATTGTTTAAAGCTTGTACACGTTATGTGAAAAATGTATCTCAATAAAAATGGTTCACGGGGTAGCAAATTATTTGCTTCCAAAATTATTAATATGGATTTCCGTAACGTAACGCCTAAATCTATTAATTATTTAAACGTATGTCACTCGAAGGATACTGTAAAATATAATAAGTAGTTACGAACTTATTAGCCCTCGTATTCTGTTTCTTTTTTTTTCTTATCTTTGTGCCTCCTTCGACGCAATTTCACTAATTGATTATTAAATTTTTTATTCATTTGAAAATATTTTTAAGGTACAACTCTGTCTGAAACAAGATGTCTACACCGGTCTTTCGTGCGACCTTCAACCTTATTTTGATTGGTTTAAAATGTTATTAAATATTAATCATCATAATACAGTAGTTGGCAACCATTTGCCACATAGTGCAAAATAAAATAAAGGCGGGCGGTACTTGCTTATGACATTATGGATACATAATATTGGAGGTATTATTTGTACAAAAACACCCAAATTATTCCTGAAATGACATATTATTTTTTAATTATCAGTTTACACGCAGCCATTGATGAACATAAGCCATTAATTTATGTCAGAAATATTTAATTCGAATTTGAAAGCAAATGGCCAGAGTCAAACTTTAATGAGATTTTTTGAGGCTGTATTTGGCAATTCTTTGATTCAAATTCGATGTAGAAATTCTAAGTAAGACAAGAATAAATAATGGTTATCTATGGTATATATATTTCTTTAAATTTTTGTCATACTGCGTTGTTGGCCAAAGGTATTGAGCATCTATATTACCTAAGTAACTTTCAGTTTTTTGGAGAATTTTAATATTGTGTTTAAGGTGTAGGTGTACCAGAATCTGATGACGATTCGACAAATTTAGGGTCGTATTCCAGAACTGTACTCAATGCTCAAGTCAGGATTTGAGCAGACTTGAGTATGATTTCAATAATAATAATAATAATAATTAATTTATTCGCTTCAAATAGGGTAGGATACATTACACATGTTGATGGTAAAAATTAAATCAGAGCTTAAACCTATTCGGCCTTCTAAAATAAAAGCATGCAAATACAATAATAAAATAATACATTGGTGGATTGAGATTCGATTTTAAAACAATAATTAGGCAACAAATTGATAAATTTAAGATAATTGATTTAATTTGATATGTCAGAATCGTGTATGTCATAATTTAATAATAATAATATATATATATTTTTTAATGATGGGAAAAATGTATGCATCAATTAATTATTCTTTATGATTCATGAATTCGTCAATAGAGTAAAACAAATGATCAAAGAGCCACATGCGCAATTCCTTTTTAAAATTAGTCAATGGTAGAGGCTTAATGCGATCTGGTATAGGATTAAAAATTTCAAGTACTGCAAATACGACCCTAATGGCAAGGACTTGAGTATGATTTTCAGTGCTCACTGCAATACTCAAGTCCTGACTTGAGCATTGAGTACAGTTCTGGAATACGACCCTTAGACAATTTAGACAAATTTATAGTGGGCAATATTAATATTTTAATTGAACAGAATTGGTCTATCCTCGTCCACTTTTGAAGATCAGTCTGTTCTCGTTCTTTTATGTGTTCTGTTTCATTATTAAATATTAAATACGTTTTGTAGGGTTTAGTGTGCAGTGACATGGCGAAAATCTTAAAATTTCATGTCCTTGCGATTTTACAATTACATCAATCACATGTTGATACATTAGCTTTTACGCCATTTTTATCTTTTTTACCAATAAAAATCTACACATTTGTCTTGCCGACCAGTACCAAGAAAAATTGCACCACAAGCTTTGACTGGTGACTATTTCAAGGGCCAAGGGCGAACAACCTTATGGTAAGCTACTTCTACTAACCGGTAACATTTGAGACTCGCTTAAATTGTTGATTATGACTTGTGCACCCAATTCGTCGCTGATTTAGCGATAAACATTATAAGAATTGCTTATTCCCAGTTGTCACCATTGGCTTTGTTCCGACTAGCGACAAATGGGAAAAAGATCCCATATGTTACCAGGTGGTGACAAACGGGATAAAAAATCCTAGTTGTTGCCAGTGGTGACTTCTACTGGCGACAGATGGAAAGAAAAAAATCCATATGTTACCAGGTGGTGACAAACGGGATAAAAAAATTCCAGTAGGTTGCCAGTAAAAAAACCAAATGGAATAAAAAAATCCAATCAATGTAAGTTTATTGCCGCCATCGAAAGGGAATAAAATGAAATTCGAGTTAATAAGATCTATACTTTTATCATTAAACTAGAATTTTATTTTATTCCCTTTTAACTACCTACTGGGATATTTTAAATTTCATTTGCCGCCAGGCAACAACAGATCTTTTTATCCCGTTTGTTACCACCTGGTAACATATGGGATTTTTTTCCCATTTGTCGCCAGTGGGAACAAAGCCAGTGGTGACAACTGGGAATAAGCGGTAGGAATCGTTTGTTGCTTGAGGTCGAAAGCGAATGCTACAAAATCGTTACTGCGGGCAATGAATTGACACAATTAATGCATTGGTAGGTGAAAATCGATCGATTTTTTTTATTTTTAACCATTTTCAAAAAAGGAGGAGATTCTCAATCCGACTATGTTTTCTTATGTATGTTACGCGATTACTCATTTTTGAATGTCGTTTGTGAACTGATTTTGACGATTCTTTTTTTTTTTTTGTTGGAAAGAGGGTACCCCAGTAGTGGTCCCACTTAACACATTATTATAGTGGAATTAAATGCTATTCATGGTTATATCTGCAAAAAGCGTCGAAAAAGAGGGCAGCAACGCAGATTCTAGGACGTTTATGTATTTTAAGGAGTTAATGCGGCCATCACAGGCAAACGTTTCTGCCATCGCCGTATTTTACGGTTGGTGCAACACAGTCTGGACTAAATTCTTCGCTTCCCCGGCGGCGCCCAAAGATCACACTATGTGTACCGAAAATCTGAAAAAAAAAAAAAATGATTTCGGCAACTGAAATATTTTTGTCAACGAATTTTAGTTTCAAATCATAATTTAATTTAATTAGAACATGAAATTGAATAATACACCTCATAGTTTGACTAGTGTGACCACATATTTAACCAATTTTGTTCAGTGAAATTTTGGTACTTTAAGATGCATACATTCTGAGCATTCTTGTTATTTCCTAAGAGCCATGATTTCTTCCCGACTTTATAGCTTTTCAGGCCAGCCTCTACTCTACTTGGTGCGTTCAATGTATTCTAGGTATCGGGGTGATTTAGTAATTATGAAGGTTAAATAATCTCATTAGCTAATGACTGTTTAAATACAAAATTTAATTTACTTGCGAGATTATGGTTTTGAAAAACTTTTAAACCGATCACCCTACTTCCAGACCTGGACCCCAGTGATTAGGTACTGTCTGTTCTAAATAGATTTTTTCAGAATTTTCTGTCTTCATGCTTACACCGAGAATACATTGAACACTTCTCGTAATTTCGACTGACAACTCGACATTAAGTAGTTTTCGATCCGATCCTTAGACAACTCTTATTATTTGCTTTCAGTGCTCACAATCTGGTGATGCGTTTACGCCCACTGTAATCTATTACTGTGGGATATGGCAGCGGCCGATTGTCCAATAGCGTACTGCGTACATTTTATAGTCTTAGGAATATCTAACCTGTGATTTCCCTTGCTCATACAGTTCTTATATCGGCACTCGTTCTAAACTAAGTTCATTTCTTTTAGGTATATTGCAACAATATCGTTGAATGTAATCAAACAAAAGGGCAAAAGCGCACTAGATCACTGGATGTGTACACAATAGCGATAGTAGTGAACTGACAAATAAATTAAAAAATGGTAAAATCACATATTTTATTGCACTAGGTGTGTTTTTGCTAGTTGCGGCATGGAGTCTTTAAACTTTTTTTGGGCCTGTTTTCTGCATATTCTTGGCCAAGACTGTTGCATTTGAAAACTAATGATTTGTTTAACAAATCCTTTCATTTCAATAAAATCAGATTGCTCAAAGATAACTGCACAAAATTTTGCAAGATAATTAATTTCATGAAAGAAGTTTTTAAAAGTATCATTAGAATATACGGAGTGCTTTGCGGTAGGATGTATGTATAGCAAGCAAGGTATTAAGTGAGGGCATCGCGGCGGCGCGACCTAATTAGTACAAAAATCTTTTTTTTTCAAAAGACCGGACATTTTAGACGCGGGCCGTAAGTATAAGGCCCGGGGTCGCGAGTTGTGTCTACCTTTAATCATAGGATGAAGCAAGGAGGTACTATATGAAAAAATACTAATGATCTCCTCTGAATGTCAATTACTGCGCGGAGCAAATCCCCCTCAGTTTTACTAGGATCTGGAATTATTAACTCACCCGCTCTTAACTAATCTAAATTGTAATAGTAATTTCATTACGAGTCAAGTGAACTACATACACGCAATTAAACGATCTAGGCAAGGACTTCCAAGCGATCGCTGAGACACTGGGCACGAAGACGGAGGCCCACGTGCGCACGTTCTTCATCTCGTACCGGCGCCGGTTCAACCTCGACGCAGTGCTCAGGGAACATGAAGCGGACCGCGGCAGCGCGCATCACATACAGGCTGGTAAGTGCCTGAGTGATGTCACCAACAGTTTAAAGGCCAACGCAGACCGTTATAAAATGTCCGTCGTCTGCGCTGGACTTAACGTAATCTTAGACAATGTAAAAACTGCGTTTCAAATCTTTTTCCAAAATGTTAACTCAATCATCATTCGACTGTGTTACGGTCAACAACCTCAAACCTCGGACATGCTGGCGATCGCAGTAAACATGCGACTATTCACCAAGACACGTTGCCGCTAATTTCCCGTATCGCTTAGATGCTTTATATGCCACGAGCCCGAAATATGAAACAACGGGAAGAAGAAAAATAATATGTAGCCTTTTACAAATAATTTATTTTTTCAGGAACAACAAGCACGGAAAATGCTGAAAGCGGCACTGAGAACACAACAGCTAGTAACAATAGCACAGGATCTCCACAGAGTGCTAATAAAGATGAAAAGGTAAATCGTTGCCTATATTATTCTAACTTAGTGTTTGCCTAATTACACATTAGATACTTTTTGTCTTGATGGAGACAAAGTTTAGAATTATTTAAGGTTTTCGTCAGACAGAACATGTCCAGGGCATGCATGCACTTTATTAGGTATACTAAGTAGTTTACATTTCATGTGATTAACAAAGTGCTTGTGCTGTCAGATGGAGGTGGATAGCGAGGGCGTGGCGCTGGGTGCACCTGCGGAGCAGGGCGGGCCGCCCACCACGCCACCCAAGCACAAACCCTCAAGCAAGTGATGCGCCTCGCCCCCGGCGCATAATTGCGTCCTCTTTTGATCACCACCACGCACCTGCTTTCCACGGCCTTGCATTATAAAGGAACCTACTTATGCGAAGAAAGATAATGTGTCTTACTCATTCTATCGCATAAATACTTCCCGCATCTGATTGGCTCTTGGAAAGGAACGCACTTATGCGAAAGAAAGTGATGCAAACTAACCTTGTTCACATAACTGCGTTCAGCACTTGATGTGTGGCGGCCGGACTTGACTCCTCTGATTTATGTTTTCTTTTGTTTTACATCGTGGAATCACAGAACGGAAAGTACTATGGTAAAATATTGTTTTTGTCTATCATTTAGCAGTACCAAATTGCCGATTATAAAAAAAATGAGAATTAGATAATGATAGAAAAATAGTTTATTTCTATTTCTTCTTCTTTTAAATGTTATGGGTCCATCGAAATAATCAATGATTTTGCCAATGTCAAGTAAAAATAACTATGTACGTTTATTTCTATTTAAAAATACAGCAAATTTACCTGTGTCAAATCTAAGATACAATGGTAACGTTAAGTGCGAATTAATTATTACATCAGTGAGTTGAAAGCTTAAAGTGGATATAAATTATTTAGTTAACATATAACTTCGGTATCGACGACGAGCACATTCGTTATTAAATTATTTACTGTGAAGATGTAGCAGTCGCTATGTATTCTTTACAAATTCGTGCCAGAGTGTAATAGGCATTTATGTCGACACCGAATACAATTTTAGTATAGGAAAAAAAGGTGCGAGTATTTTAGCAATGAAGTTAGTGATTATGGTGTTTCATCGGTTGTAATAATGGTAATTGTGGAATATTGAAGGCTAACGTGTAACAGTATACGTTTTACGAATGCATTATCATAGAGAATGTGTAAATAATAATAATGTGTTATTATATACTAGGACTAAGATAATTAGCTACGAAATCATAATTTTGTGCGGATGATTCCTTATACATAATTTAATATTCTTAATATATCGCCGTGATCAATAGAGAGCTGCGCTCTTTGTTTTTAACGTTTTGTTAACGATCTCCTAAATTTAATCAAAAGTTTTGTGTGATAGATTAAAGATTTGTTTAAACCAACGCGTTCAGCTTGGACTGTAACTGTTTGTACCGATATAACATTTGGCAATTGACCGTAACTGCGGACGCGATCGTGGACGCAAGCTGACGGCGTTTGTTTAATCAGGTCTTATTTTAGTGTATTAATCGATATATTCACTTGCCTTAAGAATATAATACATCTTGTACTCGCATGTTTAAAATTATTATTATGTAGGACCCTAAATATCGCTAGTGTAAATTGTTAGAAACAAGACATGCAGTCTGAACACAAATATTTTACAGTTAAGGGTAGCTAGGATTTTATTTATTCAAGAATAAGGATACTATATCAATCTTGTCCACTTGCTTAGATAGAAGTTTCTATATATTAATATAAATTAGGTATTTATAACTGAACCTTGGCAATTTAGTTTCGCTGAAATATACAGGCAGATTCCATGGAAACAATTTTTCCTTTATTTCAGAAGAACTTGCTTGATTCAGCAAAAGTGCACTATCCACTAAAGCATAGGTTCCCAAACTTTTGGCTAACCGCCCACTTACGCAAGATAAAAAAATTTCGTCGCCCACCACAAAAAATAATTGAAAACACATATTTTTTATGTTAATACAAACAATCACAAGGAAAAAAGTTATATATTTGTAGTGTAGCTTAAATAAATTATTCAGGTTTTATTTTTTCAAATGCGGTATCAATCCTGGGCAGCATCAAGGCCCCTACCGCCCCCTAGGACTCTTCAGCGCCCATTTGGGTAAGGACCACTTCGGGAAACTATGCACTAAAGCAAAGAAATTTATGAACTATTGTTATCGAGAAGCGTAAGGGGTGTCAAATTGGCAAAAGGTAGTTCTTAGATACGTCTATGTTTTGGTGGATAATGGACCTAACATTAATTATTATAAGCCACAATTGACATACTATGTAGGAAAATAATAAAGGAAAATAATTATTATATTGATGATATTTTTATACAAGTAAAAGACATCTCAATATTAGGTAATTTAAGTTTGAAAGTGTGAAATAGCTGAACATTTTATATTTTATAACTACACATTAGATTCTAATTTTAGCAACTAGATTTTATTTCGTTTAGTACGAATATTACGTCATTTCTAGTATAATCTTATAGTTTTAGTATTAAACATCACAAATGCTATTATGAGTTTAATAATACTGAACCGAAGATGTGGTTACCCGTGTAGGTTTGTTTTACATACACTCTTGTACATATTTAGTTTAATATTCTCCTTACTAAATCAATGATCACTCTGAAAGGATATTTTGAATTTTTATTGTTTAACATTAGTGGACAAATTTAGGTTGAAATCCGCCTGACATTGACGTAAGCAATATTTCGAGTTTTAGTCGTTTAAGTAAATAGTTCAAAAATATAGACCATGAAAACACTCGTACTGTATGTAGTTGGCTGGAAATATCTAAGATGTAAATAAACGCACGTAAACGGCATTTTTATGGGAACTGGAATATCGATGTGTCTCGTATAGTAAAAACATGCGATACGGCACCTAATCACTCCAAAGACACCCACGCAATGAAGTCATCTTATTTATTGATGCTAACTAGAGCTAATTAGTTTGAATATTATTACAATTAAATTATTTTAGACTATGTGTTCTGTATATTAGAATTTCAAGTAACTGATTAATGAAGTGTTTTTTTTACGATTAAGTGAAAGCTCAAACACGCAGTTTATTATTCGTGTCGCAACTGATAGTGTTATTCACAAATTAATAACTGAAATGTATTTAAATCCAGGAAGTTTTTAATTTTATTAAGCATACTAAATAAATATAAAAGTAAAATTATTGATTTTTATTGGTTGTAAAACCTTTACTGCCCTCCTTGTCACAAGGACGCATTTGCATTTTGGTAACTTTCAAGATATTGGCACCTAGTTTTTTTTTCTTTGAAAAATGTCAAATACGCTGATTTTGCGTAAGAAAATGTACGTGTGTGTGCACTTTCCATCCTCTAAGGTGCACCTTCTGAATATTAGTCATTTAGTAGAGTAATAAAATAAATCGCGTCTTTGGGGTTTAATTACACGTTTCTTACTCATTTGTATAGTTTTCTCATGACGTCTATGAGTAGGGGAGGAGGAGGCATCTTTGACCAGGGGCAGCTTAGAACAAATGCGTTTACGCAGGCAGTTTGAATGAAAACCACCGAGTCCCACACTTGTCAGTAGCAACGGTCAGTGCGCGCGCGCCAATAACCGAATGAGAGGTCGTGTTTAGTTTCAGCGTCGAAAACTAACATAAAACATTCTCAAGGAACAATATAGATAATGGAGAGTTGCAACTTTGCTTGTTGTACGAATTGTTTTATTGCTAAAATATTGAACCCACAGCTTGCAATCGTTGAGTGTTTTTACGCATGAAAAAATATTTATTTTGTAGAGTACAGATTTGAACAAATCCAAGGGGGCAGCTTTGAACACGTTTAGAGGTTCTGATTAGCTTCCCCTGATAATGTTTTGTAATAGGTTTTGTTAATTTTTTAGTTATTTTAGTACTATTCCTGTGATATAATATGAAATTTGACAAAAAAATCGACTATTTGTAGGCTAACTTGGTCACGTGACAACTCCAGCGCACCCTGTTCAAACTCAAAATTGTTCCTGGCCCAGCATGCCCATGCGGGGCCTATGGGGATCTAAAACATGTCTTCTTCTCCTGCTCCCAATTGACTACGATACTTACACATCTGTACTCCTGGCAATCAGTATCCCACTCCCCACCTCCATAACAAGTTTATTGTATTTATGTAACAAAGATGCGTACCTAGTAATAAAGCTATTATAAATAAATTAGCGTCCGATCACTGCGGTCAACACACCTACGACACTAGTAACAGTTTTAATCATTTTTTTAGGAAGTATTCGAAAATGTTTAAACGTGTTTCTGTTGCAGCCAAAGCGATGTTTATAAATAATAAAATTAAAAGCAGCGCGAATGTAGTAAAAACGACTTAGGATATTATAAACAGTGAAACTAGAAGGGTCAAACCTCGTAACTCAGATTTTAAACTAAGATTTAATGACAAAATTGTAAACACATGCAGAAGTTGCTAAAATATTTGAAAATGTTTTTAATGACATTTCAATTTTGACTACTAAGTCTTTGAATTCATCTCTCACCGCCGCTGAACCTTACTAAAAGAAAACAATGTAGTTAGTATTACTAATTGAAGGTTCCGTCATGTATTTGCAAACGACATTGTTAAAACCTTTAAGTCTATAGACATAAAAAATACTGCTGACCTTGATGGTCTTTCATTCAGAGTAATTAGTTCTATAGTTGATTGTATTGCGCCTTATTTAGCATGTGTCTTTAATAAATGTGTTGATGATGGTGTGTTTCCTGACCTTATGAAGCAAAGTAAAGTTATTCCTCTTTTCAAATCTGGTAATATTTCAGACCTCATCAATTTCAGACCTATTTCAATACTACCAACTCTCAGTAAAATATTTCAAAAAATGATTCTAAATCAGATGTGTGCACATTTTTATAGTAATAACTTAATGTCTCCTAAGCAATTTGGTTTCACTCGGGGCCGCTCTACAACCGATGCTGGTGTTGAGTTCATGAAACGTAAATATTTGATGCATGGGAAGACTCACATGATACTGTTGGTGTATTCTGTGACCTTTCCAAGGCTTTTGATTGTGTGCACTATGATACTCTGGCCAGGAAAAAGACGCCTTTATTGTGTGGCGGGACGTGACCTCGACCTTCTTAAATCGTATGAGTGGTAGGGTACAGAGGGTCGATGTTAACGGTATGAGATCATCAGGGTTTGCAATTAGCATGGGTGCCCCTCAAGGTTCAATTCTAGGTCCATTTTAGTTTATATTAATGACTTACCTGGCCTCATGGTTTGCTGATGATCATTATTATTTAACGTTAAAAGGCACCAATGTTCCTACGACGAATGTGAACAATGCCATATCTAAAGTAGTTGATTGGTTTGCAGTTAATAACCTGCTCCTTATTTTTATTATTATGAGCCCATACTGTCCCACTGCTGAGCAAAGGCCTCCCTCCCCTCTTACCAATGTTAGAGACGGTTACAAACATTGTAGTAAGAAACGAAAAATTGAATCTTGTGGATACAGTTGTATTTCTAGGTATAACGTTAGATGCTAAATTTTAATGGCGTCCACATATAAATAAGTTATCAAAACGGCTCATAAAACGCGATTAAAAAATACGGAAACTTTCAGACGTCGAAACAGCTAGATTGGTTTACTTTACCTACTTTCACAGTTTAATGACATACGGCATTTTGCTTTGGGGTAATGCCGCCGATATCGATAGAATCTTTGTCCTGCAGAAACTTGCGGTTAGGGTAATTTACAATCTTTGCGAGGTAAGTTTAAGGAAATTAATATTCTTACACTGGCGTTACAGTACATCTATGAAAATGTAATTTACGTTAAGAGGAATAGTAATTTCTTTATGAAAAATAGTGACAGATATAACATTAATACTAAGAACAAAAATAAACTAGCTGTTCTTGACACTCGTCTTCACAAAGTCACAAATTCATTTAAGGGGCATATTCTATTTCAAGATTCCGGTTGATATACAAAATTTACCACTAACGAGGTTTAAGCAAAAACTTTATACTAAAGGTTATTATACAACTTCTACGTACTTGGATGACAAAAATCCGTGGTAATAACCCTTTTTTTTTCCATCCTCTAAGTAGTAATCCGTTTAGCTCATAGAGGTAGTCTCGATCTCTGTTGTTTGAAAGAAAAAAAAATATTGAAAATGTTGAATGTGTACATATGTTATTTACAAAGAGCAACCCTCAGAGTTTCTTGCTCATTCTTCTCAGGGGAACCTGCCTTACAAATGAACAGTAGAGTTTAACCAATGTGACGATTTCAAGTGTAATAATGCTTACCTATGAAATAAAGATTATTTTGATTTTGATTTTATAATGTACTGGCCTTATTTATCGAAAACAATAGTATCAAGCTTTAATATATAATATAACGATATATAATGGTTACCTACCTACCCAACCTTGGTAGGTTGCGTAACCATTATATATCGGCAACCATTATATATACGTATGGAATTTGAATGAAAAAGGATAACTATATCCTTTTTTTTTACCGCTAAAAAATTTTCGAATGTTGTTGGGTACTTTGTTCTTAGAGGATGGAAAACATTATAAGAACTTGTTACAGTTTTCAACTTTGACATTGGCGCAATAGTTTTGAATATTCTTCATTTAAGATTTTCATTCAAAACTGACACTAGTCTTAGCTTAGCTTAGTGGCCGCCATTAAAGAGAATAATAATATAATATAATATGTTATTGAGAGGCGCTACATTTCTCAATTCTGACATTATGATTAGCTTGATATCAGCGTCCATTTAGTAGATAATTTTTTATATTCAAATTTAATTTCTTCGCTGTAGATTGAAAATGTCGAATCAAACCTTCTCTCGCAGCGTAGAAGGTCGCAGTCAGACTGCCTTACCCGAAATTGGCAAGCTCCGCTTGTCGGAAGTGACTGATGCTCCCTTTATCTTCAAGCTTGTGAATGAGCAAATGGCGAAAACCTTCCGAGTAAATGATCCCGAACAAATTGTTTATCTTATGTGAGTGACCAATCAATGATCCGAATTTCTCATGTTATTTTTGATAAAAAAATCTTAGTGTATACTTAATTTACCAGTGGCAAAACGTGTATCTGAAGCCGATGTTGGTACGCGGTAAATGCAATGCAAATTTCCCTTTCAATACTCAATACTTCTTCGTCACTGGTTAATAAGACTAATAATGATTGTTTTATAGTGAGAATTCAGTGCTAGCAATAACCCAGTTTAATGAGTTGGGAGATATAATTGGGTTCATATCAGCGCGGGAGTATCCCTTGATACCTTCAGTACATCCTTCTGCATGGGAAGAATATGTTTGGGCAAAGTACAAGTATGTGTACAACTTACTATTTAATAGATTTTAAAGATTCTGGTTAATAAATAGCGAACTTTTTGAAGGAGAGGCTACATCGCGAACGAAGCTAAGCTAAAGTTAGCTCACATTCAGTTAGGCGTGGCAGGTTTTTGTGCATCTGTTCACACCACGAACTAAGCTACCCGAACTCATTGAACTATGTGGGCCAAGTAAATTTTGTCGTGCGGGGAAAGACTAGCGTCGAGTGGTAGCACCATCACTTCACTATGGCCCCGTATTTTCTCATCTCAGCTTTGCGCGCAGTTACGTGAACTGTGGTAAACTTAAGTTACCTTAGCTTGCATAGTTCGTTGCATGCAGCTATGTGCGCTAAACTACTCTTCCAACCAAAACTTGCCAAGTATAGGTATAGCGGACTCGCACAAGAGTATTTCGTGGGGTTTTAATAGCATATCATTTTATGTTTCAGGGCAATAGATATGAACGGAAGAAACACATTATTTCTTCATTTACTGTGTTGGAAGATTGACTACTCTAGAGAGGTTGTCGACAACATGCTAAAGTCTATTTTCATGCACGATCCTTACGTCCAATACATAGCTTTTATAAAAACCGTCGTTGGATGTTTGCGTATGTTGATTTTTTTTTTATTTAAGAGCGTTGCTTTTAGCGGTGTATTGCTGCTACCTTATACCTACCTACCTACCTATGCTACCTGCTACCTTACCTATTTCTGCCGCCAAGCAGTAATGTCAGCATTACTGTATTCCGGTATTGGAAGGGTAAGGGTGCTGGTGTAATTACAGGCACATGGGATTTGCCAACTTATGCCTCAGGGTGACGGGCGAATTGGAAGTGCCCCTCAGCTCTTTGCGAATTAAGATATTATTAAAAAAATAATCCGTGGTAGTGACCCGTTTAGTTCTTGCAGGTAGTCTCAATCTAAGATGTTGGAAATAAATATTGTAAAATTGTTAAATATATTAAAATGTACATTTAAAAGAGCAACCCCTAGAGTTTCTTGTTCATTCTTCACACGGAACTCTGCCTTACGAATGAACAGTAGAGTTTAATTAATATGACTATTTCAAGTATAATTTGCTTAGGTATCTATGAAATAAAGATGATTTGAATTTTGAATTTTTTTGAATGAAAATGGAACCTTTCTTTACTATTTACTATTTATCGAGTTCTTAGGTTTTCGCGATTGTTACACATAGGAAATGAAACTATTTTTCTGGATTTAAATCGCGTATATTTATTTTTTCAAACAAACCGACGTTTCGGGCCCTTTACAGGTCCCATGGTAACGGTTGACCAACAGTCAGTCAGTTAACAAATATCCGCGATTTAAATCCGGAAAAATAGTTTTATTTCCTATAATTACTATATTTATTTATTACAGTACTATTACACAACTGTGTAATAGTACTGTAATGGAACTCCATTGATGGTACAGATTGCCATTTTCCCATTAATGGTACCGTGGAATTTTTGTTTTTGCCCTCGATCCATAGAATATTCGCAGTTGCTTGCATCCAACACAAGATACGTTTGCGCGGCGCCTTAGGTCACCGTGCCCTAGTTCCTTATCTTTGTGTGTTATTACCTAAATAAGAAAAATAATAAGAATACTTTATTGCGTAAGCACCGAGACACACGTGACCTTAAAATTTAAATACAATATTATAAACTTTAAACTAAAATACAGCACTTACAACAAAAGTTAAAATATAATGATAAAAAAATAATAATAACTGCGTGTCGCGGCGCACGCAAACTGGATTTGCTCAGCTATTAGCACCAGCGCTACAGGCAGATATTTTCAGCCTGTAGCGCTGGTTTTCAGCAAGCCCGATGTGAGTGAAGTACGGACTCCAGCGCAAACAAAACAAATCCATGCATAACGTGTGTGTGAAACTTGATATATCCTAAAATATTTACACTAAATATATAATACGAATACATAGATAAATAAAACAGCATAAGTGTAAACTAATTTAATTACATAATTAATAGATGTATACATGTATACGTTATATTAAGATGTAATTAATATTGTGTGCATAATAAATAGTTGAGCACTACATACAGTACGGCCACTGCGTTTTGGGTTGTACAGTTGTAAAAAGTAAGACTATATTTCATTGTTTGGAATAATGTTCTGTGTCTTTTAACTATTGTCATTTAATCAGCCGCCCTTACCATAAACAACGTATCTAATCGAAAGTTTTAACGAAATTGAGTTATTGACTGCGTGGCCGAACGGTTATTATGCTGGCCTGCCATGCAGAGGTCCCGGGTTCGATTCCTGGGCCGGGAGAAATATTTTTATGGCCTACAGTTATTTCTCTCGTGAGTTTGGGTATAATTTGTGGTTGTTTACGTGTGTGTCCATGGCACCCGCGTCTCAGGATTTCCCTAAAACGGGGTTATCAGCATATGATAGTTATTTATTATTGTTATTTAGGTATAACATATGAGCCAAACGAGATCTTCGACACCTATCAGCGGTTTATTTTAAATATCTTAATTAGTGTCAGTAAAATCAGCTAGCTGACGTTTTTCAAGGGAAAATAGAACTTGAGGTGCCAATATCCTGAAAGTTAACAAAATGAAAATGCGTTGTTTATGACAGGAAGGCAGTATAGGAAGCCTGTTTGCTGTACATTTTTGGTGATTCTTACAATCATAGCCAGTATTGTGTATCATCTCTTTTTTCTGTACTACCTTCAGAGTTAGTACCAGGATCATCGCGACCAGAAGGATCGTTTCATCGTATGCAGGCTACGGCGCGAGGCATACCAGGTGAAAGGTTACCTGGAATGTACGTCGCTGACCGCAAGGAGGTCAGTCCACGTCTACGTGTGCGCCGCGCTGTGTAAGTTGCCGATACTCCCATGTTTTGTAACCTGCGTTCAATCTTTTCTAGCGCTAGAGTTGATATTTCATCAAACTGACAATGGTTATACAGTGTTTTTTAAGTGGGATAGTAAGGGGAAATTCGAAACTAAAGGAGATATAAGGCTCAACTCACACTGGCGCAGAGTCGAAGCGTCATGTCGCGTGCTGTTTTTCAACTACAACGCCTGGCGACGCGCGACTACGCTCGTATTAGTGCCCTCTACGGGACGCCTCACTGCGCCCAAGTAACGCGTGGCGACGCGCGTCGCCGCACGTCGCCGCGCGTTGACGCGCGTTTCCATATGTGCATACAATAACTTACAAATAAATGGACGTCGGGTCCGCGCTAAAAAGTGTCCCAACTTACAGGGCGTTAAAATCTTGTAAAAATTACTCAACTAAAGTGAAAAAACAGTATGGTATATCATATTTTCAGTAAGTACTACATTGTGTTATCATAGTTATCATTTAAGTGTTATTTTATGCACTAGTATACATATATAGTATTTAATTTATATTTAAATTAATCGTATATATAAATTACAAAAGCAATCAAAATAATCAAATAGCTAACTGTCTCTTTCCGACTCATTGCTTGCGTAAAAGACTGAACGGACCCATCACGTGGATTTGAAACACAAGCGTTTGAAATATTTAGAACAAAAATTTCATAGAGTCGCTTTGACGCTAATGTTATTATTAAAATATTTTTAATACATCTTAGTAATACTTTCAAATATTGTTGTACTCTTTCTACAGCTCAGGGTTACGAATCAGAAAACCGAAAATACATTTGCCCGAAATAACGTTTGCATGAGCTTCCATAATCCCGAAAGTATTTTTTTAGGTTTTTCGGGAGAAATATGTGTATGGCCTACATTTATTTCTCTCGTGAGTTTGGGTGTAATTTGTGGTTGTCTATATGTGTGTCCACGGCACCCGTGACACAGGGTTTCCCTAATGCGGGGCAATGTTGAGTGTGTGCTTTATTATAATTATTATTATTAATTAATACCTAAGTGTTTATTTTGGAAAGCGTTTCTCTTGCGCAATCAATATCGCGCATTTTAATTTTGTAATTATCTCACAACGGCAAATACCCTACTACCATCATAGCCGTACTTTTTCAAGCACAAGAAACATTTGTAAGAACTATGAGCAGTACGACTATGCCTGTTGACGGTATCAACCGTTGTCAGTGATAAATCGTAATAATTATATTGAATCAATGTAAGCACTACGGCATATAGAAAAGTGGTGACGTTTTTGAGCGCAATATAATTTCAGTACTATGCATGAACGGGTGAAGGAAATGGTAAGAAAAGAAACGAAACCAGAGCTGATGCAAGCTTAATAAAAGACCATAATATTAAAGCTTTGGTATGTGATTACATCAATGAGTGAACTGTGGATAGAAAGGAGAGAATACAGGAATTTATCCAGGAAACATAGCTTGAACTTAAGAAGAAAGTGACAAGTATTACCAGAGAACATCTTACACCGCCGCATTAAAAATCAAAAGTTGGATGAATGAAAAAAATATACCAACTTAAGAAACAAAGAAGTTAATTGAAGCAGACTGACAGTGCAAATTAAATAGGATTTTTTTTAAAGTTTAAGCAATTTGTAGCTTTCACATGCAAACAATGTATAATAATACAAATAGTACAACCTTGATAGCCTAACGGTTTGCACTGTGGGCACTGGATGAGAAGTTCCCGGGTTCGATACCGGTAGGATCAATTTAACAAATTAACTTTTCTAACTGGTTCTGGTCTTGGTATTCTATTGTAAGACAATCACCTTTTCTGAAAACTAGGGAACTCTCTGTACATACTCCCCATGAGTATCAGAGCAACAAAATCCCAGAGCAGAACCAATTTGCAAAAGTTCATTTCCCAAATTGGTTCTACTGGGAATCGAACCTGGGACCACGAACGATAGAATTTATTCCGGGGCATAACTCAGAACACCCAGGCCAAAACAACTTTCGAAAAGTTCACATTTAGTTTTATAGTTGATTGAGCTGGTTTTTTACGGTTTTAAAAAAAAATCTCGAATAATTCGAGAAATCGAGTACGAGAATTGTCGAAACTCAAGAAAAAAAAGTCAGACACCCTAGCTCGTAATAAATGGCATTGTATAAAATTCAACATGTACGTATGAAATTTATTTATAAATAATAAAGGCTACTCCATTATACTTGTGTTCAAATAGTTTTCACTAGAAGCTACATACGTGCGTTTTGGTAAGTTTCCAGTAGAAGTTGAATATGGTGTTTTTTTGCGCCTTTTAATTGTTGCAAGCAAAATTAGGCAGTAATGCAATGACATTACAATTTAAATTCAACGTTTTAGCTTTTTCATATTCCTTTACATGTCACTAAGTTTAAATAGGTTGACTTGGGACATTTTTTTCGTGGTTTTTGTATTAGACCCGTCGTCCATTTATTTTTAAGTCAATGTTTGCATAACACAAATTTGTACCTTAATGATGAGAAAATAGAGATGAATATGCTATAGACGAAAAACATAACGCGTCGCGACGCTTCGACTCTGCGCCAGTGTGTGTTGAGCCTAATGAGACTGTCTTATTATACTATTAAGTCTTTTTTGTGAAAACAATTTTGGTATAGTCAGTTTTTTTGGTCAAACTGGAGTTACCCATAAAAATGAATAAAATTGATTATTTTTTAGTGCCAATCGATTCAGTGTCATGTAAGGATTATTTCGTTGTATTGGAAGTATTGGGGTTCGTACCCAATGTACGTAAATATAGAATGTTCGTAGTAAAGTATGTTTGATGGTAATGTATAGTAACGTAGTTAGTAATGTAGGTTGATAAAAAATACGTAAGGCATCGTACTGTCCGAAGGTCTTTTGTATTGTACTAAAAATACTACGTAATTGTACATATGTATGCGCGACAATGCGCGCGATCAGCAGCATATTCCAGTAGTTATACATACAGGAAGAAAAAATCGGGACGGCAGAAGTTGGTCAAATTGAATAAAATATTTTTCATAATTGTCAACCGTGAACATGGAACCTGTAAAGGTCCCATAACGTTGGTTTGTTTGAAAAAACAAATGTGGAGAGATTTAGTTCATGAAAACAATAGTTTTCATTTTCTATGTGTAACAATCGCGAAAACCTAAAAATATACACTGTACGAGGGTCATGCCAGAAGAACTTAGATACGCTTTAATCACTTGTTTGATACTGGCAAGTTATACAACGTCGTAAAGGCAGGTTATTTGCTAATTAATTTTAAAATGGAACACGTCTTAATTAGAATTCTTTTTTATTTATTTTTTTATTTTTCGGAGACAATCTGGCGGGAATTTTGTTCGCAACAATGGAGCTCTCTCAACGTTATTTTTGGTTATGATTTGTTATGACTACAATAAAGGTTTAAATCCGCAAGAATATTTTGAACTTTTTGCCACAAGTTTTGAAGATACTGCTTGTTCACGAGCTACAGTTCTCAATGGGTTTGCTGAATTTAAAAGAGGACGGGGAAGCTTTGAAGATGAGGCGAAGTCAGGTGGCCGCCAACCGCGGTTACTCAAGAAAACGTTCTAGCTATCGAAAAAGTAATTTGTGAAAACCGACGAACTACATATGTAGAGCTTGAGCGAGAGAACTGGGCATTGGATCAGCAGCATCGCAAACTATTATTCACGGACCACTGTCTCTCCATAAGCGTTGTCGAGATGGTTTCCGCACAAACTTAACGATGAGCAGAAAGAACGTCGCGTGGATTTGGGCAAATTTGTGATAGATAAATTCGACCCTGGCGAGAAAAAATAAACGTTTTTGATATACTGACAGGTGACGAAACATGGTTATATAACTATGATCCTGAAAAAAAGCGACAGTCCACTTTATGGTGCTTCGAAGATGAGCCGACGCCAACGAAATGTCGTCGTATACCTACGAAGCACACAAAAACAAATGGTCGCCTCATTTTTCTGCATGACGGGACACATTGCTACTGTAGTGCTAGAGGATCAAAGAACAGTTAACTCCGAATGGTATATAACAGTTTGTGCCCCAAAAATGTTGTCAACTTGGTGTTACAAGCAGCACACTTCTGCTAGAACGCTCGACTACTTTCATTCAAAAATGTATTTATTCTGCCGCACCCGCCATATTCCCCTGACTTAGCACCTTGTAATTTTTACCTCTTTCCAAAAATTAATGAAAATTTAAAGGCAAGCTGTTTGAAAGCAAAGAAGATGCGTTGGCTGCTTATAACTTGGAGACTTCCGAGATGTCTAAAGAAGAGTGGTCATCGATATTTTCCAAGTGGTTTAGACGAATGGAAAAGTGTATACGTGTTCATGGTGAATATTTTGAAAGACCGATATCGAATCGATCGATCTGTAATAAAGAATAAAGTTTATAATTTTTGAAAAGCTTATTTCTTTTGGCATGGCCCTCGTATAGTGTAATGTTCAGTCTGACACAGACATCCGATTCGGATAAAAATTAAAAACAAAATGCTTATCGCTCTACTAGGAGATTCGAGCCCGTGTATTGTGCTATTATGAAGTTTGCGTGTACTTACTCCCAAGTAGTAGTGCCTATGCTTTCTTTAAAATGTATCGTACACATTTAGGAGCCAATTAAATTAGAAAAATTGTAACATACCTAATAAATAAAAAGTACGAAATTAATTATTTTTTTCTACGATATTACTTTAAATGATTTGTATAGGTACTGTATCTGAACGACTATGGCAACTCATAAAGGTTGGGCTCTACTTTTTTATATTTTTTTAAATATATATTTTTTCAGGGTTGTTACGAACTGTGTCACACCCTGGCCTCGGTTTGTCGTGGAGTTTTGGGACACCCAGTATAGTTAAAACGTATTTATCGAAGCTCTTAGACTTCTGTTTGTTGAATATATTTTTAACCATTTTACGTAGTCGATTGACTTAAGAGCTTTCCTTTCGCAATATAATTACGTTTAAAAAAGTTTATCTTAACGATTCCGTGTACAGGCAAGGACTCTTGAATATATTCCCGTACATACCTACTTACATAAAAATTGCATTAAATTCGAAACAACTCTGTCTTGGCAACATTAAGTAAGCTCAAGCAGCGGTATTCCTTTTACGATTTAGAGAACAACTGATTCTGTTGAAACTTCAGATGCAATTGTCTGAGTGAAAACTGAGTTAAAATATTTTGTAGACGTGAGATTTACTCAATCATGAGTAACCACGCATATCAATGCGTTGCTGTTTGAGCGAATGTTTGTATGTACGATTATGTACACAGCGAAGAGGACAATGACGACATAGTGCCGATCATAGACCGCCACTCGACCCGACTGCGTGAGCTCTACGGCGATTACTACGTCAGCGAGTTGATATCAAGGCATCCGGAATCCGAGCGCACTCTACTTGTTTGTGAAGTAAGATTTCAGTAAAAATTTTTTTCACACTTGCTCTTAAGTAGTAGTATAATGTGCAGCAAGACTAGGCCATATTTTTATCTTATGGCCCTAAGGTGGTATTGATATTTTTTGTTTTGTTTTTGCTATTCTATTGCCATTGGTTTCTGCTCTCCCGCGCCTCCCACTCGGCACGGGAGCCTAGAATTGCAGTGGACTTTTTGACTAAATTTATGAAAACTAATATTAATACGGTCGGCTTTGTTTCATTTACAAAATTTAATAAGATATATAAAATTTTAAGGTACACGAGTACCGAGTTACGAGTTTACGAAAACACCATTAAAATATTTTACGTTTTATTTACACATAAAGCTAAACAAAAAAAAATTGAATGCTCAAAAAAATTGTATTCTTTATATAATACTAGCTGGGGCCCGCAACTAAGTCTGCGTAGAGTATATAGGTACTTCGAGTAGCTTACTGTAGGTACTAACTGGTTCTAATTATAAACGTTCGGGCCGTTAAAACCCCCACCTTCAGCTCGGGCTTTTAAAATCCCTCTGTATGCAATTGCCTACTTACCGCCCTAGTAACATAATGTACTATTACGATCTAAGTTGAAGTTTTAATACTAACTTTTTTAATATAACTTTTTTATAAAAAAACGATCTCAAAAGTTCGTGGAATTACATCTATTTGCCAAGTTTTATTGAAATCGGTTAGTGGAAAGTGCGCGAAACTGGCTGGGCGGGAAACTTCATCCCCTAGTTTTGAAGTACCCTCTTTTCAACAAAAAAAAATCATCAAAATCCGTTCACAAATGCCGGAGTAATCGCGTAACATATGTCCAAAAAAATACAGTCGAATTGAGAACCTCCTCCATTTTTTGAAGTCGGTTAAAAACAGCTAAAAGGCATGCCACGGGGTGTTAGGTATCGAATAAATTTTTTTTTATGCATTTTCGTCATATTTACAAAGCGATTGTAACTTATTTATACCTAATTTCGACGGTCATGAGATATTGTTATTACAAATTATTGCTGTTTCAGTATAAAGAAGTGGCCGTTGGAGTAATATCTCTGAACACAGAAATAAATTTCGAGGCGTTGGAGGAGAGTTACGACTTGTCGCCTTTTGCGGGCTTGCGTCATACTGATTCCGAATTTTCTAAGTCGCCTAAAGATACGGAGTCGTTAGTTACCTTAAAAACTACTAAAAATTACTACTACTCCTTCTTACTCCCTACTACTACTATCTAACCTTCGTGGTCAAACGGTTTCCATGCCGGTCTGCCACGCAGAAGTCCCGGGTTCGATTCCCGGGCCGGGAGAAATATTTATAAAGGCTTACATTGATTTCTCTCGTGAGTTTGGGTGTAATTTGTAGTTGTTTATGTTTGTGTCCATGGCACCCGCTACACAAGGTTTCCCTAGGTGGGGCTATGACTGTGTGCGTTATTTATTTATTATTATATTGCTTTATTCATTGTATTTACTATTACAATATTAATTATATTGAAAAGTTTAAAATAGGGTCTTACAGGCTCAAGTGAGTTTAGTAGCTATAGAGCTCCTTGTGAAAGAGTTCGTCCAGGGAAGTACTGCCACCTTACCTATTTCTGCCGCCAAGCAGTGATGTAATCATTATTGCGTTCCGGTTTTGCAGGGTAAATGTGCTGATTAAGTTATAGGCACATGGGACTTTTCAACTTATGTCCCAGTGCACCTCAGATCTTTGCGATTTAAAGCTCTGTGTGGCGCTGCAACCGTTATGGACAGGACAGACATTTACCATCACGTCTTGGTCGTCCCGTCACTTAGTATTATACAAAAAAGTGAACGTTACGCTTGACAAGCTTGATAACGCATGCGATAAGAACGGTCTAAAGTGTCAAATGATGTGAACTTGACTTGTATTTAATTTTTGTTCCATTTAGCCCTCGCCCAGAGTCCGTAACTGCTGAACCAGTAAGATCTTCATCTAGAAACCTATCGTAATAAAAAAGGTAGGTATATAGGAAAAGAGAATTATAAACGTTAGTAATCGTTTATAATTCTCTTTTCCTATATACCTACCTTTTTTTATTTATATTTGTCCCGTGGCACACAATGAATGACATCAATTACCTGGTCTCAATCCAGGGAATTCCCTGTACTATGAGTACCAGAGTAACGGATTTCTGGGTCAATATCCAGACAACACAGGCAAGAATCTAATTAAAAACATTCTAATCTAAAATTGTACCCGAAACGACCTCATTAAGCGGCAATAGTGCCTCTGGGCCGCCGAGGTTGTCAATAATCTTTTTTTTTATCGTACCACCAAGTGACGGCACGAACAAGCTATGCGTCTGTACAAGTGTACATAACAATTGAGAGAAAAGATTTGTGATGCTGCGCCCGTCAACCTGATATACAAGATGACAAGTTCCTGTAATTTTATCAGCACCCTTCAAAACTGGAAGGCAGTAATGCTCACATTACTGCTTGGCGGCAGAAATAGGTGAGGTAGCAGTACTTCCCTGGACGAACTCTTTCACAAGGAGAACTCCTACTAACATTGTTACTCCAGGCTCGTGGATCCGGGATCAACAACGGAGTCCTGCTATTATTTGGAGACTCTTGACTGGCCGTCAAAGGTGACTTAATTATCTTTAGCTGACTAGGTATAAATCTGTGTTTTCACTGTTTGGATGGGTCCAATTCCCAACTGGATCAGCGATTATTGCTTCAACGTGGGTACAGTAGAGGCAATAGTCGCTGGTACTAACCGTGGATACAGTAGAGGCAATAGTCGCTGGTACTAACCAGCGACTATTGCCTCTACTGTACCCACGTTCAGTCGTTTTGATGGAATTTTTCTTTGTGAACTTTAACTTTACTTTTGACCTTAAATTGTAATCATTTAACTGCCTCTGTGGCCGATCGGTTACCCTACTGGTATCCGTTCTATGTGGCGCAGAGGTCCCGGGTTTGATTCCCAAACCGGGAGAAATATTTGTATGGCCTACATTTATTTCTCTCGTGAGTTTGGGTGTAATTTGTGGTTGTCTATGTACCTATGTGCCCATGGTATCCGCGGTACGATTTTCCATAGTTCCCTAGGTTATGAGGTTATATTTAATAATATAATAACACTGGGTTGAGTATTTTCGCAAAAAATATGTAGTTGAATATCATAGTAGTAAAAACATCATGACATTCAACAAAAGTAATAATGATATATAGTTTTGGGTTTCACTGTAGTTTGTTGTTTATTTTGAAGGAAGAAGTAGAAAAAGAAGAGAGTGACAACGTTACAATTCTCAAAGAAAGGTCTTCTTCGGCGTCGTCAGCGTACTACTCCAACATCGTGTACATTGACTGGATTAATGAAGAAGAGGAAATCGAATTTGACATAATAAATATCGACTCTGACCTTTTAAGGCTGCCGCCGGACTTTTTTTCGTACGGTTATTTACATTGAATTTCCTCCTATTATTATTATTAAATATTACAATGATAATTGATATAAAATATTAATGCTAGTGATATTGGTAAAATTATTTAAAATTCAACAGCAGTGCGAGACTCCGAATATAACTAGCCGTCTCTTGAAATGGGCGATTGATTATGATTACCATCTTCATGTAATAACTGTGCTTTGATTTGTATTTTGAGGAAAAAGTGTTCTTATTAATAATTTATCGTAATAGAGAGAGTAATAGAGTCGACTGGGATATTATAATCCTTACTGAATGCTGGCTCTTACAGTCTCCTATTCAGCCTACACTGGAGAGATATAAAACTTTCGCTACTGTTTCTAACAAAAATCAGAATGAAGGAGTGGTGGTTTATTTCAGGGAGCACCTTACAGTGACAATAACTGAACCTACGTTTCCAGATGCAAACTCTTTACTTATCATCATAAACCAGCAAATAGCACTACTTGCATTGTATCGTTCGCCCTCAAAGTATAATGTCGATCATTTTATCGCTTCTCTTGATATTGCACTTGCGCTGTGCTCATCTTACAAAACGATAGTGCTCACTGGCGATATTAATATCGATATTGCTGAATCAACCTCCGATACGCGGTCTCATACGTACCTAAATCTTGTTGCATCTCATGGACTACTGCCAGCACATACAATTCCTACACGTTTAAACTCCTGTATCGATCATATCTGCCTAAAAACCACTCTGACTGCTCATGTGGTAAACTCTTCGGTGACTGACCATGATGCTAGTATCCTCTTTCTGGAACTATTCCTTCCTATCACACCCAGTAATAAGATAATTAACAAAACAGATTTCGATGGACTTAATAAATATCTTACGACCGTAGATTTTAGCAGTATTGAGACCTATATTGATAGTAATGTTGCTACAGAACTCTTAATTAATATACTGCAAACTGCTATAAAATCTAACACTAAAATTATAGTCGTGTCTAACAGGAGAAGAATTAAGAAACCCTGGATTACTACAGGTTTGCTCAAGTGCATGAAGCACCGCGATAAACTACATGTGAAACAAAGGAAAAACCCTAGTGATGAAGTTTTAGAAAGGATATACAAAAGGTAGCGGAATTTTTGCAATGCTCTTCTAAGAAAACTAAAGAGGGAGTACGAAAGGAATGAATTGAGGAAGGTCAAGGGAAATTCAAAGCTACTATGGGACACAATCAGAACAATAACTGGCACTAAAAGAATTAATGACCCACCAATTCATTTGATATCTACAACAAGCAATCCGCTTTCTGTTGTAAAATCAGTCAATTCTTACTTTGCAAATGTGGGCAGTTCCCTGCCTCGTAAAATACTGAATATGCGGAATACTCCACCACAGGATCCCCCTCTTGGTCTTTCTCCCCACTCATTCGGTCTTCCCAAGAGGAACCAGGAAATCGAAACTATAATTCTAAATCTTAAGCCTGGCAGTGCGGTGGGAATTGATGGTATATCGACATAGCTTTTGAAATCATTTAGTGGCATTCTGACTCCATCAATCACCCATATCTGCAATCTCGCTTTCACTACAGGGAATTTCCCGCAACCTCTTAAAAGATCTCGCATACGTCCCATATTTAAGGATCGGAACTGGGTCGAAAACTATAGACCGATTTCTATCTTACCTGAATGCACTGACACAACACATAGTAACCAATTTGAACGAGAATAACAAGGTATTAGTAATTTTTCTGGACCTAGCAAAAGCGTTCGACACAGTTTCGATTCCCCACCTGTTGAATAAACGTGAATACATGGGAATCAGAAATCTCCAGTTAGAACTTTTTGCCAGCTATTTGCAGAATAAGTGCCAGTCTGTGCGTTTCAGGGACTGGGTTAGTGGTGACGAACCAGTGAGTTTTGGGGTCCCGCAGGGCAGTATCCTCGACCCCACGTCGTTTCTAACATACATAAATGATCTGTGTAACCCGTCTCTTCATAACGGTAAAATAATTACTTTTGCAGATGATACTGCCCTGCTCTTTAGTTCTGACACTTGGGAAGGTGCATTCAGCTCGGCGCAAAAGGGTCTTAATACTGTTGTAGAATGGTTAAATCGCAATATACTCACACTAAATATCGAGAAGACGAAGTGCTTGACTTTTACCATAAGACCTCAGGACCAACCAACAAGGGTGCACTCCTGCAATGATCAACAGCTGAAAGTGAGCGTATGCTCGTGCCCAGACCTCAATAGCACCACTCACATCAAATACTTGGGGATTATTATTGACAATCGGCATGGCTTTCACCACCACATCAATGCACTTTCATCAAAATTAAGAAAACTCATGTACATGTTCAAGAACGTTAGATATGTTGCGGATATTAGTATCATTAAAATGTTGTATTACGCATTGTGTCAGTCATTGATAGGTTACTGTATCTCCACTTGGGGTGGGGCATCAAAAACTCTACTCCTAAAACTTGAGAGAGCATAACGATGCATTATAAAAGTTGCTCTTTCTCAACCTTACTATTTTCCAACGGATAAGCTCTATGGTCTCCTTGGAGTTTTATCGGTGGGACAACTTTATGTTCTTCAAACAGTTCTTAGGAAGCATTCCCTCCTTACCTGTGACCCTATGTTACTGTCAGATTGCCGCAAAAAGTTTAATGTTTGCCCAAGAACAGGCTACAGGAAATCATTCGTCAGACGATTTTTCTGCTATATGTGAGGCATGCTTTATAACGAACTAAACAACCGCCTGTCATTTTACTCTCTTAGTAGGTGTCAATGTACTGACGAGTCTCGACTACGCATCAACGGAGGTTATGATAACCTCTCTTCAATGATCTCCCTCCTCAAACATCATCGTCAAAATTTTTTTCTTTGCTGGATTACCTCCCAAAAGAGAAACAGGTCTTTCACTCTGAGTGACCTACTCTTAATTTCTATCTTACATAGCGCATAATGACTGTCACGCCAGTTGGCATGCGATCCCAAGAGCAGGTCTCTAACTACTCGTAGGGCTATGATATGTGTAGATGTGTCAACATCAAAATCTAATGTTAGGACATCAATTTCAAATGATACCGATACGCACTTTATTATAA